TGCATTATAATTTTATATAAATGGCCGAAATTCTTGACCAAAAAGGTATCATATCTCCAATCTCGTCGATGCCGAATGTATCAGCATAACTACATGCGCCGGGTCTAAGGCCCAAACCCATCCGCATCACTACACCGCTCTCACTTCTTATATACTGACAAACGGTTGCCGTTACCGCAGTACTCTGTGCTAGAGCCAGTACACAACATACTGCAATCGCTCAACGGGGCATCAAGCGACGTCGTCGGCAGGGCATTACCGCAATAGCACTCGCCGCCGTACTCCGTGCCAAAGTAGCTATACCCATCGCAGAACGCCGCGCACGCCTCGTTGGTCATCTTGTCGCTGCTGGCCGTAGCCTTGGCATCCAGAGCGCGTCCGCCCTGCGCGGGCTCGGTGCGGCAGCCGAGGAAAGCGTAGACCCCGGCCGTGGCGGGCTGGCTGGGCCCCGTCACCTGTTTGTCGGACTGGTAGAGCGTCAGGCGGTTGCCGCCGCCGCAGTACTCGTACTTGTTGCCGGAGCAGGTCATGCTGCAGTCCGCCAGGGGCGCGGCAGCGCTGGTGGAGGCGAGGGAGTTGCCGCAGTAGCATTCGCTGCTGTATTCCGTGCCGAAGTACTTATAGTCTGAGCAGTACGAGGCGCAGTACTCGAGCGTCATGTTGTCGCCAGAGGCGTAGTTCTTCTGGCTCAGAGCGCGGACGCCGTTGCCTTCTGTCCAGCAGCCTACCAGGGTGTAGGGCGAGATGGTAGGCTTGTGAGCCAGCGTAGGGGAGGCAGTTGTTGAGGTGGAGATGGTGCTGGAGGCAGAGGGCGAGGTTATCGCTGAAGTTACGGCGCTGCTGGAGGACGATGCGATGCTCGATGAGGTGCTTGAGGAGGACGTGGCACTTGGTGAGGATGGCACGCTGCTAGAAGACGTAGAACTGGTGGAAGATGCAATACTGCTCGAGCTTGAAGTAGACACCTGCGACGAGATCGAAGAACTGCTGGCAGTAGCAGAAGCAGACGTCAGAGTAGAAGACGTTGACCCGCTCGCCACCAAGACAGTGATAGAGCTTGATGACGAGGTGCTGCTCGAGGTCGTAGTAGCCACCGTCGACGCCAAAGTAGACGAGGCACTGCCGGCTTGGTACAGCTCCAAACGATTGCCGTCACCACAGTACTGGTACGAACTGCCGGCGCACTTCATGTTACACTCGCTCAGGGACGCAGTCTTGCTGGTTGCTGCCAAACTGTTACCGCAATAGCCTACTTCGTGTTAGTTCTCATTCATGCCCCAAGACCCACTCAACACTTACACTCGCGTCCATACTCGGTGCCAAAGAATGTGTAGTCGGAGCAGAAAGTAGCACACTTGTCGAGAGTCATGTCGTCCGCAGCAGTCTGAGCAGCAGTAAGGGCGCGACCGCCATCGGCCTCCGTCTGGCAGCCGACGAGAGAATACTTGCCGATGGTGCTGATGTGTGCGAGAGTAGCTGTGGGAGCGGCCGTGGAGCTGCTGGTGCGGGTGGCGGTGGTCGAGTACAACTCAATACGATTCCCGGCTCCGCAGTATTGCGTAGAATCACCAGAGCATGGCATGTTGCAGTCGGCCAAGGGCGCAGAACTACTGGACGTAGCCAGAGAGTTGCCGCAGTAGCATTCGCGTCCGTACTCGGTGCCCCAGTAGTCGAATCCCGTGCAGTTTGCCATGCAGCTGTCGAGGGTCATGCCGTCGTAAGCGAACGCGGCACCGGTGAGAGCTCGGCCACCCGAAGCCTCGGTCCAGCAGGAGACGAGCTTGTAGCCACCCATAGTCTGTCGGTGGGAAATCGTAGCAGTCGGGGCCGCGCTGGACGTGGAAGACGACACTGTGACGCTGCCGCATGTAGGAGACCCTCCCGTCCAGCTCGAACATGTCCCACCGATAGGGTCAGCCTTCTTGAAGGGGTCAATCATGGCGGACGCGCCCTCTCCGCTGATGAAGTCAAAAGTCGACTCGAAACTAACGCCACCGGGAATGTTCGTTGTGACACTGTAAAAGGTGTAGCTGCCTACACAGTCGCCCTTGACCATATCGACGGTCATCTTACCCAGCAGCGGCACCACGCTGCTTGTCCGCGCCGTCTTGTAAGAGATTTCTGCCTTGACCGGAAGAGACGTGCGGTCGTTGCGGACTGCGGCGACCAGTGTAACATCGCCGGAGTTCTGCGTCAGGCAGCTCTGGGACGTCTGGAGAAAGATGCCATCCTGGATCGGGTACCCGTTGCCGTTGTTGTTGAATAATGTGCTCGATCCATCGCTCTTGTTGATCGTCACAGTAAAGGATGAGATGCCCGTGCTGACGGGGATCTCCTGCCTGATGGGATACCAGGAGAAGCTGTCTTCCAAGCCCTTTGAGATGCCCGAGATGGTAATTGTAAAAACACAGGAGCCGGTCCCGCAGGTAGACCCACCACTTCGGTTCTTGTAATTGATCGTCAGACTCGAGATGCCTGTGATAGCGGTAGTTCGGACGCGAATGTATCCTGTAAGAGTCATGATGGTGGGCGAGGTGAGCGACAGCTGAAGCTGGGACGGTTTGACGGTGTAGGGTGCGATGGCATCGCCAAGAGTAACACCAGATGGCACGGTGTTGATCATCTTCTCAAAGACGGTCTTGCAGGTAGACTTGAAGACTGCGAGGTCGGTCATGGCCTTCACGGTGGCGTTCTGGTCGGAGCTGAAGACGGTGAAATCGGAATTACTGGCTCGAGCCGTGCCCATCTTGATGACGAGTGGGTTCCGTGTGGTGCCGTCTAGGTATTCGGTCACAATTCTGTTGTCAAAGACACCATTTGAGCTATCCATGGGTGCGGAGCCGTTCGCATTTGTGCCGTCTGGAACGATAGTTGGATTCTCGGCCGTGTGGACGCCGCCAATTGTATGGCCGCAGGCTGTGACTTGAATCATCTCCTGTGGCGTGAATCCCATGCGATTGAATTTTGATTTGAAAACTTGGATGACTTCGTTGGGCTGCGGTACGCCGGCGGCTCCTTTCACGGTTGCGTCGATGCGGCCGGATCGGATTGCAACTGAGGGACCGCCGCACGACAGGACGGAAGTGTAGACTCCTAGAGCGATGAGGTCCGACATGCTGCTTTTGCGGGTCAGGTAATGTCCCATAAAGGTCAGAGTTGTCGAGAAAGCAGGACCGGTATTCTCGCCGGTGCTCGACAGCTCATATTGTATTGATGCGTCCAACCCGCCAACTCCTGCCCCCGCGTTGGCCGGTGCCATATCGTGAAAAGCGGTTCGCAGCCATTCTGCAGCAGTCTGGCGGCCGGTGCCCGTTGCCTCCTTGGCGCAGGGGAAGACGTTGTCGGCAAAGTGCCTTGATCCGAAGTTGAATGACTGGTACATGATCTCTTCCAACTCGTCAATGTCCGAGGGCCAGGTCGGATCAGCCTGGGCCTGTGAGGCCAAGCCAAGAAGGCTCAACAGTATGGAGGAGTTCACCTTCATGGTGGTATGCTACCTCGACTACGAGGAAACCGAATTACAAATTGTAGTGCAAGTGAGTGACTTGGTCGTCCGTAATAGTAACGGCTTGACCTTTGAATTAGAGCACTATAAAGGCATAGATAGACCAAAGAAAGTGTAAAGGATGTAGAAGGAGAAGGCGAAGCGAGGGAGGTGAGAGAAAACAGAGATGAGATAGTGGCCCATGGTCGTTAGATATGAGAGACATGGTGTGAAACGACACCAGAACCACGAAGGAATAGACAAAGAGATGCGGCAACAACTTTTTGCCAACGTACACGAGCCGGCCGTCGGAACCGTGGCGACCTGACCGCAGGAGACGGATGATCTAGGTACTCTGGGCAGGCCTAGGCTGTTGTGGAGGGGCTCTATCGCCAGCAAGGGAAGTAGTCTCCGTGTATGCTTGGTGTACGGAGTAGCGCCAAAAGAGAATGGCGGCACAGCTAAATCTTGCCCTGGGAAGAGTGAGTGAGGCCCGGGTGGATGGGAGGCAAATCCCCTACTAGTGAAGGTCCCTTGAAGTGAGGGTGAGAGTGAGAGTGAGGGTGAGATTGATGGTAAGGGTGAGAAATTGAGAGTGAGTTCTTCGTATTTTTGGCAGAAATTGCCAAGGGTGCTGGGACCCCTCTTTCCCTTTTGGATTTAGTGCCAACCTCGCATTGGATGGATCAAGATAAACTGGACTACGCGGCCGTCGTGATTGGCCGCGGGCATTTTGTGGCTGCTGTCGGTGCCAGCCGCAAAACCAGGGGTGCCGGGGTGACGATCCCCTGCCCCTGAGCACGGCTTACTTTGCTTAACCTTAATCGGTTGGTTCAACTCTTCGAGATGCCCTCCAAAGGGTTTTCTGGAGAGGGAAATGGCCCAATGGTGCGTCGAGCAGTAAATTGCATCCCGACATTTTGGGTGGTGGTCTTGGCCTGGTGATGTTCGGAAGGTGGGAAAGCCCCCTTCTCGGCATTGCCTCAGCAGGCCGAGTCAGCCAGGCAAAGCACTCTTGCACTTCGAGGCCGACGAGCCGCGAGCCTGACTTCTCCTCCGGTTCGTATATTTGGTGTGGCAACCTTGCCCCTGCCCTGCGTTGCCGATGCCAAACTATTGATGCCATGTCAATCATGGCGCTCCAGCTGATGCTGCAGAACGCATGCATCTCTTGTTTATATTGCAGCTTGCGTAATGCTCCCGACCTCACGCGCATAACCTTTATCAATTCGGGGATTCGATGATAGCGGAGAGGGGTTCATGCGGAAGAACAAATCAGGACACTGACAGTTTGGCTGACGATACCTCGCAGATTCGGCTCCGACGGCAAATTGATTGTGTCTATCCGTACCAATGTTTACTGTTTTGGACGTTGACAGCACACGAGAAGTAAGCAGCCATTAGTACAGGGACTGATCATGAGGAGCTCTTTGAAAGGGGACCAGAAACCCGCAATTTCTGGAAACGCGCCAGATATCTTCGAGTCAGGGAGGCCGATTTCTGCTCGCCTGTCCTGTCAATACTGGAACCCACCTCCCGCTGTCATCCCATCACGAAAGTTGCCAAGACGCTCTTGCCATGTTGAAGTCTGCCCAGCTTGGTTTCTCCACTTGGGCTGGGAGCGGGCTTTGCAAGGACAAGTACTTGAAGAATCCTCCAGATTGCGAGAGCTGGAGTTGTCATGGCGGCCAATTGTGGCTGCTATTAGTGGAAACGTACTATCGTTTTTCGCCGCAATGTGGGAAGGGGCAAATAAACTGTCCAGCTAGCCCTTCTCCACGACCCGAGCACCATATTACCTCCAGGATAGCGCGCGGTTTGCCCACCTGCTCGGCGTCGTGATTCGGTTTGTGGTCTTCCTAACGGTAAGATGGGACAAAGAATACCATCCCCACACCGCACTTTACCGACTGACTGCTCGGCCAACGGTAGCAAGGCTGAACAAAGCCAGACACGCCAGGCCATGCGAGACAACAACCTATTATAGGCTTCACAAAGAAGATCCAACGGCGAAAAATAGCCGCCAAATCGCACCGCGCTAGAGGCAGCCCACGAGCTCGATTCGAAGAGACCTCTTTCCGATGTTCCACCTTGTGCGCCCGCCAATCCGGAATATGGCTCGACATCGTGTTGAGAAGCATCATCCGGCGGGGACTGGTTCGCTGATGCCTCCGATAGGTTCTACAAAGGTGGTTGGCGGTCAAGAAACGTCGGAAGGCGCCGAACAACCAACATCGCCGAGGGGACCCACGGCACCAAAGTCCCAGACAGGCACTGTTGATAAGGTAGAGGGACCTATTGTAATCGACCGGCCCCACACCGGGGCCCCGGTACGGAACACCATGTGCCGGAGCCTTGGTGCCAGCCAGGAAAGCGGGGCCGTTGCCGTCCATCAAACCCTTCGCCCATTCACCCAACGCCGGTATGCTACGGCCAAACATTTTCCGAAGCCATCGCAGGGCTGGAATTCGCCGAGTGCGACAGCAAAGTCATCGACAGTCTTTGAACAGCCACCCGCAGCCCACCGAACGCCCCATCGGAAGCCTACCCGGAAGGCGCCTGATCCGAAGTGTCCAAAGTCGGAAGGCATTCAATTCCGCAAGACATTACACAAACACAAACGGCGTCTCGTCTCGGGATTTTACGGTTTCTTTGCAACCCAAGATTGTTGTCCAGTTACACTCGAGATTGACGACTGTGGTGTTTTGTCTAGATGCGAGGAACGCCACTGTCGAGTGAAAGCCCTGGGCTACTTCTCGGACGAACCCTTCTTGCCCAAAAGGAAGTCGCGTAGTCCTTCTTTCTACCGGTAGTTTTCTCCGCGGGCCGAGGCACTTGACTGGAACCTGACATCACAAATTTCCGTCGAAATCGTCCGATCGTCGACAGCTTCAAAGCCGCCGCTATGATTGCCTTCGGCGCTACCCGTCAGACAATGCGTCGATAGAGCAGGCAATGACATAATATGACCGGACTGAGAGCAACAGGCCGACTTGACGCCTAGTCCCAAAAGACCAATAGTCCACCGCCGAGATGATAAAAAAACAGTACCGGTAGCTGTGAGAACAGCGCTGACTGCGCTATTATATACAAGTTGGATGAACAATTACCAGTCACCCATATCTCTTCGATGCAGCGATTGTGTCCGAGCTGCACTCCGTACAGAAGAGTGCTCTTGAATTTCTGGCGGGTGGGTTTTTCCACGATCTGGGGAAACCCTGACATGACCAGGGGAAACGACCAGAACCGTGCAAATCCACAAAAAACCTGGCAGCGGGAAGAACAAACTCTACGCGAAACTCAACGGAGAAGAGACGTGCCGTGGTTGCATAGCTGATCATCAATTATCTCATAGGTAGGACCGCCCTTGCAATTGGGTGCCGGCCCGCCAATGATCTTCAACAGCCCGGACCAGGCCTTTAAACCGAGACATACTAGAGCGACGCGTACAGTACACTAAGGGATGTCTTTTGGGTAGGTATACGCATGAGCTGGCCAGACCAAGACACAGACAGAACCAAAACCGGATCCAGCGGGGTTGAACGCAGTCTCAAGTTGAGCAGACGTTTATTCCAGATGCGACAGAAGTCCAGAACGTGGGCATTTGCAACACTCGTAGTCTGCCAGTATGGATGCATTGACGCTGGGAAATCAGTCATAGGTCTGAGAAGCTGCTCCGAGAACCGTCCAAAGGGAGATGATCCCGGGAAAGCTGAAAAACTCTGCCGTTCTTAAACTCTAGCCGTCTTGGACATGAAGCATCCCAGGGCTCCACGACTTTTTGGTACACCTTACTGTACGCAGTAGGTTTTTAGTCATGAACACCACCTTTACAACGTCAACATACGGGTCTGGGCTCTGGGCTATCCCGTGCGAGCCGATAAAAGGTGAAGCCAACCCTGGCATGGGAAGCTAGGGGGCAGTGGAAACTCTCAGTCACAAGTCACATCAAAAGCGAAAGGTAAAATGGGAAGACCCCTGGGAAACCGAGCGATCCCTCCCCACACCTTCCAGGTTCCATAAGTCATCCGCCCCGCCAAAGCCACAGAAGACCCCACCACCGTGGCCGTGCCGGCCCTCCGGCACAGAACAAGTGGAGAATACGTTCTGGCTCCGGCCCAATCACGGCGACGTCTATCCCTCCAAGACGCCTGACATCATCGGGGCCCACTTGCCCACAACCCCCATTCAGCCACAACGGCCTCCGTCATCAACGTCTGCAAACAGCGCCCCGGATCAAGAACCTGACGCCTGCCCTCCGTCATTGGGTGAATTGGCTGCAAACTTTGGGGGTGTTGGTGTGTATGGTGAATACACTGACCGTGTGCGCAGCATCCGTAGAACGTAAAGAACATGTTCCAGGAATAAACGGGGATGGGGCGGAGAGAGCCCAAGACAAGCTTGAACAGCGCTGAACCTTGCCACGATCTACGCAATGGAGCGGGATCGGTCAGTCCGTTTACCGGCAGACGAAGCAGGGAGGCAGCCCTTGTTTCCTTCTTTCCTTCCATTTAACCTTTAATTCTTAAGGGTCTCGAACCTCCCTCTCCCCATTCGCTCACCTTGACTCTATCTCATCCCACCTCACCTTTGGTATCCAGGGTGTAGACTTAAACAACAAGAAAGGAAACCCGCACAAAGTCAACCAAACAATCAAGTTTCCGAGTATACTGAACTCATACAATCAGCCAACTATCAAAGAAACCACAAGGAAGAAGCTCAACATACGCCGCAACTATGGGCTTCGCATTAAAATTCCTCCAGTGGTTCATCCGCGGCGTCCAGCTAGGCTGCTCCGTCCTCATCCTCGCAATCTTCTCCTACTTCCTCGCGACCCTCCACAACCACTCTCTCCCGATATCGAACTCCATCCGCGCAGTTGAGGGCATCTCGGGCGCCGCGACCCTCTACACCCTCGTCGGCCTCCTCCTGCTCTGCTGCCTCGCGGGGCTTGCCTTTACCTCCTTCATCGCCATCGTCCTCGACGTCGCCTTCATCGGCGCCTTCATCTACGTCGCCGTCGCCAACAAGGGCGGCGCCGGAACCTGCTCCGGCACCGTCAGCACCCCCTTCGGCGACGGCCCCGCCGACGGCGAGCCGACCAACACGGGAAGTGACGGCTGGACTCACCTACCCAGTCTGCGCACGGCTTGTAAGCTGCAGACTGCCTGCTTTGCAGTCTCCATTGTCGCAATGTAAGTGCACTTCGAGCGTAATTTTGAAGGAACGCAGCTAACATATAAACGCAGTTTCTTCTTCATCTTCTCCATCCTCGTCGAAGTCGCCCTCGCCCGCCACCACCGCAAGGAGAAACGCTTCGGCCCCAGCCCCAAGAACAACTACACCTCGGGCTCAGGCACCAAGCCCGGCTTCTTCAGCAGCTTCCGTCGCCGCGGCCGCGCCGACCCCGCGACTAACGACAATGCGCTGCCCATGCACACCAGCCCCGATCAGGTCCGCCCCAGCTACGCCACCGAGACCACCGCGGTCGCCCAGGATGTCGGCTACCCCAAATACGAAGGCACCTACGGCAACACTACAACGGCGACTGGCGGTGCCAACGGCCATGAGTACGGTCATGAGACTGGAACCACGCAGCCGCCCCCTCGACACTACAACGATGGTGTTTACGACAGAGTTTAGGTACGAATGAGACAGGAATTGAAACGAGACCACATAATGAGTTGATGGAAGAATTGAAGTTGGTCTAGGTTGGCAAAGATACCCAGGAAATCGAGGAGTTTTTGCCGTCGCGTTCGAGACGATGGCTTCTTGTTGGCAGTTTGGTTACGAATCAATGGAACACATGCACACATTGACCCAATCATGCACATAGTGAACTTGCTTGACTAATACTGTTGTCCTTTGATCGTGACTACGTTCGTACAAGTCATAAACTGCGTTTAACCCTCTGGGAGTGAGGGATTCGGTGATTGGGTAAATTCATCTCGCACAAGGCATCGCCCGGCACCGACTCTTAGCTTTTAATAACCTATTCCAGACACTCGCCAGGTGTCAGCATACCTCGTAACTTTAACGCTCGGGGTAATTTTATGGCCAGCCGGCCGCATCGTGCTCCCACTCACTGTTTGCGCCATCGTCGGCCCCGACGTCAGCCCAATTCATGTCCAGCTTCTCCAGCTCCCTTGTGAAAAAGTCTTGCTCCTCGCGCAGGGCTGCCCGTAGCTCGGCCGCAATCTTGTCCGGGTACCGCCGCACGTTGAACCAGTGCGTCAGACTGCGCAGTGCTTGCTCCAATGGCAGCGCCGAGTCCACCTCGGCATCAACGTCGCTGCCGGCCAACCACTCGTCACGCAGTTCAGGTCGGCAGTGTAGGTACACCGCCGTGATGACGCGCATGTTGCTCTGCCGCCACTTACGGCCGCAGTAGGGTACTTGGTTCTTGAACAGCTTCAAGGTGTATAGTCGGAGTTCTGGCTGGGGGATCTTGAGGGATTTGCGGAGAATGTTGGCAGACTTGTACTGCACCAGGAGAAGGTTCCGGTGAGCTTTGTGCTTGCAAATCTTTTGCATGATTCGTAGGTAGTTGATCAGAGAGAAGAAGTTTCTTCTCGAAAAATCAGTGATGGGCTCTGCTGGCAGGTCGCCGACAGGATATCCGAGCTCATCAACTTCAGGTCGCACCGCAGCTTGTCCTTCAAGCTTGCTGGTGTCTTCGCCATCGCGGGTGGCGGCAGTCGCGACGCGAGGCGGTGACCGCCTTCTCTTGATAGGTGGTGGCGCCGCTTCGTCCTCGCTCTCCTCCTCGTCCGGCTCTGCTTGTACAGGCGACTTCTCCTTGAATTTCGATCGCAGATTGCAGAAGTGGAAAAAGCTGATTAGTCAGTTTGTGTCGCGTGAGGGTTGGTAACAACACACACCTGTTCTCTAGCCGGTCCGTTTTGCTGTCGACAACCTGTTGAACATCCTGATGGGCGAACAACTTGAGCACCAGCGGAAGGTAGTTAGAATCCAGCAAAAGTTGCGTCATGTATTCGGATTTCAAAATGTCTGCGGCCTGATTAGTCTATGCCTCGGGCGAGGCCAAGCATACTCACGAGAGACTCTGAGCCACTTCAATAGAAGCAGGAGAATGCCAGTAATGGCCTTTGTAGTGATTTCGCGGGATCGCGCGGCATCGACCTCCTCCGGTGACATCTCAGGGAGTTCTGGAGGGCCACCTCCGGCCGAAGAGGGGTCTTGGGGCTGCTGTTGTCTATTAGGTCCAGCGCCGCCATTCATACCGCCATTGGCACCTCTGCCGGCCATGCTTGGGTGCTGTTGACCTTGCGGAGGTTGCGACAACACAGCGGTGACGTTCATTAGTATCGGCCTCAATAGGACGATTACAAGCGACTGGAGATGAGGGAGAGATTCTTTCTGTGGAAGCGTTAGTTAAACTCAGCTCGAAGTGCCAAAACACTCACGTAAAAGCTTTCGACAGCAAGCAGACGTCGCTTGATCTCAACGTTCACTTTATCTGCCGAAGGGCCGCAGTCTATTTCGGGCTCCCGCATCGAAAGTTGCGCTTCTCTACGTTCCTCAGCCTTGGTCTCCGCCTTGAACGCAGCAATCTCCTGCTTCTCTTCAAGGGTCAGCCCCTCAAGGTCGAGGTTATCAACATCACTGTCGTCGCCATCTGCTTCCCACCCTCTCTCGAATCTGAGGAAGCTTTCGCGCTCTTCCCACAGCTGTCGTGTAGCACGGGTCATGCGAACCCTCTTTGCAAATAATTCGCCTGCCTCCAAGATGGATGCAGGAATATCACTGCCCTCCCACCTGCGACCGACAAGCTGTTCCTGCAAGCCAGCTCCACCTTTACCACCAGCGCTGTTGCTTGTGGCATCTAGCGGTGGGTACATGAAAGGGAAATTCTGGTTCGTCTGGTAATTTTGCTTTTTGCCGCCCTTGCCCCCAACACCAGGAGACGGCGGCGGCGATGGAGCCGGTGTCGCAATGTGCACGGGTTGATGCAAGATAGAAGCACCGCCGCTTTGTGAGGTGGGCGGTCCCGGGAAAATCCCACTGGCTGCGCTGGTCCTCGTGGGCTGATTTGGAATGGGTGGAAGAAGGGTTGTGTTCTCAGGTTCTAGAGGAATGAGTGTCCGCGGAGGGACATAGGCCGGATATTTGGATGTGAGCTCTTGCCGGAATACATGGTAATCTAGAGGTGATGCTGTGATAAAGTCTTTGGACTTTGCATTGGGCGATTCATTTGTTGCCTTTTTCGCCTCGTCTACCTCTTTTGTGCCGCCGAAAACAAGCAGAATAGTTTTCCAGAAGAGCAAAAAAATCTATACTTGTTAGTATGGATTGTGTTCGGAACCAATCATCGTACCTGGCTGGATGGCATCAAGTTCCCGTCGTCCCAACGCAGCTTCGAGGTTGCGAGCGACATAAAATCAACCAGTCCAGGATTGAGAGAAACTAGCAGCAATTAGGCGAGCCTTTCCTAGATAGATTGAGTACAGGTGACTTACGAAGCTCAGATCTTGTAGCCTCTAGCTCCTTAGGGAAGCTCAGTGCCTCCTGAATAATGACATACATGATGGTCATAAGATTGATAAGTTCATCCTGGGCCTCTTGGGCGCCGCCGGGCTGGACGAGACGAACATCATCCGACCTGCTTGAGTTAACTTACATTGTAAGACAGATTGCCCGGAGTACTCACCAAAATACATCAAAGCAACTTTGCAGAGCCGACCAAACAGTGTTGATGCCGTCCAAAGAGGTTAAGAAGCCGATGCTTGATCTGATAGCCTCCAATTGTGTCGCACTGGCAGCCGACCTCCTGTCACCTACAGTGTCAGGCGTCGACGTATCGCCCCATCGACCTAGCACTAGGTACAGAACTTTGCCAATATGCGCAGAACGTTGTGTCGGGTCCTTGACTTGAAGACCATCTAGAGCATCTAGCGTGAACTTGGCCTTTGTCTGGTAGTCCGTCTCTTCCCAAGTTGTCTGTATATCGTAATCGTGCTGCCACTGCCATTCGAAAGCTCGCTGAGCAGCGTTTAATCGCACCCATTGCCAAAATTGATAAACAAACCATTCGTCAACCTCCTCGTCGTGGACACCCATGTCATTGTAGACGAAATCGTAGGCGACAGGCTCGCCACGACTGAACTCGGCAACGATTTTACGAAGCTGCAATAATGATAGCGAGTCGGTAGGCTGCTGAGGTTCGGGCGCAGGAGGCATTGGGGCCGGGGGTATCGGAACTGGGGCCGGAGCTGGAGAGGGTGCAGATGAGTTTCTCTGCAAGGACGGTCGTGGTGGAGGCGGAGGAGGTGGGTTGCTTGTATCGGGACCAACGTCTGCGACAACAGCATCCGCTATCACGGCATCTGCAACATCGCCAGTCGGTGGAGGTTCGTTTTCGGCGGCGGCGCCATCGTTGGCAGGCCGCGAGGGCCACAGAGAGTTCATCCTGTGAGGAAGTGGAGGTGCGTCGATGGGTGTATCATGCTCTAAGAGGTTGTTGGTAGACAAGGAGCAGTCGAGTGTGCTTCATCCGGGGAGATTCATGGAACGAAGAAGGAACACCTCGCGTCAATAATGTGTCGAAGCGTGTTGCGGGTGAAGTTTCGGTTGCTCAGCGCGAAAGCATTCTGACGTGGTCGCGGTGAAGATGCAGCGATCAGGAGGGATGCTGTTTGCGCTGCAGCTTGTGATTGGTTAAACAGCTGGTTCTTGGTGGTTTGGCGGGGTGTACCTCAATGGACGACCCAGCTCCTTATCGCTTATCGATTATTGCATGTCTTATCTGCCCTGGTACCTTACCTACCTAGGTAGAAAACTACCTACCTACCTTACCCTACCTAGGTACCTTAGGTGATCCCCTCTTATCGTCTGGACTTTCCAGTAAATACCAAACGGAGTACTTGGGATAGGGCATTCCTCACTCGAACAGGAAGTGGAGGAGTGACATATGCCTGGCGATGCCTCTCGCTCACATTGCATTGCACGGGAAAACAAACTCATCCGAGGCGGCCAAGGTGATGGAGTGATCGTCTCATGTTAGATAGTACGCGAGCTGCATCACCCGATGTTAATCAGCAGTCAGCAACCCAATGGGTGTCTAGCTTTAGATCCCTACTGCGCAGACTTTCCCCCAAGAGTAAATAGATGGTCATGCGGACGTCCGCAAGGTCAACTCGGTTGGTGTCAGGTCCTGGACCCTTTTGCTACCTGGCGTATGCCTCTTTCTTGATATCCTGGTGTACTATGTTCAATCGCAGAGGTACAGTGCCGAAGAACTGCAAAGCTGACAAGTGCAAGATCTAAAATTCTTGATGCGTTTACTTGACCAGCCCGTGAACCGGTCTAGTCCTAAGGTATGAGTCCCACCGCCTAAAACAGCAACGACGTCAGCGACTTGTCCCCCTACCGCCCCTGTTCTTCGGCAGCACAAGCCATGGACAGATAGGCCCCCCACCTCACTAATCCTGCCCGCAGGGAGGAAACTGACTTCCATGTTGGTCAGCTCGGCCCACTGCGGGCGAACCAGCACCCTAATGGCTACGGACAATGCTGCAATCATCACTAACACCTTGGCCCCGCTGATTGAAGAAGCTTCCACCCGTTGAAGCTGAGGTGGGCAGCTCTCACTCTGCAACCTCTTCTGACTCTTTAGTTTCCTTGGATAGATTTGCCTATCACTTCTCCGAGTCACGCTCTTTAGAACAAAACCTTTGTTCATTCATTGTGTGAGCCTCGGCATCGGCAGCAACCTGGATCCTAGTATCTGTTCTTTCATACTTTCGGGGAACGTGCCTCGGGGTTACAATCGCGAACACTCTCTGCATGCCCAATCGCCTCATTGCCACTGCATATGGGCACTGTGCGACGCAAAGAGAGAGAGACAGCCACTTGATAACTTTCTCTTTGCGCACGCGGTCGAAATAAACCTTTAGTTTGCCGACGATTGAGCCTGCTTTTTACGCTCTCGAAACCACTTCCTTTTTCAATCCGCTGCTAATGCTGTGAGACCGCATCGAAGTCGTCTACAAGTACCAACCGCGATCAAGCTACCCCGCCATCGTCGCGACTTTGCCAACTTGTTTCGCCTTCTTCGTCATTGCGACGCTCTTGCTGCGGGAAATGGGTGCCGAGACTACCAACGACGAGACGGAGAAGCGTGTTGGCTTTGAGAAAGAGGAGGATGCGCATTCAAGCGGAAGTGACGATGACTACCAAAAGGCTGTCGAGGTACGTGGATTTGAAAGCATCATGCCAAACAGCATGCCTTGTATTAAGACTGTGATAGGTCACTTTTGATCCTGGAAACCCTTACCGGCGCAAAAGCTCTCTAGTCACGTCCGAGTCTTCCAGACCTTTGCCGCGACACCCTAGCCAGAGAACTGAGTGCATCGTACACCAGTTCCTCGAAAGCCAGAGAAAAGCTCGAAACGCGGTAGCCTCCGCCAGCAACCAGGGTTCTCGGTCGAATTCGGTATCAAGCGCCTCGAAAGCCACCACGGACAACTACCACCACGGTCATCCCACCTATGAGAACTCTCATCGACATGTCGGTGCCTGTGATGTATCTGGGGAATCGGGCATGTCGAAGACTGTTGAGCCCAAGGGACGGCTCGCTAAGCAAAGAGCGTCCATTTTGGCTGCCGATAGCCCCGAAGGCAGTGACGTTGGCCAGGCCGACGAAAAGTCCTGGCGATCCGAGATTACCAAGTCTGCTTCGCAGATCGACCTCACCCATTCTGACGACGACGACGAGCTGCATAGCCGACTACTCACCAAGAAGCAACTTAGTGAAATGGCTTGGGGAGTCCGAGAGCTTAGCAGACGGCTCAGCAGTATGCGCATCAGATTCCGCGTAAAGACGATATTTCTCCTGACCAAGATCCACGATGCGGATCTGATTGCGCGCACACGGGAACTAACCAAATGGCTCCTGTCACATGAGCGGGATGTTGTGTATACAGTCTACGTGGAAGAAAAGTTCAAGGACAACAAAAAGTTCAATGCGACGGGAATAGTTGAAGAGCTCAAGAAAGACGTTGCCGAGTCAGGAGCATCGAAACCTGGGACAAGCGAGGAAGGCATATCGAAGCGTCTTCGGTACTGGAATGAAGACATGTGTCGGAACCGGCCGCACATGTTCGACTTTGTTATTTCATTGGGTGGCGACGGTACCGTACTCTACGCCAGCTGGCTTTTCCAGCGCATTGTCCCGCCGGTGCTGAGCTTCTCCCTCGGTAGTTTGGGTTTCCTGACGAAATTCGATTTTGAGGACTACCAAAGCATCCTCGAGAATGCCTTCAATAAAGGCGTTACAGTCAGCTTGCGGTTGCGGTTTGAGGGAACCATCATGAGGAGCCAGACGAGAAAACAGCTGGTGGAAGGTGAAGAGAGCAGCTCGAGCCAAGACGACGACGGGCGAAAGCTTGACCTCGTGGAAGAGCTAGTGGGCGAGGAGAGGGAAGATGAACACACCCACAAACCAGACGGAACTTTTGAGATATTGAACGAGATTGTCGTCGATCGTGGTCCAAACCCAAGTAAGTCCTCGACCATGCTTCCCTGCTGAGCGAACTCTAGATTACTGATCATGCCACCCCAATAGCAATGTCGTACACTGAAATCTTCGGTGACGACGAACACTTCACCTCCGTCTTGGCAGACGGCATTTGCGTTTCGACCCCAACGGGCTCCACCGCCTACAACCTGGCGGCCGGCGGTTCACTCTGCCACCCGGAAAACCCCGTCATGCTCGTCACTGCCATCTGCGCACACACGCTCTCGTTCCGTCCCATCATCCTACCCGATACCATTGTTCTTCGTGTGGGCGTGCCCTACGACGCGAGGACCAACTCGTGGGCCAGCTTCGACGGTCGCGAGCGCGTTGAGCTATTTCCAGGAGACTACGTGACGATCAGCGCTAGCCGTTATCCGTTTGCCAGCGTCCAGGCTCAGGGTCGGCGCAGCGAAGATTGGGTCAACAGTATCAGCGGCAAGCTAGGGTGGAATACGCGCCAAAAGCAAAAGGAATACAAAGAATGGGAGAAGTAGATCCATTCGTCCAGGGAATCAGCGATCAACGATTAAAAGTCCAGAAAAGTTCCACGACACGCAGAGTCAAAAGGCTTGGCTTCGGATAGCAACTTTCCGAACGACTATCAGTCGGCAAGCTGTCACCACAACCAGGAACTCACATAGTCACACGCAGACGAAGAGGATGGGCACTTTGGCACATTTCAAATCTTTTGTCACCTGCCGCGTGGCCAGCCCAGGAAGAAAGCACACTCACTGCAACCACAATCCTGCCTTACGGAGGACTATAAATCCAAACGCCAAGCCCCGGAGATGGTTCACGTCCTCGAGAGAACCTCTTTTTGAGTCTTTCAGAGGTGAGAACATCCCGTCTTCGGGAGGGTAGCCACTTGGCCTCCGAGAACGAAGATCGACTAGGTTCACGAACGCAACTAAGCTTTGCCTTTAAGCTTGGCACTACGTCTTCCAGCCTAGCCTGGGTGCGATGTGAGTTGCGAGGAAGAGGAGATGAGCTCCGAGAAATCGTAGCAACACAGCTGTCTTAGTAGCAATTCGTTTGTCCAATTGGCTTCGAGGCGGGCTCCGGATGTCGTTTTCGTGCTCGCCATCTACGATTTTTCCTCCACGTTGGTCGATATTCCTCCATCCCATCAAGTCTACAACGAGAAACAGCCCAACAAGCAGACTGTGCGCAGGAAGCAGACAACGTCACCCGGACGATGGGTAGACAGACTCATCTCTGCGTGTGTCAAGGTGTTTCCTCCTCCCAAGACACGAAGGGAAAAAAAACCGCAAACCCAGGGCAATCCACGCCAAACCCGACAAAACAAACGCGGCAAGCTAAAACACCGACCGGCGTCACCCGCCCAACCTCGCTGGCTCTACGACTCCTAGAGCAGGGCACCTTACTAAGGCCTTACCCTCACCCACGAATAGGCCCCCCGCGGGCTTTCGCAGCGCATCTATTGCCCGCTCGGTCGCACCCGCGGATACCCTTGGTCATGGGTCTGGCTTCTTCCCTTGGCTTCTTCTTCCTCCCACCTCCCGCACAACCAGGATGGCCCCTGAGTCGTGCGCTGACAAAGGAAACGCTACAATTCTCCCATTGGGTCTTTTTTCCCCTGGGCGATTTCAGCATGGATACCGCCGATGGGTTGTATGCGGCTCTAATAGTATCTACCAGGGTGAGGGGACTTGTGACAGATGCTGCGACGTTCCGCTGGTCCCATGTTCGCCGGCAACACAATGGAACGTCTCACAACCACAACAACTCGGAACTGATCGCCATACGTCCATAGGCGGTTAATAGGCGGCTTTTTTTTGCCCTTTGAGCTGCAGGTTCCACATAATGCCTACTTGTTTTTTTATGCAGGAACCGCCACGCAGAGCCCACGTCTGGTCGATTTTTCGCTTGAGACGAAACAGGCATTTGTGATTTCCGGTCGTTTCTACATGCACTAAAAAAAGGAACTCTCAAGGAAAGCATAACAGGCAGAAGTCGGAGCTATCAATAATCGCTGGGCAATGTTTGGGTAGATGGCAAAGAGGTATTTTTTTGAGATAGAGAAGAGCAAGAAAGAAAAAAAAAAAGGTTCAGATACACAACCACTCGATACGCCGCCGCCGCTGACCGCCACAGCCAATAAGGAGAAATAACCAGGCGATTTCCAACTATCAGTGAGAATCGTACACGCCGAATGCTAGTGATTTGTCTAGAACGAACACCCACACCACCCTTCCCAAAATGTTTGATATCATGGCGTAAAAATAAAAGACAAGGAGGTTTTGAGGCCCGTAAAAAGCGAAGGCAAGCCGAGACCCATTGTGTGTACGCGTGAGCCGTTTGTATATAGTGAGCCGATTACTCAGGTGAGTGAAGAGTAGCGGAAGGATCTCGACGAGGGATTAGGGCTGAGGCCGGGAATCGTAAATATTTGAATGAGGTGAGGAGGAGAAGAAACAAATCGTGGCAACGTTCTCAATTTTGGGGGTTTGGTTGAATAAGCTCTTTTGGGTTTCCAGGATTACACACGCGAAAGAGCAATCTACTGCTCGTCCTCCACATCGTCGGCCTGAGTCTCGACAAAGGTCATGGTGACGCCCTCACCGCTGACATTCAGGTTGACGGTGTCAATGGCGCCGCCGCTGACGCCTCGTGAGTTAAGCTCCTCAACTGCGCGCTTGACAACGTTGTTGTTGGTGGCTGGGACGACTTGGGAAACGGGGGCGGAAGGATCGCGGGCAACGAGCTTCTCAGGGGTCATCTCGACGCCTATTCCGTAGTGATTAGCCGCGTGTGCCTTGAGTGTTCCAAGACTTATTTGTTACTTACCAGCAGGAACGCCGGAGCGAACGTACATGGTGGTGACCTTGGCACGGCGGCGAGGGGGCTGCTGGGCCTCGTCGGAGCGGGCCTTGACCTTCTGCTGAGCAACAATAGCGCCGGCAGGGCGGGGTGCAGCGGGGGTAGCGGGTGCGGCCTCAGCGGCGCCTCCGGTTCCAGGACGAGCTGCTGCTTGCTGATTGTTGTCGACGATCATGCCGACACCAGAGCCCTCCTGACCAGTGCCAAGCTGGATCTTGGGTCCCTTAGTGAGGGCAGCCTCGGCGTACTTCAGAGCGCGATCGAAACCGGAGAGATCGCGCTTCTCGGCGGGACGGGCTTTGGTAAGCTGTACACGGGGAGCGATCTCCTTGCCCATTCCTTGGAGGGCTGCAATGGCTTGGGCCTGGTTGGAGAGGTAATATGTTAGCTGATATTGGTCTGATAGTACTAGCGTCCGTGTGTGTCCCGTACACACAGACATGAGCCGCCCGAAAGCTAGAAGATTCCACTAACCTCGTTGATCTGGTTGTCCGCGGACGAAGCAGTCACCGGCGTAGCACCTCCGACTGAAGCAGCGGCTTGCTGAGCAGGCTGCTGAGGGGCGGCCGGGGTAGCAGGTGCCGCGGGAGCGGCAGGGGCGGCGGCCGGAGCATTCGCAGCACCTTGAGCAGCATTAACTGCGGCGCCCTCCAGTACATTCATCAACTGGGAGACGTCGTTTCTACCGCCAAATGAAATTTCACCATCACCCACCACCAAGGCAGGTGAATAAGCGCCCAAGTTGATGTTCAAGGGCAGAGCGTTGAGCTGAGCGGCCAGGCCGGCAACGGCGAAGATGTAGCGGTTGACCATCTTGTCGATCTGTTCGGGTAGTCGGTATGTCTTGGTGTGATTCGGGTGGAACGGCTCTTGGAAGAGGCGAAGGGTGGTCTGCGAGACGGTGACACTAAGTAATAGGCGTAGAGTTGTATAATAAGGACACGACCAGCGGAAGAATTGAAGATAGCTTTTTAAAATCTTGAAGAAGAGAGAGAAGAAAACCGAGAAGAGACAGGATACCAGTCGAGCACAGCTAAAGAAGAAATAGAAGAAAAGATCTGAAAAAAAGCACGAGAATTTAGCTTTCATATATTTCCCCACGAGCCAAGATGGATGAGTTGAGATTGGAGACTAGCCACATGCTTGAGACACAGCCGCCAAGATGCCAAGAGATAGAGTCCCGTCGAAAGCCTCAAGTCGGTCGTGGGCCCTCAGACATTAGCAGAGGGGCTACCGTCTGGGGTAGGCTCTTGATCGAGTCGGTACGGAGGCGCAGGCAGGGGGTGCTCGTCGTGGTCGAGGTGGGATTGCCCAGCTGGAAAGCTCCGAATAACGCCAAGGGATGGCCGAAGGACGAGTAGGCTAGCGATGGTACATTGTAGACAATCCGCCCAGCGGGACTGGATATTGTTCAGCGTGAGGTCCAAGCAGTCAGCGACGCAGTCGAGGCATGAAACGCAGGTGACACCAGAGACAGGCAGCGAGCCAATTGGGCAGGTCGGTTTGGGATATCCATCTGGGAGGCCAGCCGCGGTCGAGTGTGCAAGAGGAGGGCGATTCGAGACCAAGCTTGACGGAGAGACCTGACTAGGAGGTCTTGGCATCGTCGCCGTGCCTCTATGCGATGGCCGAGAGATGTCAGGTAGGATGCCAATTTTGGCCCAGAGATCCACGCTCTGATGTTGCCAGGGCATGGGTGGGCATGGGTGACCCCCCGGGACGCGTAGACAGATCCGACTCGACTCTCTGGCAGATGGTCAAGGGACGCAGTATTTGCAGAGTGGGTCAGTCGCTCATGAGACTTTGCCAAGCACTCCTGCGATGGTAGCTGGGACGTGCACCGCAACGATACTGCCCATTTCTCTGCGTCTCTCCGTTGATTTCTGCTTGGGTGGATGGGACGAAGGTGGCGGGTGAGCAGCAGCGTGGACGATACTCGGTGTTGGTGGATTTCGAAAGGAACAATTCAGAGGGCTCAGAATCCCGCGTAGCATCTAAGCATACCTTCATGGTTGTGCCAAGGGGCGGATTATTCTCTTGGCACTTGGCGGGTCGCCGTATGGCCGGTGTCGTCTTCCGTCTGGTACCATCTTTACTACCTGCTGCCCCCCTTCAGCAGGGCAGACTATCGAGCATCGATGCAACGGCCAAGAAGCACAAGAGATCTCCCCGGTATTGGCGTCGTCGGGTGCCGCGGCGGATGGAGTCTCCAAGCCCGCCAAGTAGCCAAGGGCAATCAGCCACGTCCCGGCCGTGTAACCTCTTGGTCCGCGGCACGCCGCACAGGTGAGAGACGCATACTCAGGACGCAGAGCCGCTAAAGCTAAAGACTGAGGAAAGAGTGAATCGGGTTGTTTTCTCTAGCGAGTCGTGCACAGCGCTGTTCGGCCCGCCTTCTCTACCCAATTGCCGGGATGGTGTCCCTGGCGAATGTTTCCTCAACTCCAGGTTGCGGATGATGGAAAGACGTCTAGTGGTGGGCAGAGGGGCAAACGCATGACAGTCGTGCCCCGATGGTTTGCCAATTGTCAAGTGTCAGGAGGAGCCCCAAGAACCCCGTGGTACGGTACAAAGCGAAAAAAAGGGTCCAGTTGCATTCCGTGACAGAGTCTTGGGCCGGGTGGATGGATGGAGACTGGGATGCAATGCAGAGAGGACAGACGAGTTCGACCGAGCATGGGGAGTCTGAGGTCGATTGACTGTGAGTGCAGTGCGGTACCGTTGGAGTGTCCAGTGTCGAGTGCTGGATTTTCTGGTCTGGTGCGACACTCTCCCATACTTCTGCCCGTGTCTGAGACTTCGGAGTTGCGTGATAGTCGCCGTCGTAAGGATTCCGCTGATGGTGGTCGTCTGTACATTGTTGTTTGCTCGGGCTCCGTTTTGTAGCCAAAATTAGCATTGGAAGCCGGGGACATCAGACCAAGCCCCTATTTTCCCTAACCTTGAACGGGAAAGAGTCTGTTTTGCGGTTCTTGTGCAATGTGTACTCCGTATGGGCGGTTTGCGGCTTGCCCCGTGACACACCATGTTCGCGAGTGTTCAATGCAGGCCGGTGGGTTGAAGCCAACAGGATATGCCCAGTTCGAAGCGAACATGCACGTGCCTGACCCGCCTGGTTTCCGGCGAGAAGAAGGCAAACGAACCGGGGGAGAGCCTGAAGGCATTCAGATTCTGCAAAGCCAATGAGCCGAAAGTCGAATCGTTGTCGTTGCCCGTAATCAGAATTGCTGTCTGTGTGGTGCCTCATTGTGTGTATGGTATGACCGTTGCAAAGACTTTGTTGGGTGTGGAAGGAAAGAGTTCGCGCTTGCCTCAAGGACAGGGCGAGGTTTCCAGGCTGCAAATAGAGACTCTGACAGGTTTTCTTCCTGCCTCGCCAAACGCCTAAGCTCTGCTGGCCGGCTCCTGCCTGTCACGTCTACCTGCATCGCTCACCTCAGGTTTCTCACCAAGCACATCCCGTGCGTGCCCTTTTTGCTCTGTACCTTACATCAAATCTGCATCCAACCTACGGACGTACCTCACAGAAGCTAAGGTATGGAAGGTTCTAACATTCGGCTGGATTTCTCATCAGCCTGGAAAATGTGTGACATCCATTCATTCTTGATTCGATGCAGCTAATCTTTGACTTGGCATTAGGTTAACCAGCCGAAAGGCTACTGTGCGGCAGCTGTCGCCATCTTAGTGCGCCGTCTGTGATCAACTGTCATCTCCTTTCCGCCATGTGGTCCGGCTTCGAGTGTGGAGGGAAGGAAGAATAAAGCTTCGTCCGGAAGAGACGGCGCGGAATGGCTGGTCTTGGGAGTCTAAAGTCTTGGAAACCAGCCTGTCAACCACTTGTGGCACGTCTTGGGCAGCGCGAGTCCTTCCGCATAAGCAACTCTCCAGCGGCCCCATTCCCAATGTTGCAGCTTCATTTTCTGGGGAGCAAGTCTCTCTTCGCCATTGGGTCCGCAAGCCGATGCTCAAAAGACAAGAGTTTACCAAGACCATCCATCGTCGCTCTTGGCTGCGTCCAAGTGTTGTCATTTCGTCCACCCTCTACGAACAGACTGACTCTAAATCTCTTGAGTCTGGGGGCCAAAACTCCGGGCAGCCTGGCCTAGATGGCGATGGCCGCGCATTCTGCACCGGAATTGTTTGTTTCGAGAATCGAGACCTCGTCAACACAAGCTTACTTGACTATTCCATCTTGGCTCTCGCCCAGAGTCGTAGTCTACCCCCTGAAGGCGTCCATGCACCCTACGATCCCATCCACCTGCAACGTTGGTCGTCGACAAATGTTGCCTCTTCCAAGTGCCGACAGAGGAAGAGGAGCCATGATGGCATGGGTTTGTCTCTCCAGCGAGAACGAACTCCCCCGTTCTACATGGACCCCAGGCCCGTTGGTCAGGAATCACAACGGCGGATGTTCCCAAGGGTTACACTCCTCGTCTTTGCCGATATTCGTCGCCCGCCCCGGTTGCGCAAGGCCCTACACACCAAAACACGCTTACCTCTTCAGACGGATGCACCGTCACTGCCTCAAGCTTTCTGTCATCCAAGCCCCTTGGACGCAAATCTCGGTGCTCACAGTCGGCCAAGCCGGTCAAACGGCACTAGAATGCAACTCGAGCGATTGTGACAGCACCAGCAGCCGCGGTGATCTCCTATGAGAGACCAGCAACAATTCCAGGCCGCGCACATTTGTCTCATTCGTCGCATATCCTCCAGACAATCCGAAAATAGCTCTCGCGGATGATCTGAGACGTTCGCGAACCTCGACCGCTATCTGATTGAACTCTTAGACGAACTGGTTTCTATCGGTGCTCCATTCATGCGTTCGGACTACCTAGGCCAGCCAGCAACTCGGAACCTATTGCGAACGTTGTGGCGGGCTTCTAAAAAGGGACTCTTCTAAAGGGCCTTCTAAGCAGCATCAAATGTCATTGTCTCAGGAACTCGCCTGTACGATGTACGGGGTAATTACCGCAAGGTTTTTCCAAGATGGACATATTATCCGCCACCCTCTGGATCTCTTTTTTGTTTGTTGGCTGGGCTGAGCGGATGGTCGAACCCAAGCTGTGCTGTGGGCTCCGTCCCCAAACGCACCCAAAACAGCGAAACATCGCGGGATATCTCCCTGGCACTTGCTCGTCGCTTATCGTACACGCCAAGGCCAACCCTCAGACGCGCCAGTTGGTCTAGCCGGTCTGGAAGACGCGGGAGGAAGGGGCGGACACCTTTTGATTGTCCTGGAGCCCTGGACCAATTCACCAATACAATGTCTTGACTCGTCTCCGCGTTTCCACCATCCACGAGCTGTCTCTGGTAGCGCTGCCGCAGGTATCCTATATCGTGGACGGAATATTACTACAGCCGGTCCAGACGCTGCTTCGGGGGGGGGGGGGGGGCTCTTGGCACCGCAAATTTCGCCTCAAACGTCTCTCGACGTCCGGACTAGTGTCCGTCCCCTTCCTCAACCAAGTTCTTACCTACACTCACCATGCAGTCACCGAGACTTCACTCCAAGATAATCAGGGGAAATTTCCCTCATGCATGCATTGCATTTACTGCATCTCAATTACTCGACAAGTCTCGACAAGTTGCTGAAATCATCGGATCGCCTTGCCAAGAGGTCGATGGAAAAGGATGATTCGCCGATCCCAACTTGTGACTGGCCAGCGCCAAACTGTCGTGCGGCGTGCCGCGCTGATGGTGCAGTAGCCGCGTCTTACAGTATGTCGCCTACGGAGTATCCGTACTGCGTACAGAATCCTGCTGCTGACAGGCATCAGTGCGAGCCAAACGTCTACTCATCACCGACGTAGTCGTTAGGGCATCTTCGCGCCTCTCTCTCTCTTCCTACCTTACCTTGCCCATCCATAGCTATAGCACCACCGGTCCATTTATCGTCTGACTCTTGTTCGACACCTCTTTGCCACTTTCGTTTTCTCGATCATGTCGGCGAAAAGCTTCGCTGAGTCGAACACGTTCTATCGGCCCGTTCACTCACGGCAGGCGGAATCTTGGAGGAGGCCTCTCGTCCTCGCAGTCGTTCTATTTGTGCTCTGGTTGTGGAAACTCAGTGAATGGTTCCATGGGCGGAATGTAATCCTTCATCCAGAACAAGGCCCCTTCCCAGTCTTCACCGATTGGGATGACATACCCACGAGCGAGAAGCTCCTCTGGGTGCGATGCGAGCTACCCGGCATGTTTCCCCTGGGCCGTGGCTACATGTGCGCCCGATTGACCGTGCCGATGGATTACCAACGGCCCTTGACCCAGTCTGCCGATAACCCCAAGGTCCATGTCGCTATGGTTCTCCTCCCCGCTCTCGGCCACGGCCTAGAGACGGGGCGTTTCTCCGAGTCTCCGCTTCTCCTCAACCCGGGCGGACCCGGCGGGCCAGGCACCACTTTCACCTTCCCGCCGTTCGGTCCCACTATCCAGGCCGCCGCCGGAGGCAGCGTCGACATCATCGGCTTTGACCCCCGCGGCATTGGCGCCACGACCCCACGGGCTGACTGCTTTGTCGACACCAAGCCCGGCGAGCAACCTTCAGCCGCGGCTAACAACCTTGCTTATATGCACAGACTGACCTGGCTGGCAATGGCTCACGACATCGGTCTGCCAAATGCCACGTCCGGCGCCTTGGACCAGCTTGCACAGCGTGCCAGGGCGTTGTCCAAGCTGTGCTCCCAGAAGGATGTCCAGGAGGGCGGATTCGAATACATGGCTACGCCTAATGTAGCGGCAGATATGAAGAGCATCATCGGTGCACACGATGCCTGGCTTGAGGACAACGGGTTCGACACCACGCCACTCAGTGCCGGCATGTTGTCACCCAGCGAAGCTGCTCCTCCTTCAACAAAGGGGAAACTAGTCTACTGGGGGTTCAGCTATGGCACGTTCCTAGGACAAACCTTTGCGGCCATGTATCGTACGTGGCAGCCCAATGTCCTTCATGTAAGATAGTAAGGGCTGATCTTATTTGTGTTACACAGCTGATGCGGTCGGACGACTCATTCTGGATGGCGTCGTTGATGCCAAGGAGTACGATATACCTGTGAGTTCATATCCGTGATGTATCATCGTTGTCCAGGTCACTTGGATGCTAAAAAAAGAGTGTTAGACGTGGATCTCAGCCATGCGAGACGCCGATGCAGTCCTGGAAAGGTTCTTCTACTACTGCCACCTCGCCAGGGACGCATGTGCCCTCTACCGTCTAGGCGACGGCGGCTCAGCGCAAATCAAGAAACGATACGAGCAGACAATGGCCAAGCTCCGGGCTGATCCACTCATCGTCGTCTCCCGCGCGGGACACATGCCCATCGTGCTACTGGAGGCCGACATACGGAAGCTGCTCTTCACCTCGCTATACTCTCCCACCAAGGTCTTTCCCTTATTGGCTGTTCTGCTGAACCGTCTGCATGTGGGCGATGACCTCTCTGATGTGGTGGTTGCGCCTGATTTCGGCTTCACCTGTGACGCGGATCTCAAGATGGTCATTTATCCCGAGGAGAGCCCCAAGGCGATTGGATGCAGTGACCGGAGGTACAAGGTGAGGGCAAATATGAAGCATGGGTCAGGAAGAACATCTGCTGACGGGCCTCTCTACCAGCGTAATGAGACTCTGGAGCAAGTCTTTGACAAGGTATCCAAGGTCACCTCTTTCGCTGACGTCGTAAGTCCCATCACCCAGCCTTACCAAGAATTGTATGTGATCAGCTGACTCCCTTCGGCCTCAAGTTCTTCCCTCTCATGATGCACTGCGAAGGCTGGGACATCCAAGCCAAATTCCCCTCCCCGGGCTGGGACGCGAACCTCGAATCCCCCGACCCCGTCAACACCTCCTTCCCGATCCTCTTTGTCGGAAACACCCACGACCCCGTCACGCCGCTAGCCCAGGCCGTCGCCGCGTCCCGGAAATTCGTCGGCGCCGGCGTCTTTGAGCTCGAGGCCGAGGGGCACTGCACCCTCGCCGCGACTTCGATCTGCGCGATCCAGAAGATGAGGGCGTATCTGCACAAGGGCATCGTGCCGCCGCCGGCTGCGGTTGCTGCTGACGGACGGATTGCCGGGTGGGATAAGTGCAAGGCCGACGAGCGGCCTTGGAAGCCTTTCCCGGCTGAGCTGGCGGCGGAAGAAGGAGGAGAAGGAGAGGGGGCACTGCACGCGGAGGACTTACATGTCTTACAGGGGTTGAAGGATGTGCATGCCGAGATTGTCGGCCGGTTGACGCCACCATTGAAGCTGCGTTTGCAGTAAGGGCATGTTCGAGGTCGCGCCTTCGCCGGACTTTGAGACCATGTTTTGCGAAAGATTGGCGTTATCGTACGCGTTGGGCGCCTCGGTGACAATTCGGCATTAGCTAGCACGTTGTCGCATTTTCTTGATGTCGCGATCGGAAGAAGACATGTGGGATTCTACTGGATGCGGTTTACCCTACATCGCAAGCTCGCCGGCGCGCGGCGAGGGTGATGTGAGCAAAGTGGGATGTGATGGTGTGTCTTCGTGATGCCCGATTTCTGCCCGATACTGTCTCACTCTCACGTGTATGAAGTGGAAGGTCACTCAGGACTGGAGAGACACCTCATATATCATTCCAGATCGTCACAGATGTGCCGATGACACCCATGTTTGATTTCCAAGGAAGGTTTGAGGCCATATCGTATAAAACTTTAATCAAGTTGGGCTATATGGTGTTGTGCGTGCCAGCATGTAAACATGCGAGAGGCGTTCCATGGCATGGGGGTCTTGCACAGGATGCTCTCATCAGCGCCAGCAGATATCTCGTACCAACAGGGGCATACAGCTTATGTGCCGCGTAGCCTTGAGATTCCTTAAGCCAGATGGAAATATCTGGACAATAGGGTTGGGTCGGAATATGTGCACCTCAGCACCCTCTCACTTGACGGAACATCAACGCTGTCCGACAGCCATGCCGCTTGACTGCCACGGGTGGATTCTGTCGGTGTCAAGGTGTAAACTTCCTCCTCTGTCCTCTGGGCCTTATGGGTCTCATTTGATTTTCCACATAGCATCAGCCCCGTAAGCGATATCAGAGTCCCCTCAATTCACGCATGGCCCCAGTGATTTTACGCCTGCGGTGTAACCTCGATGAAGGCGGTGATCTGCCGTCTGCGGGGTTTGACCATGTCATTTTGGGCCCTTGTTCGCCAGATCTGTTATTCCACTTGGAAGCGTATTCAAACCCTGGAAGTGTATTCAGATCCATTGGTCTCAGGTCCAGATCTATTATCCATTTCGAAGCAATTCAGGTCGCTGGTGTTAGGCACGAAAACCATTTGGCATGGGAGTTTATCTGCCTCCGCTGGACTGATGTGGTCCTGTGTAAGAGGAAGAAGGGGATGGAAATGTCGTTCGTTCGTTGCTATCTACCAATCGTATATTTCTGGTTCTCGTTAGCAGCCAGTAGTTTGAATGTCTTATGTGGCATCTTCAGACTCTGGGAAGATCGAACCCTGGAGCGTGTCGCCGATGACCATGGCAGAACTGGTATATCGGATGTAGTCCACTCTGTTTGTCCTCTTGTGGTGCCCTCCCAGCAGTAACCCTATCGTTAATGAATTAAGGAAGTGGGAGACAAGAGATGTGAATTAGAGAGAACAGAAGATGAGGAATTGAGAAGTCGAGATGGGAAAGAAGGACTACCTCTTCTCGGGTGAACGAATATCACTCTTGAGCATGTCTCCCCTAGGTGCATGCTTGCCCAGTCTTCAAAGCTACACATGCTTGACCTGCTACAGCCATTCTCTGCAAGCGCAGCTCGTTCCAGGCAGATTCTCCCGTGCTAACCAACAAAGGCAGAATAACAACAAACCTACCCCTCAGTCAAGGGCACGGCCACGGAGCGGTCTGCCCCTGCAATCCGAGACCTGAGGTCGAGATTCGAGATGCCCCGCGCCCCCGTCGCCGAACGGACTTACCCGCCGATGCGGTCGATGACCAACTGTAGCATCGATCATCAGGGGTTGAGAGAATCGCTGCACGGAGAAAAGCTGGGTAGGCGGGGCCACGCCAGGCGCGCCTTAGCGTCCACGATCGACGCATCGTTCCATATCTCGGTGCCGCTTCTCCTTGTGTCTTCTGCACGGGTAATTCGATCGGGCGCATTCCCCAAATGCAACAGCCCGCGTGCCCATGGAATAGCATGGAGGGGTAAAGCCAGGGGCGCCGACGGCTGCATTGACCAGAAAGACACGCGGCGAGAAGCTATTGAAGGACAGTTCGTATGAGGGGCCTAACTTAGGATAATGAGCCGCGGCTTGATTTGAGTCTCGGGTTCAGGCTAGAGTTGACAAGCACAAGGCGTAGCGACGTTCAAGGGAGCTAGGACTGTCAACAGGCACTGACAACAAGCTTACACGAGGAACTCAGAATTGGGTCACCAGCCCAACAAAAGCTTGACGACGTACAAGTAGCTCTAGAACGGCGGCGGGGCTACAGGTTACTCCGAGGCTCATGTCCTGACGACGCTAGGCTCCGCTGATTGACATAACACGGCCTTACCTTATTGAGTGGAATGCGGACGGATATGTTGGAAGCAGTGTCTAAGAATGAGACGTGCCCAGCCGAGGGGCAGAAGAGGGGTAGCAATCGGGTTCCTCAAGGTCCGCTGTAATAGTGGCTTCAGTGCTTCAGAAGCAAAATGGACAGCGAGAGCGACTACTGATGTGATTTTGGCGATGTCGTTGCTGTGACGTAGTTTCCGTGGGATGTTTTCGGATTCGGGAAGTCGGACAATGGAGACACGGTATAAGCAAACCGGGAGGAGGCAAACGTCGCGACGAGGGGCACGAGATCAAAAGCTGGTGTACGTAGGCGAAGATCTGAACGAGAGTGGATACGATGTGCAACGCGGCCCAGCGAAAATTCCGCATGTTGTCGTGCACGAATTCTGTCAACCGAATTGATGGCGAGGTAAGACGGTACGAGCAGATGCGCCTGATACTCTCCCGTAAGAAAGTACTTGCTCTGTTGGGAAACGCATCGGTCTTTTCCTCGCATCGTATTCGTCCGTCCAAGGGTAAAGCTGGGCCATGCCGCAATTGTGGCATCAGCATCACATGAGACGCAGCGTGGAGAATCCCCCATGCTGCAGGACAATCAGCCGCCTTTGACCGGAGAAGAACGTCCGAGCATAAAGCTGAGAGTGACAGAATGTACCAATAATAAGGTATGGAGCAGGAGGCAAGACTTACGCAGTAAATGGAAGGGAAGGAGACGGGCCTTCTTCCGCATCGTGTTGTGATTGTTCCCAGTGGCTCGTTCATCGGGGATCTCGATGACATACAGGCGTGCTTGCTGTGGAGGGGCGAATCGGGAAACAGTCAACTGTTTCGTAGGTTGCGGGAATTCGCCGGGCTGCGCAAGTGCAAATTGAAACCCGCATCTTGCCGCATCCAGACGACCGACTCCATACTCCAGAAGGCAGAGGGGCAGACGCGGACTCTGGGGGTTGGCAGCTGCGATGTTGTCTGGATTCTCGAACGCTTTGGGTGGTCCAGAACGGTCCTTGGATGGCTTGCTGGGCCCAAAGCACAAAGCTACCTGGCGGTGTCGTCACTTCGCATGGAGCTCTATTGTAACGCAGCGAATCAGCAACACGGTGGTTGGCGCTGTCCAGTAGGCTCATTGATCTGTGCTCACCCGGTGAAGCTGAGTTCGAGTGGTTGATGCTTGTTCATAGCTCTCCCGTCCCGTCGAATCTGCTTTTACTGCTTGCCCTCTTTGCGCTCATCGTGTGATCCACTGTGGCTGCGAGCCTGCTTGGCTTCCGTGGGTGAGACCGGGAGAGTGTGGATGTGTTTTCCAATAATGGGAGATGATGGGAGATGATGTCCCGGAGAGGGTGGGGAAAGTAGACAGCATGATCGAGATTTGCAAAAATGCCATCCTCTCTGAAGACAGGACGTGTAGCCGGGTTGGCTGGCCACTGCTCGCAATCGACAAACTGACGTATTTCGGTGGCCAGCATTACGCGACTGACGCGAGAATGGACATGTCTTCTTTGCATGTGGCAATGGTTGTCTTTGCTGCAATCGCGGATGGGCCAACGACCATGCAAGTCCCATCGTATTGTGCGCCTAGAGATGCAAGTGGGGTCCTTCTATGGCATGGGGGGGCCGCAAAGATTTAGAGTACCGCAAGGTACGTATGTATGTATGTATCGTGGGATGCTGAAAGTGGAAGCCCAGCCTCAGGCCCATACACAATAGGTCCACCATCCAGGTCCATGCGGGGACACTACCAATTCCGTGCCTACCCACCTAGGTATGACGTTCGTGCGTCTACGTCCTCCTGACGTCACTTTGGGAATGCACGGTAGGTAGCTTGCCCAAAGCTCCTGCAGGTTGCCAGAGCTGTATGTAGCTCTCCCCATCTGTGGCTGGTGCGACTGCCAAACAGACATGGAAGGTCCGCAAGGAGCCACCTGGGCCACCTCTTGGTCATTTTCGATAGAGACCTCCCTTTGGCTTCTGGGCATTGGCCATACTATCCATCCTCAACTTCCACTAACTGGAGTAACTGCGAAGGATGTCATAGTCTATGACGACATTTCTTCAGTTCACATGATAGACCCTGAGCGTCTTTGCCATGGGGTGAAACTGCGCTCTAGCCACGAGTGGGCAAGCCCGGAGGAGGGGCAAGACACGCGCAGGGAGAGACAAGCCCGATAGGCACGGCCCAAACTATTGCATTCGGGAACTTGACAAGGAATCAAACGAGGGGGAGGGGCAGACAGACGGAGGGGCAACCTGCGATGTACCTTCCCATGCTATGATGGAGCGGGAGGTACCTCCTTCCTTGAGGTGTCGTTGTCTCCCATCCGTGAGGTGCCTTCCTTCCTTACCGACGGGTATTCGAATGATCAAACTCAACCTGTCAGCGGGGCAACTTCCGCAAGGCAGAAAGGCACCACGCCGAAAAGAGGCAGCAGCTGCCTTCCCTCCATACGAGAGGGCGCCTCGAGAATGCTGCCAACTTCTTATATAAACCTCTTCTTCCCACCACCACTACCACATCCTCTCTCCTCTTCATCACACTCACAATCAATCAACTTTCAATACAAACAAACAACACCACCAACCAACCCACCAAACAACCCAACCTACTTCACAATGGAGACCATCAAGAACGCCGCCAACTACGTTTCCGAGTCTGTCCAGCAGGCCGGTGCCACCGCCTCCAAGGAGACCAACAAGCAGGTCGCCAAGGACGACAACGTCTCCATCGGCAACCGGTAAGCGTTCCTTCCACCTTCATGATGGCTTTTAACTAACATCTTTCTTCAGTGCCTCCGCTGCCAAGGACGCCGTTGGCGACAAGATCGACGAGTCCAAGCACGACTTCAAGAGCGAGGGATACAAGGAGCAGGCCAAGCACTAAATCATTCCCACGATACCCAAACACCAGGGAATTTTCAATGAGTAGGCGTTTGGAACGGATCGGGACACGCAATGAGGCAGGAATACCTGGGAATTGATCACGGATCTTCTACCTAGAATAGCTTTTAATGCCACTGCATTGCTAAGATCACATCGAATTCCTATTTATGAGTGACACCTGTCATAATCGAATATTTCTGTTCCTCAAAGTCCTTATTTAATCACAATCTGATTTGTCTAATTAATCAATCTATGGCAACAAACATACTAAGTTATGCCACCTCTAGGCTTTCCACCAGATCCCATCTGAAATCATGATGATTTTCACTCGATGCAACATTTATCCTTGCATAATTCACCAATAGTCCCCACTTGTGTTGATGCTTTCCCCACACCGGGCCTGGGGTTCCGGTGCACGGATCCTTGGCTTGAACGTCGCAAGACTGTTGGACGTGACAACATACTACTGGCGCGACACAACTTCATCAACAATCATCAAGAACGAATAGAGTCAATTGCACGTCACGCTCCTGCCTACCATGTCCAACACATCTTCAACCTTGCCGCCGGATCTGTTCGATCAGACAACGCTCATTTCCCTGGCAGCAACCGTCGTCCTCTTGTCCATAGCTATCGCTGTGTCTCGTCGAGTCCTCCACCCCGCCACATCGACGAGCTATCGCGTCCTCTTCATCTGGCACGCCTTTGATGCTTTGATCCACTTCTTCCTCGAGGGCAGCTTCCTCTATCACTGCTTCTTCTCTTACATCCCTCTCGCCGACGTGCCCGACGCCGACCTCAGCGGTTTCCACCCGACCCCGGCCAATTTCCTCGGTCATTCAGATCGCATCTATGGCGCCCAAGCGGGCGGAAGCAATCCCTTTGCGCAGTTGTGGATGGTTTATGCGCGGGCTGATAAGAGATGGGCCGGCGCGGACTTGGTATGTTGCCGAAAAGGGCTGTTCCAGAGACGAGATGCTGGCTAACTTGTTGGGCCCCTAGGGTGTGATTTCGTTGGAGCTCTTAACGGTGTTCGGCGCCGGACCGCTGGCGGTGTGGATCTGCTACAGCATTGCTAAGCGTGACCCCAAGGTCAACATTTGGATGATTGTCATCGCAACGGCGGAGCTTTATGGCGGTGAGTTGGCAACTGATGTCTGGCGTTCCGGGAACGAGTGGGTCAACTGACATGATCTAGGATTTATGACCTTCTGCCCCGAATGGCTGACCGGCAACATCTACTTGGACACGAGCAACTTCATGTACCTTTGGGTGTACCTCGTCTTCTTCAATATGCTATGGGTTTTTATCCCGATCTATGCCATATACGTGGCATATGGAGAGATTTCTGCTGCTTTCAAGGCCCAAGGCGTCAGGAAGAACCTATGAGCGTATATCTCGAGGCCTATGAAGCTATTCATGTACTACATAATGTCAGCTGTTGCCCAATTGCCCTTGTCGTAGCCTTTGATCGAAGCCTCGTGCGATTTTTTAACTTTTGAATCATCTTGTCTACCCTATCTTGTAGCTATTTCGTCTTACATGGAAAGCTCGCATTGTTGCTCTTAATTCTTCTCTCCAAGGTGGTCATTACCAAAGACCGGCTTGTCTTCCTGATACGTATCATACTTATATTCACTGCCTACGTGGTCGTCCCTGAGCCGAGTTCAGCCTTTTGACGGTTTCGCGCAACGTCGAGGCAGGCTCTAGAGCCTCGAGGTATATGCCATACCTTCGTGACTTTGGCACAAGCAGATTCACGACATCTTCCGAAACGAGGCCGGTGAAGTGACGTAGCCCAGATTGAAGCCGTCCAGATCAGAGACGTCGACCCACTTCTCCATCGGATCTGCTACAGTCATGGAAGAGCCGATAGCAGAAGGGGGAGATACTACTCATAGCTCCTTTCGCCAGATGAAGGAGGCGTCCAAATTGGTGTTCCGGGTGTGGTCTTGAATATTTTCTAGAGTCTCCTAGCCTTGTTCGAATTAACTTGGTTGCTACGTTCTTCCAACGATAACTTCGCCCTGTAGATCTAGGTCCATCCGCTGAAGAGCGCCAAGATCGCTGGAGCTTGAGGTTTCTCGTTGCTCATGACCCGGCAGCATGACAGTTATGCAAGAAGACATGATCTTCGAGGCTCAAATTGCCTTTAGCTTAGGCCGCCCTCGAGCTCAACCAGGCGAAATCTATGTTTCCCAGAGTATCAAGTATATGAGATACGCGGGCTTTCTCAGGCCCTCGATGACGAAGATGATGTAATCGGACTTGCTTGCCTCGAAGACTACAAACTATCAAACGTAAGTAAAGCTATGGAAATCTCGGTAAGATAGGGTCAATGTCTTCGACATGATCAAAGATCCCGCAAATATTGGCAGTCCAAATATCCTGTAGTCCACTCGCGCCACGTTTGTCATACCCGCTCAAAAGGTTGTACGGAAAACCGATGTCGAAAGGATAGGCAGTTTCGATGTCATCAAGGTCCTCTCTCTCCAGCCATCCAGGCATAGACTTAGGACCTCGATGTGAATCCCAATGTAATCGACTTTTCGACCGCCAACGATGGAGGAAACATGGGGTGCCTTATGGAAGACGTATGCTAGAGCAACCAAAGTAACGCAACCTTCTCTCCGACACTAATGCCTCGCGCCCGTTACTCGTCAAGTGCATGTCTGAGCCGACTTCTTTAGTCTAGTCCCTAGGCTTGAACGGCACGCGGCCGAGCGTGCTCTACAATACTAAACCCCACCCTATGCCAGGCAGATTGGGATCATGTTCCTCTCGAGGTCCGGGTCAGCAGCAGACCGCCTGCCTTGAAACACTGAGAACTGACCCGAGTCTCGATGCCGGGCATAGTCGTTGCACATGACCACAATCCACACGGAAGTATTAGATATGTTAAAGTATAAAACGTTGCCCGAGGTGAAGAGCTGGTTCAGCGAGCGCATGATCTCGGGGAGATCGGCGGTCATGTCCCTGAAGTGGAGGTGGTGAGGTCAATGTACGTGATCTGGAGCTTCCTGAGGCTCGCCTCGACAGAGAGGCGCAGGCTCTTGGTGTCATTTCCCCCAAAATTAGGTTGTTGCCGAGACGGTGCAGACCACTGTTTTCAGTTGCTTGTCTACTTTTTCGCCAGAACGAGGTCGTCACGGCCGGTGTTGGTTAGCTACTCGCTCGACTACTTTTCAGGGTCTTGGCCTTGATAGCTAAACGCACTGGAAGTTATTTTGGGATTTTTACGTGATATCATGGGGCAGAATACATAGGGTTATGCTCAAGTGTCAAGAAATGTCTCTCCTTGCTCGAAAAAACAAATCAATTATTTCAAACACAGTCATCGTCGTGCGTTCGCCAAGGTAATCATTCATCGTCCCTCCAAAAATCAATGTATCAAGGCACATTGGAATAACAAAAATTCCTGCAGTCGGGCTTAAGGACCGGCGGCGGCCAAGTAGGCTCTTTGGAGATTGGATGGCCGGCGGTTTCATTGTGCGCTGATGGCTAGACTCGACATGTAGTCAGTAACAAAAGTGAGCTTGCTAAACCCACCGACAGTGTAAGCCGTCCCATCGCGCGCAACGCGGGGCAGAGCCGATGTGAGACGTAGCGGGAGATGTGGCCGGATATATATGGCGTGATAGTCTGACTGCCTTGTGTGTGTTTGTGTCTTTGGAGTCCAGCGGTAGATACGAGCGGATCATACATCGCGGAGCAAGACCGATGATGCATCTTCCCTCCTATTAGTCACGTAATACAGAAGGCATAGCTGTTCGGGTTGCCATACCCAGAAACTACGAGTACGTGTACCATCTCACGAGTTGATTTCACGACAGCCAGGGAAATGTTTTCTCATCTACACGACTCCAGACAAGTGTGATACAGTCATCCGCCTCCCCAAGACCGGCGCCTTTCTCCTTAAATCGTTTTGAGCGGGCAAGTCAAACAAAGATAATCTTTCCCTGATGCCTTTGAATCGTTAAAATATCACCGTTTAGCACTGGTATATGGGTTGGTATTGACATGGCCGTGGCTGGTGCACGTTCTTACGCAGGCGGCATGCTGTCCCATGTTTAGCTCGAGTTCTGAGCTACAGCATCAATTGCAAGTAGAAGGGGACTTACACCAATGAGACCAGCAGCCGCATAATTCTCGATCGTACATGTATACCTTGCCTGCCACATGAGCGCTTGACTGGGAGGTCTTTCTTGCGTTTTGGCTGGGCCAAGGTATTGAGAATCCGGTCACACTGTTCGAGGAAGTTAGCACCAGTCGTCGGTACGGGTTAGGGATACTTACACAGTAGACGGATGGTCTCTATGCCAGAATCAGTCGCGTGTCGTCTGCAAAGGTATCTTATGATGATTTTACTCACACCATCACAAGTAAGGTCGGAGTCACTTGGTTCGTGATTACACCATCGTGTATTCTCGTCGCCAGCAGCAGTAACTGCTGTGGATAGCAGGATGATGAATCCGAACTTCATGGCTTGATTGATTTGGAGCGTGAAAGTTGTGACTTGGTGATTCAGCTCAAGTCAAGGATGATGCGAAGGTGTCTGCGATATGAGAAGAGACATCAGCGTATAAGTATCAGGTCGGTAAGGAGTCGAAGTTAGCGATGGGCAAAGTCGCCGATGGTAGATATCCCGTTCACCGAAATTAAGCGTCGTGAAGCCGAAATGTCCACTTAAGAGAAGGCATGCAAGTCGTCTAGTAGGCTAATTAAACATCTAGATCATAGAGTCTATGCTTTTTCATAGTGGACCGAAAGACGCCCTTGATGTTGTCGTTGTTCTCGTGGGTCTAAACTACAGCCTTTAGGAAGTCAAATCAATTGAACGCAATTTACCATCATTTAAGTCCATGCTTTTCGGATATCCTAAGAGGGAGTCGCGAGACACTGACGAATATGCTTCTGAGTTTTACTTCTATTGGGACAATCAGGCTGTGTAGATTGAGCTGCATTTACTGCTGCACTCATTCTTCGTGGCGAGGTGAAGTGTGAGAATGAAGGCGTCTTTCCCCCACATTCCGTGGGCTCAGCCGCTCAAAATCTATTCGAGACTAATGCTGAAATGAGACCATTGAGATTCAAATACTTCTCAAAGCTCAACAAAGATCAAGTGATATTGGGTGGTTTACATACAGGCCGAAAGCCAGATGAGATCGAGCGCAAAGCCGATGAGGGCTGGGCTCTGCCGAGGCCATAGCATGTAGCACTTTGCCAAGTTCGTGACATAGAGCATTGCCTCTATAAGCTCCAACCGAGGTTTCCAAGTATAAGTTAAGGGCATAAGGGTCATGTTTCCATATACTCGTGGCCGGAAACGATGTCTTTATTCAGTCCACCGAAACCGAGCAACGTCACCCGGAACACCCGCTCGGCCAGCACCACCATCCATACGCCGAGCCATGAACAGGAATGTATTCACAAGATGAAAGAATCGGCATTATACATGGCGGATATCCTGTTTCAACACCGCTGGTACGAATATTATGAGCGTTTCTGACAGCATATTTGGCGTACATTGTTCGTATATGGTCAATGAGATATCTACGTGAACCAGTACAAACAATATAATGAGGGCATTGGGTTGATACGAGCTGAAATCCTTTTGGATAAGGTAGGAAGGGCCCAGAGATTCTGATAGGATCTGAATCCGTCGAATAAAGCTAAACGGTATCTGTCCTAGGCTGACTAGTTGCGCACTCGGGGTCAAAGACTTTGCAGTAGCACTGATACGTTGTCTCATGTAAGAGTTATCATGAAGTAGACGTATGATATCCAATGACTCCAACACGGGGAACTCTGTTTCTGATGCATTTCAAGGCCCGATACACATCAACAAGCTTGCAAGAGCCCAAACCAGCTCTTGTCTTGGAGTGCGGTTAACATGTTCACGTTGGCAATGACAAAAATGATAATCACGTGGAGTTTCAGTCCACGCCCACCTCCTAGTCTCTTGGGTATTTCCGATCTGCTTCCCTTCGATGTGCGAAGGATAGCACTCCAAGCCAGGATGGAGTGAGAGTCGGCAGTAAGGTGAGACAGCAGCTTTAGCTATGCCTGCCGCTCTCTGGTAGCCCGCCAAGAGTGATACTAACGATAAAGGGCAGGACTGTGAACCATTCCCCCCATTTTCCCAATTCGTCCCTCGAAGCGACTGCGAGAGCTCAATCGGCGGTAGTTGAAATCCCCATCACCAAGTGTCCCCAGGTTCCCGGGCAAGGCCAATCGGTTAGGAACCGCCCCCCCAAAAAATAGTCCGAATACTACCTCCTGCGACGAGCAACGGCGGCCTCGCCATCGGCACCACATGCCGAAATCTCTGATACCCTTTTGTCTTTACACCTGCAGTATCGATAAGGGACGGCCTGACGTGGGGTCTTCAACCCCCTCTACACCTTGAGACTCATACTGAGGCAATCGGTGACGAGAATCCGATTCTTCAGATGTAGCATATCTTTAATGACCATCTCAAGTCGTCGTGGCGACTGGTGGATTACCTCTGGGGTGTAGTATCTCAGATTTTACGACGGGTGCGAGAGAGAGGGAGGACGGGGAAGGGGAGACGATCTACCGGACGGTATGTGGGAAGTGTATCATCGGGTGTTACGGGGGCCGTCGAAACCTCGTCAAATCGGATCAGCGAACAACAGACTCCCCACAACGCCTTGAGGCTCTTTTTTGTGCTATTGCGGAGGATCTCATGTTTTATCGAACGAGGGTATTGAGGCGATAGCCCCGAGTAGTCCACTGTCGGGTCTTCGAGTCCGATGTTCTTGGGTTGCCGTGAGTCCCGTACTGGACCGGGCCGCCCATGGTTTGTTTCGAGGGAATTTTCCGCAGTAAAGAACGAAGCCAGTCGGGGTTTATTTCATTGACTATACGTACTCAATCGGCTTTCAGGTGCGACTGTGGGAAAGCGGACCTTGTCTGAAGGCCTTTGATATCTTCAGGGCTGAGATACTGTGGCCGAAGTAGTTGCTGCCCCATCAACAGAGTAGCTTAAGCTGCTCGACCGCCGAGATACATACTGTAATAGATAGCTTTGAGATAGAATACAGTAACAACCATACCGAATTCATCGTGCAAGATGTAGGAGCTCAAGCGAGGTCTGGTGGTCGACATTCGCTTGGTTTCTTTCAGCCATAATCAACTTGGCATCGTCGAACCACCACATACGACCATACCCATTGGAAAACTCGGGATCCCGTCCGCTCTCCCATAGATAAGCCAATGAGGGCCGGATTAGTAGTTGGGTCGGTGACGACCAGCGAATACCTGGTGTTGTATGTTTTTGGTATTTTTGTGAAGCTATCGTGATCCACATGTGAGGTGGGTCGCTAGTGGTGGAGCAGCCGAGCAGACGTCTAAATTGCTGACAACCATGGCCGAAGCTATTAGAAATCAATACGTTTGAAAATGGATTAAATGATTTCATTGAATTTAAAATCATGATTCCTCTCGTTGAGAAACCACGCTTTAGCTATTGCATTGGCGACTATATGATGACGCCTATTTTAGACGCTCGGCAGAGGGCCACACAAAGACCATCTCTGTTGTATTTCTGCCAACACGCATACGGCCCTAGATTCATCCGGCCTTCATCTCCATCTATGTACGGTCATAATACATGTGCGACTTCCAGTGGTTAGCCTCAATTACGTGAGCCGGAGAACAGTCTCTATACGGTTGGGTAAAGCAGTCTAGACGAGCTTATGAAGATTTTTTTCGTCTTCGGACCTTCGCAATCAATTCGAGACAACCACATTCTAATCATCGTCGTCATGGATAGTGCGTCGAGTCGTGCTTCCTCTCTGCAAGAGGTCTAGGCAAAAGGGCGGACGGGCCCGGGTGGGTTGGTGGCCCTGTTGGGGGCGGAAACAACCAGCTTTGGTCAACATGTTCAAGCGGCCGGCCCTCTTCTCTCGAGCATTGACCAAGATATTGTGCGGGGTTTGGGATCTGGCCTTGTGGGCCATTTAGACGCTGGCTTTTGAATGGGTTCTTCTTATTTGGACACTACATTGATTGAGCAATTCATCAAAAAAGGCTGGGCTAGAGTATATCTATAGTTGGTTACGCCGACCACACGAGATATCCAGGCCGGACACGCGGACGCCGGAGGAAAGAGCGGCTTGATGGGGTTTGAACGACGTTGATAATGTTCTGAATATAGCCTTCCATGTGTGATCGACTTCGGCCACGAATCATGTGTCCCGAGTATGCTCAACGCGGCCCAAGGGACACACTACCAAGATCAAACAGAGCCTCCTCAAGCAGTTCGTTCGGGCACGTGTGAAGTACGCGGCAAAGACGTTGACGCCGTGGTTAGGGAAAAGCGAGAATGCGGCAGTACCGCCGAAAGAAGAAATCTGGTGCCGCGCCGTCGATCCCTCGTCGGCCCGTCTGTATTCCATGAACGGCACCACTGTGAGTCAGTTGCCCATCTTCGTTTTCGCATCTCACCTGACATCACTCTATATGCTTCATCGTCTGAACCAGAAAAGGATTCAGATAGCCAAGCAAGTGGGTGGAGAGGCCTGCCGAAAAAAGGGACCATCGTCCAGTCGAGGGAAAAGACTCACCCAGCACATCATCTTGTAGCATTGGCGACCATGCGGACCGGACCCTTTGGATGGCTCACGTTGGGCAAACTATCGTCTAAACTTTTCAACTTGCATGCCTAGTACTTGCCAAGGCGACGAATGTCGAGATCAACGAGTCGGGCACGCTATATTGCATGACGAAGCGGCTCTCTACGTCCAACGCTTGTTGTTGAATACCCGGGGCGAATACCGAAAGACGCTGGCGGCAGGCAGCAAAAGCCGCCGACTCGTTCGTCGTCCGGTCTTTTTCCTGACGGTTCCTTACCTCTATAGCTCCAATGAAAAGTCAAATCGTAATAGTGACGACGCCTATTCCGAACCTGCATCGTTTTGGCTGGATAGATCATAGCCGCGATGCCGTGAACTCGCTCTCAGAGAAAACAAATCTCTCCCACTTTCCGGAAGTTCGAGCAGCCATTCGTAGGCGGGTTGGTGATGATTGGGATGAAACACCCGCGCCAGAAGAGGCTCACTGCTACCGCCCTCGCACTCACTTCAGACGAGTCCATAAACAAATGCTGTTAGATGACATTGGATGACCCCCCAAAGCCGCGAGGTTCAGGAGAATTCTCAGAGGGGAATTGGATGGGAAGGCAACGGAGATGGTTTTGGATGACAGTTTCTTGCCCTCCCGTTTTCCAACATTTCATCTCAACAACACCAGGTGGAGGTGGCAACGTTGCCAAGAAGATTGCAATGGTGATCCTCAGCAGTAACTTCTCGAAGGCAGCCTCTCATGACGTCGGTCAAGACCCGTGAAGCCGGCCGACTAACAAGCTGCCGTGCGAGGTTGGTGATGTGGCCAAGTCAAATCCCAAGTGCGGCTCGGGAGAAGCGGCAAACACCCGTGGCATGATCGAGAACCATAGAATAGAAGCCACGAATGGAAGAACGCGGCAACGTGGGAATCTGCAAGTGGCAAGCGAATTGGGGCGAGGATTTTTCGACCCTGTCCGCTATAATTGGACATCGTAAGATGGCAACTGCAGAGGGGTAGTCGCGATGTCCGTCCCTTGGCTGTACATCAGTCTGAATATCCCGTTTGATCGACGGCGAGGACCGGTTCAGCAACGAACGTGGGTCTCCCCGGACTGACGGGACGCTGGCGAGCTCAGTGATGCGAGGTGGGTAGGCAAGGACACGGCGACGGCCACAAGCCTGCGTACGCAGTAGACTGTAGTCCCTCATCATCTCGGAGCAACCATATTCCACCGGCTAGTTGGTCACCGCGGGCACTCTTGGTCGGTGGGGGCGATGCAGCCAAGCGTTGAAGATTTGGTTCAAGGTTGTGACTAGTGCCCCAAGCTAGCAGCGGGCTCAATATCCGTAGGGTTGACATGTTGGAGATTAATTAAAGTGTTTGACGGCCATTGGCACCTGATGCGGGTTGGCGCCATTCTTGTCTTCGGAAGAATAGTGTCGCACTACTGACTAGTCTTTGAGCTTGTCCCCGTGTATCCGTTGTGTTGGAGTCGCTCGGAATCCATCATAGACGGCCCTCTTTTATCTTGCAGATCGTATCAGCTGTGAAAGAGGGGACCAAGGGACTCTCGAAGCAGATTCCGAAGGACAACTTGATGATCTTCGAAATTGTGACGGACGCGCCATCGTCTATAGGCGTCTCGTGGCAAGAGGCGAGGGATCGCCCTTCCCCGCAGCGGCGCCCGCCCCCAAGCGACGGATGATGGACGTTCGCTTGTTCCTCGTCAGTAGTTCGCGCAAGGTGCATGTCTTGCTTGTCTCGTCTCTTTTGACGTGCCGCCAGTCGCAACGCCGTCACATTTCGTATGGGGGCTAGGGAGGTCTGACGTGCCAGACAGATCTGGGCCTACTGGGCTCGCACGGCTCGGTGCCGTCAAAGCAGCATTACCCTAGCCGTGGAAGGATTAGCCTGATGTAAGTGTGCATGTTAGCAGGGCTGTTGACGGCATGGATCCTTGTCGCTGGCCCTCGTCCGAGCCCCTGTGCAGGCCATCTCAGCTCATGTGACACGGTATCTGCCTCATCGCTCGAAAATCTGTGGAAACAGACGAACTTGATCAGCCGTCAACGAGATTCGATTCGTCCATCACAGGCTGGTCGACTACCAGACGGTATAGGAACCACTAGATGGCGCTCTGTTCCTGTTGGATAGTTGTATTGTCCCTCTGATAGCCTAGCTCGAGATATTTGAGATTGAGAAAGGTTTGCAACGGATGCCCTGGCAACACCGAGCCCCGTGGCAAGGGTAGACACGTGCAGGAGTCCAGGACCAAGATAGCTGGTGCAACAGCCCAGGCCCTCCGACTGGCAGAAACATCCCGTGAAGAGGGCTAGTGGGCTACCAGGTCGAGTCGATGAGGAAGTGAGAAGCATCCCCGCCATGTGGATTGTGTTTGCCTGGCTGGTGGGCTGGAACCCAGGCGTTGACGTTGACGCCGCCCTCTCCGTGCGCCTCGCTACATGGCCGCAGCAACTCACGATCGGGCATAACTCGCAGATTGCAGCGCTGACTCGATACACACCAATGAAGTAGCCTGCGCCTCTGCGTTGGCTGTGCATTTCCCGTGTGTGTTGTTGTCTTTCTTGAATGTGTCTGCCGGTGTGGACACATGTATTGCCAACCAAGGACCTTTGAGCCGAACTGGTGAGGCCATTCCCAACCAACCCATCTACCATCTGGAGGCAGGAGGAGGGCCCCGCATCCACCGCATCTCAAGAGGATTTCGGCACACCAGACCAGATTAAACAGAATCAGAGGAAGATGGAGCCGCAAAAAACGACACGATTGGATAGGCAGACTGAGAAGGGGTGGATGAGGAGTTGAGCGGGTTGGAGGGTTCTGAGGAGAGGGAACGAAAAAGGTTTCGGCATCGCCATCAGCCGCCCCTTCCACGATCCCTGCGGCGGTTTGATCCACTCACTTGGCAACACTGCACTAGTCCCAAAACAGCAAGGCGCACAAAGGTTGTCTCCTAGTGCCCCCCAGATCTGGGGCTCAAGTCCAACGTCAAACCTTGTCAACTTCAACCTCACAGCCAGGGGCTCAGGCATTTTGGGCGACACTACGAAACCCAGACGTGTTACATCACTGCTTCACCTCATCGCCACTCAATGCCATCGCCTCAAGCCCTCCTCTTTGCCCTCATCCTCACCCACAGTGACACCCTCACTCAGTCTTTCGCCCTCTGTGTCTGTTCCTTTCTCTCACTCTGACGGTGCCTGTCCCTCGAGCCTCGAGTCTGGGTTCGCTCCGGCACACACGCATGCTGCTGCACCTCAGGCATCCTCAGCACATATTCTGCCGGCTCGTTGCGACGGGAGACTGCATGAGAGCCCAGTTTTTTTCTCCTCACCTCAGCTCCCCCTCCCAAGGTTCCCATGGTCTTCGTATCGTTGAGCTGGAGCACCTTGCTCCACTGGAAGGCAAAGGGCCTGAGAGGCAAGCACGGCAAATAATCCCAAATCAGCCCAGCCAGTTAGTCGGCGGGGTCGTGATGAACATGGTTGTCATCCCGCGCCCAGCCCTGTCTTCCATGTTCTTGAGCCCTCTCTAGGAGGACCAAGACCAAGATACCTGGATACCATGATACCAAACCGTACTGGACGTGACTGCGTGTACCTACGTATGGTGGCCCTAGGAGTCCATCCCCAAACCAGCAACATGCACGTCAAGAGACGTTCGCCCCATCTGAGCCCCTCACTGCCCACCATCCAGTCGCACGTCGACTCGAGGTACAGCCTGCGTCTCATTCGCTCGTTCCTGTCCCCGTCTTCTGGATGGCCCGTCTTTTCCACAAGAGTGTCACGGTCGTCACCCTTGCTCTGGCCCTCGCCCTCGTCCTCGCCCTCTTTGGTAGGCCATCCATCAGCCGTGTTACCCTGGACCAAAGTTGGACTTGGGCCCCATTTAGCGGTTTGGCTAACTCTCCGGACCTCATCTGGCCCGCGCGGGGGCCCTTCCCGAGCCTGTCCCTTGCAACTTGCGACTGGGTACCTATCTATCTATGTTAGCCCCCTGCTGAGGTGGGCCTCTCCGTCTCTGCCACGCTTTCTGTGATCGCCTTTTGACCTCTTCATGCGGCCTTCCCTCCTCCTCCTTCCGTCTGACTTTTTGGAACTGGTCTCTTTTTCCCTTCCCTTCCTTCAGGCCGGTCCCTTTCCTTCTCTTGAGTGGCTGGTCCTATTACTCCTTGTTTCTATTCGTAGGTCCCGACTTCGCCTAGTGTCTGTTTCGTCTGGTCCGCCTTCTTCGTCCAAGAGCGGCAGTCCATTACCATCCATCCTGTCTTTTCACTTACTCTTTTCACTTCTCCATCCCATCCGTACGATCGCCATCCTCCTCCTCCTCCTCCTCTTCTCCTCACTCTCCTTGTTCGACTCACCTATACTCTTCTACACCTCATACGACCGCATCAACATCGACTCTTCTATGGATTAGATGGTTCGGAAAGCGAATTAATATCTGGCACCGCTGCGGCTCGACGCCTGCGCTCATCTCTTCGACGACCAGTGCCAGTTGAATAATCGACGAGATGGATAGCTGGGGATATGGAGGCGACTTGTGGACGAGGGCCGACGATGATAGCGTGACGGACGGTAATGGCGTGGCGGATTCATTACGAGGACCCTTCAAGGCCACCAACAACTCGACATCGGCCATCATCAACCAGTTCCGCTTCCAAGCCGCCAAATCGATTCGAACCTCAACCATCATTCTCGCCGTCTTCAATGTTATTGCCGCATTTGCAACAGCAATTGGTATCTTTTGGGATGGTTATGCAACGGCCAAGAGGAACAACCAAAAGTTCGGCTTCAGGTACGCTCGTCACTGCCGTCACCAATGAGTCAAGTCAACGGACTAACGTTATGCTCCAGAACGCATGGATTCACTTTTGTCGGACCTGCAGAGTCCTTTCCTCTCGTTCTATCTGTCGGCATCGTCGTTCAAGGCATCGTCTTTGCCATTGCACAGTCGACTGGACTCGACCATCTCCTGACTTTGGGTTGCACCATCACCTCCCAAATGATGCTGCCTGGTTCGTAGCCTTCGTTTACGTATCCCAGAAGCTCAGCTAACAATCGTATCTAGCGGTCTTCATTGTTCCGTACATCCAACTCGTATTCGCTCTAGAGGTGGCCATCCGGTCTCTACGAAAGAACCCACTGCCGTCTCGTGGCAAGTGGAATGTTACCATTTGCCTCGCCATTGTCGGCACTTTTCTCCTCATTACCTATCTAGTCACCCTCTTCGTCCGCCCTCCCAACTTTTGCTTTGCCTCGCTTTTCTGGTTCGTCCAGCGCTGGAAGGAGGGCTGCTTCGTACTTCTCACTTTTATCTCGGCCGCGTTGCTGGGCTCGGCTCTGGTGATCTTCTTCCGTCTCCACAACAACATCAGAATCGAGAACAGTGAGCGTATTGCCGCGTCTAGAATGGTCTACTTCCTGGCAGTAGCCTTCATCTCGACTGTGAGTATTAACAATGACATCTTGTCCGAGTCCACTTACTGACCAACACAGACTCTCCTCATCCCCTTCTTCTTCAACCTCTCGTTCACGGAACAGCGAGGTGCCACTGGCCAGGCCCTGACGCTTTCCATGATTGCCTCCGTCGTCGCCAACGTATCTGGCCTACTGACCGGCGGTCTGCATCTATTCTTGCGATCAAATACTCTATCTACTATCGGTCCCCGCCAAAGCGACAAGTGGGAGTTAGAGCGTAATAAACTCAAGGCCGGCATTCGTGTCTATAACGGCGACGATGATTACGAAAACCACATGATGAACCCTGTCGGCCGGGCCCGTTCGCTGCGACGCATGGACAGCACCGACAGCCTCGTGCCCGAGAAGGAGGAGGAGGCACGCATCGAGAGTCCTTCTGGGTCTCCCACCTATGCCAACCCTCTCCGACAAAACGCCGTATGGCAGCCGGCCCGCTCCCCTCTGAGGACGCCGGAGCCTGCTCAAGTATCAACCTACCAGGTGCCAAAGGCCCATGCTCGCAAGAGGTCCTACTCCTTGTTCCCATCTGAGCAAAACAACAACACCAAGTCAATTACTCTGCTTCCGGCGAAGACATACGCCCCTGGGGCAAGAATCCCTGATGAGGACGAGATGTTGCTGCTCAGGCCTCCGCCATCACTTCACCCTCAGGGCATTCGTCATCGTCGCGATTCTTCGCTTGCATCTTCAGCGACTGTGCAGATTGGCCTGCGGCTGTCAAACGTCGACGACATGCCCCCGCTCAACTCACAGTACTTCCAGAACAATGCCAGCGTGAACAGCTTGAGCTATCCCGATGAGAGGGACGACGAGCCTATCAAGCGGCCCAGCCCCTTGGCTCAGGTCGACGTCCTGAGCGACAGCGGTTCATCCGATTCTGAGGAGGATGCGACCTTGGTCTCATCTTCTCCCATCCGCCCCCAAAAGGATTTGCGGATGAAGACGCTCCCATCTGTTCCCAAGGTCACTGTACCCAGACAGTCCCAGCTCAAGGAGCAAGAGCCGGAGCAGCTTACTCTCAGCCCGGCTGTTTACAGGCCTGAGAGCCCTCAGAAGACGAGGGTGACTAGCCCTCAGGGTGTTGGCTTCAACACCCCTGCGCAGCGAAAGAAGTCGCCGGTCAAGTGCACCAAGCAGAATTGCCAATGTTCTGCTGAACACGACAAGCGCAACTGGATCTAAGCCCAGATCCGCGACCTGTATCAACACTGGCATTTATCGCACGCGCTACAAAAAAAACGTTATAGACACTCGACTACACCGGGCGGTAAAAGCGTATGATACAACTTTTTCGGTCACTGAACGGAGTTTGTTGGCGAACTATTTTCTCTTCTTATATTTACTATTTCATTGGATGGCGTTTTATGCGGAGATACCTGTATGACTAATAACGTCTACATATTGTTTGTTTCTTATGTCTCTTTGGCGATGTGCTCCAAAAAAGCACGCTGTGTACGATCTCGGGGGCGGAACAAGGCTTTCATTGGAGTGTAGGAGAACCCAGTAAAGGAGGTATCAAAGAGTCAAGGACTACCAAATGGAAGGATGGCAATGACGACGGTATGACTAGCCACGAGACGAATTTGGCGAGCGGAGGTAAATGCCACCAGAGGGCTCTACAGCACAGAAGAGATAGCTCAATGAATCAAAGAGCTCAAACAATCATGAACTTGGCGGACCATTTGCGTGAAACCGTGATAAATGCCAGTCGCTTTCCGCACTGCCAGCTACTACCGTCCGAGATGCTAACTCAACTGACAGGAGGCTTGGAGACTAATAGTTCCCTGAAACTACAGTACCTGTGAAATCGTCGTCTGCCTTGGTAGAAATTCCATGCTCATATGATGAAATTCCCGTTCTCGCTGGCTTTGGAAGCCACCCTGCATTAAAAACCCAACTCTTAGAGGAGCTCGTGTGGTTCCAGACTTGGCTCGCCTTCTCTGTTACAGGAATCTCTCTTTGTTTTTGGAACACGAGGCCAGACATTTAGCGGTATCGTGGGACGCCCCGAACGGCGATTTGAGGGTATCATGAGGTTGGTGCAGAAAATTGGCAAGCCTACTGATACCGACACGCAGTCAAAATAGTGAAGCCTGTGGTAATTCATTTGCTTTATCTCGATGCACAAGGTCCTGCGGATTCCACAACGCAAGAATCCAACGTAGCTCTGCTTATTTCATTTAGTCTTCTGCTGGTCTGCCTCCACACGCCTCTCCTCCCACTTATCCCAGCCAGCCTGGCAAGGGTCTTCTTCCACGACAAGATCCCGAAACCTGAACAGCCGCGCAGCGGGCGTCTGCAGGCCCCAGGCCAGAAGCCCAAAGTCCCTCGCAATAGCCGTGACCAAAAACCAGCCGATGGCACACACCGTCCCGGCCAAGCACCCGACCATCACCTGCTTCTCGGTGTGGTAATTTAGGTATATCCGGCTCCACGCCACGGCCGCAGCGATGCCCAGCGCAGCGACACTGACCACGACGCGCTCGACGAGCGAGTACGGCCGGTGGTGCCGGCGCGCGGACGAGGGACGGTGCCTGACCAGCAAGAACAGGACGAGGAAGACGGACCAGTAGGCGACGAACTGGGCGTGGGAGCTGGGCATGCCGTAGCCCTTTCCGTGGATGCGGCGGGGGCGCTCCTCCTTGATCAGGCGCTTGAGGGCGAAGTTGATGGCTTCGCAGCCCAGCTGGCCGGCGAACATGAGGGCGATTTCGACCTCGCGGGTGGACCAGATCAGGGTCGCGTAGACGATGCAGAGGGCTTGCGGGAGGAGCGCGAGCCATGCGCAGAGGAAGGAGAGGGAGTCGTCGGGGTCCTGTGTGTGGTTTCAAACGTATTGGTTAGTGTTTTTATTCAAGCAAGTCACTGGCAGAAAGTAGTTCCCCGGGGTTCTGGTCTCACATAGTAGACGTGTGTCAGGGAAAGAGAGGCTAGTGGTCTCGTGTCTTGATCCATGGTTTTCGACTCGACTGCATTTGCCTGACCGAGACTTTAGATATGGTGGCCTTGTCCTCAGTGGGATGGGGGAGGAGGAGAGGGATCTGGAGAGTTCTTAAATGCGGGATGCCATGTGCCTCAGCGGGAAAGAGGTTGGGCGGTGGAGAGATATTGAGCTGGCTGTCTGGCTAACTGACTGACTCTTCCTAGGGGCTGGTAAAGTTAGAGCAGACGTCGCGGATCGCGGTGCACAGCACTCTAGAATTGTCAAAGTGCAGCTGTGCAGAGTGCACCGGGCTACGGCCAAGCTTCTATTTCTTCTTTTCCATTGGGTACTTGCATAAATACGTCAGGTTGCATAGGTTCGAGCTCGGCCCAATCGGGAGCTTGTATTTCCCCGTCAGCCAGCACAGCATGCGGTTGTGCGAGCATGCCTAATTATTCTATGGCGCCTTTGTGGCTTGTAGGTATCCGTAGGCCTGGACCCTTCGTGCCTTCCACATTTGCTTGAAGGTTCCCGTCGCGGCGTCGCCCTTTGTCACTCCTATCGGCCGAGGGACAGACTGATAACGAATGACCCCACCGTCATTCTTTTCTGCTGCCTCTTTTTGCCCCGCGATTGTAACGGCCAAAGAGTCATCATTTCATTGTCTGTCCGAACGCCAGTCAGCCAACTTTTTTTTTTTTAATCTAGGCGCTCTTACACCCGCGATCTCTCGCTTCTTCTCCCCCGCGCTAGATTACTTACCTTGGCCCGAGAAGAGAAAGAAGAATGGTCCCGTCATAGCCAGTCGCACTTCTCGCGGGTTCCGCGACCGTCTCCAGTTTATTTCCAATCATCACCATCACGCACTCGCCAACACCACCAAATCTTTGCGACTTTCGCCACCAGTCGTCTCTCCGCGTTCAAATACCCATCTCCCATGTTCGTCGCTACTTCATATAAGCGCAAAACCCCACTCGCTTCTTGACGACTGCCTGGCAGCTTTGATTTTAATTTTCCTCAAAGCATGCAATACGCGCCTTCCAACCAGTAGTAGCCATGGACGACGATAGCGACGACCCGCGCCAGGATGAGCTCAGTTCTCTGCAGGCAATCTTCCCCGAAATCGAGCTCGACGACCACCGGCCCTTTTGCTTCACTATCGAGCTGCCCGTTCATCCCGCGAAACCCGTAACGGTCACCTTCCCGGCCGCATCCAATGCCGACGATACAGTCGCCGCCCAGGTACCCGGCGTCGAACCCCGAGTCGACTCCCATGAGCTCTCGCACCTTCCCGCCGTCGTGATTCGCATGGGCTTGCCCAAGGGCTACCCCTCCGACAAGCCCCCGAGTGTCAGCATCAGTACATCGCCGCCGTGGCTGTCCGAAGATGTGACCAAAAAGCTGGAAAATGACGGACCGAGATTATGGGAGGAGATGGGTCGCGACATGATTGTCTTTTCCTACATTGACCAGATCCAGCAAGCGGCTGACGATGTGTTTGGCATGGTTGACGGAGCTGGCGCGTTGGAGATCGACCCGTTGCACAAGATTGCCATTCTGGACTACGACATTGAGGCTACTCGGGCGGCATTCGAGAAGGAGACCTTTGATTGCGGTGTTTGTCTGGGTATGGTTCCCCTCCGCGTCCCAGTATTCTTGGCTGCTAACGCTTACTATCGGCAGATCCCAAGAAGGGCTCAATGTGTCACAAGATGCTCGATTGCGGCCATATCTTCTGTACTCAGTGCTTGCAGGAGTTCTACAGTAATGCTATTACGGAAGGAGACTTAGCGACTGTCCGCTGCCTCGCCCCCAATTGTTCCAAAGAGCGCGCCGAAGCGGCGCGAGGATCGGGCAAGGGAAAGAAGAGGAAGGTCAAAACCTCGATCAGTCCTAGTGAACTGCTTCAGATGGGGCTACCCCATGACATGGTGACTCGCTACGTGACGCTCAAGTACAAGAACGAACTCGAATCCGACAAGAATACGATCTACTGCCCCCGATCTTGGTGCCAGGGTGCGGCCAGGTCCAAAAAGCACAGGAAGCCCGAGGGACTTGAGACGATCGACGAGAGTTCGGATGAAGAGACCGATGACGAGACCGACGCTGACGGAGAAGACGGCGCGGGCGAAAAGAAGAAAAAGGCGAAGAAGAACTTCCAGGCTGAAGATCTGATAGCCATCTGCGAAGACTGTGGGTTCGCTTTCTGCAGCCGCTGCTACCAGTCATGGCATGGCGAGTTCATCAGATGTACGCCCAAGCGTGACAAGGGCGAAATCTCTGAAGAGGAACAGGCCTCAATCGATTACATCAACCTGCATACGACGCCTTGCCCTACGTGTGGCGTCCCGGCGCAGAAGACTCACGGCTGCAATCATATGATCTGCTTTCGCTGCGCCTCCCACTTTTGCTATCTATGTTCGGCCTGGCTCGACCCGAGAAATCCGTATGCCCATTTCAATGAACAGCCCAATGGCAAGATCACTTCCTGCTACATGCGCTTGTGGGAGCTTGAAGGCGGCGACGGTGACAATGTCGACATTGGCTTCGCTGGTGGTCATCAGATCGAGCGGCTTTTGGAGATCCCGCCTCCCGCACCTCCAGCTCCGGTTATTGACCTTGTTCCCGAGATCGAAGAGCCGGACGACAGCGATTCGGATACAGAGGTGAACGATGCGGATCGGCCAGCACGTCCTGCGGCGGGTGGTGTTGCTCGAGAGGGGCCGCTTGTTTTACGTATCGAGGCCAATCCAGCTCCCAGAGGAGGTCGAGGAGGAGCAGGAATCGGAGTAGCACTTCATGGTCCCATCCCGCCAGCCGCTCCACAGGCACCTCCCAATCCTGCGAGAAGAGGATTTCCAGCAGCTCGAGGTGGCCGTGGCGGCCGTGGAGGTCGGGGCGGTCGTGGTAATCACAGAGGCGGACCTGGGCAGAACCAGCAGCCGGAGGCTCGACGGGGGGCGCCTCCCCGTCGGCATGAAGACTTTGACCCCGATATGGTCGAGGGTTTGGGTGACGGCGAGCTCGATGCAGCGCAGCAGGCTTGGATCAGAAACTTTGTTCAAATGGCGTTGGCAGACCAGGAAGGGGATAGCGACGACGACTGAACGAATGAAGATTCACTGTGAATTGGATGGGTTATCTAAGGTACAATCGGGCGGGGTGTTCACCTTTGGTAGAAAGGGGCCGTGATACCGCCTCACGGCATAGTAACTTGGAGACGACGACAGGATGATGGGACGATGAAGGTCTGAGAAGACGATGATGTTAATGAACCACAAACACTTGACTGGAGCTTTAGGAACCGTGATTTGTGGTGCTGTGATGTGATAAAGAGGCAGTTGCCCAGCAGCATGTCGGCCAAAGAACGAATGGCTCCCTCCCTGCTTCCCCTTTCTTTCTATGATGATCGGTTTTGATCCAGATTATGAACATCTAAGGCACCCACCGGCTCGTTAATACAGAACTGATGTTGATCCTTCCGTCCGTATCAGTCTCTTTCAATTCTAATCCTCTCTCTTCCTAGCTGCCTTTGCTTCTGCCGTGAAGATCATGGCGGACTTACCCAAGTACGAGGTTGTTGCTCTTGCAGTGCTGGCATCATCAGCAGCATGGGCTACTTCCCAAGGCAAAGTTCCATCTACAAAGGCCCCCCTTTCTCAAAGTCCCTTCAAGGAGATATGCGGTGGCTAGGGGGGCTACAGTATTCACATGACGCTGGGTAGATGTAGGGGCAGGATGACAGCCGATACCCTACTCCCTTCGCCCTCCTTCCGATGTTGTCCTCTAGGTAACCCTTCTGATCCAAGCTACGCTTTGTAGGCCATATTGAAGGCCCGAAAAGAAGACTTGGTATGCTTTGGGTTACAGAGCAGGAACCCACAAGCATCTCAAAAACGCGAACTTACTCTCCCCTGGTTCCTCTCTCCCGTCCCCTTTCTCGGATATTCCGTCCTCAATCTCCCAAGCTTTCCTCCTTCCAGATCGATTATTTCCCGGCCCCCCTTTCCCCGTCTCTCTCCCCCCGACTGCCGAGCCCGATTGATTAAATGAATGACCTAGGGAGTACTCCGTACATCCGTACAGCCAAACAACGGAGACATGAATTACGAGGGGGGCAACGAGATCGGTGTAAGGATCAAGGAGATGGGATACTCAAGCCGGGGCCCCGGGGGAAGGGGGAACAAGCAAGTAGGAACTGTACAAAGGCAGCATTGCCAAATTCTCTCACCTTGGAGCTCACTTCGGTGTACGGATATGAACATGTAATATCTAGAACCTCTTAACACTTCAACCTCAGGGTCTGATGAACACCTCCCTTCCGCTGGACCTGAGAAGAGCAAACGGCAAATATGTGATGACACTGCGCCAAACGGTTGACCGTAGCCTTCCCATCTCGCTTGATTCACTTCGCCCCCCCGACACTTTTCGGAATCCGACGACGGCATCTGTTCTTGCCTCCAGGGGAGGAAGAAGGGGGGGGGGGGGGGGTCTCATCACAGCTACCAAGCCATCCATCCATTCATCCAACCCATGAGAACGGATACCTCGAACGATATCATAGAATCTAGGTAACATATCCCGAGAAGAATAACCGCGCGGAGTGGTACTTGAGAAATGAAGAGAAAAGGAGAAAACAAAGACGAAACCAACACTGGACAGCTGCCTTTTCGTATAGAGGAGACGAGAGAGAATGTACGGAGTACCAGTCTACCAGCATGGAAGCCAAAAAACATCACAGGAGACCAGGATTCAGGTCACAAACGATCAGGGCTTGATCTTCCTTCCTCGGGACTGTTCACACATCAAGAGAAGAGGCACGTTGCTCTCCTCAAACTGTCCGAACTCCTCTCTCTACGGATACTCCTCCTCTTCCTTCAACATCCCAAGCTCGACCACCACCGCCGGCCATCCTGAGACGTTCATCCTTTCAAATCACGCAGAATATAACGCACCCAGCAGCATACCTACATACCTAGCTAACCACAGATATCTCTCTTAAATCTCGCCTACCCACTCGCGCGGGAGGAGGGGGCCAAAGGGGGGGTTACGTTGTATTGTGGTATGTACCGACTTACCGTAGTGTTTCCATACTGATACTCCGCGTACACAAAGTCACTCGCTCTTCTCTCCTGCCAACAATCCCCCCTCGTCAAAGGCCCTGTCAACCAACCTCTCACTCCGCCAGCCGCTGCTCGGCTTCCTGCCTTATAATCAGGGGGGTAAATGGAATGCTGCCGCCTGCGCCTGCGGAGAGCTCTCAGGTAAGGCACAAGGTAGCTCGAGTTCTAGCAAGGGGGGTGGAAGAGAGGGGCAAGGCAAGGCCAGCCCCAAGTCAGTGTAGCAAAAGAAAAGGGGACATTGTGCGAACCTGACAATCAAGGGTCAGCAAGGACTCAAGAAGAGCGAAGCAGAGCAGAAAGGGGAAAGTAACACCCTCAGAGCTGCTAAGAAACGGGTGCTACTCTCCAGAAGAAGCTCTAATCTGTACTATACTACTCTACTCTGCTCTCTGCTCTTCGCTGCTACGCTTTCCGGGGTGCGTGCTTGGGGGTTCAATTAGTTCAACGGCTTTTCCAACCCCTCCTCCAGTCTACCTACCGTGCTACCCTCCTTCCTCTCCCCGAGAGAAGCAGCGGACCGCGTGATGGTTGACACGGTTGGACGCGGGTCACGGGCGAGAAACGGCGGGCAGCGGGATAGCTTGCGTCGTCGTCTGAGTCGTGATGGTAGCGGGCGGACACGATATAAGGGGGAGAGAGCCGCACGCCAGAGGTTCGTTCGCTTGAATCGTTATGAGGGCTAGCTTTGCGACTTGACCGTACAATTCGTGAAGTGTCCCGCCGGGAGTGTCGTCTGCCGGAGTAGGAAACAAGGACCAAAGGACCAAGAAACCTGAACTGCCACCACCCCTCCCCTTTCCCAGCAGCTCAACTCAGATCCCGTAGCTTTTGCTCATTTACGAGTAGCAGAGCAAGTTGGTACGGATAGATCCCGAAAAAACCCAGGCGGGTCCGGAAAGAGGAGAGGCGAGCTTTGAGAGAGAGGGGCTCCGGGGGGTTCACCGAAGGCGTGGCAACCCAGCAAGCAGATTAACACAAGAAGAAAAAAAAACATCCGAAGAGTACGACACAGTTCGCTACAGCATACTGTGGGCATCGTTGCAGATTTGCAGAGTAAAAGGGGGGAAGGGGGCGTGTGTTCAAGTGAGTTCGAGTGTGATGGAGGGGGGATGTGGATGTGAATGGGGCCATTCAAATCATTGCTCGAGTGGACATGGCCTTAAGATCCAAGGTCTTAAGATCAAGGTTAACTGCCACGGCCCTAGGCCCTTGATGCTCCCGTACGCCGTACGTCCCATGGCAGGGAAGTATGAGCGAGCGAGAAAGAGAGGGAGAGAGGGAGAGAGGGCCTCGAGGAGAGTAGGTAATACAACCAGAGACCGAGAGAAAGAGCAGGTAGAGGAGGGGTGCCACCTATCAAGCTCTGATCGCCGTCGCGTCTGCAACCCGTATACACACCCTCCTCTTCTGTCAAAATCAAGCTGTAGGTAGTGGCGTCAGTGAAAGAACAAGTAACTTCGTCGCCGCCGCCGCCGCTGCTGTCCGTGCCGTCGTGTTGGATATGTTGCCACCGGGACAACTGCTACATACGTAAGGTTAAACCCACGACCGTCGATTCAGAAAAGTGAAGCCATCTACGGTCATAAAACTTGCAAGGCCCGAGATCACCGGAGCATTCGGCCCTGTGAGAGTTGGTGATCACTCAGTCTCCGAGTGTTGGCCCTACGGCAGCATGGCCATAGCTGCCATCTCCCTCATCTTGCCATCTCATGATATTGCTCATGGATCATGGACCCGGGGAAGTCAGTACCGGATGGGGATCAAGCACGTTGATGACGCCGGCGAGGAAGTGGAGAAGGGGTCCAAGTGCCGTAGGTTCTATGCAGTCGTGGAAAGAACCCACGTTGCAATCTTGCTGTGATGGATTCTCGCCAGATTCACACTTTTCTGCTGAAGACAAGTGGAGTGAGGCCAAGAGTGGGCGAGGCAAATATTGACGGTGGTGGATGGAGTTAGGACAAGATACGCCCGCCCGCGTGTCGACTGACGAAGCCGGCGTCGCAGCGTGCTATGGTACGGACAAACACCAAACACGATGAGAATATGAATAGAAGCTCAGCCAAGCCATGCTGCGTGCTTGCTTGCCGACCAGCTCCCACAGGCAAAGGCCAAGGGAACAGGAGAGAAAAAAGGTTTCTTGTCCCTACGACCCTAGCTCCACTTTTGCTTCGGAAAGAATCTTGCGATTCAATACGACTCTATAGTCAGCGAAGGAGGGGGAGAGGGTTTCAAGAACACCTTGCTCTGACAGTCGCGCGAGTCGTCCTGGCAGGAAGCATCCAGGCCCGATCATCATAATCGTACGAAAGATGGTCTTGCGCCCCTTTCCTGTGATACGTTCGTCATCGCAACAGTTGATGCCCAGTGTCCACGACAGTCGTCGTCGTCGTCGACGTCGGCGACGCCCACGGACATTGTGATCGAGGCGGGGAGGAGCACGCCGTCTGGGTCTAGGGATTGATAGACACAAGGGGCCCTGAAAGTGGCGGCCCCGAGTGGATGACAGCAACGGCGTCGGACGCGACATCATTGACTACTTAGGCCCTCGGTGCCTTGATCAGGGGGAACCAAGGAGGCGAATCCAGCCACCCTGTCAGCACGCGGTCTACCACCTGCTGTTGCATTCTAGAGTGCTTTGCCGCAGCGCCGATGACATATGCGTAGGCTTGCGTTTGCCCATCGATGGGATCTGTGTGTCTGCGATCTCGAGGACTGGCCTGCCAAAGTATCATCAAAGTCGAACCACAAACGAGGCAAGAATGTGTATCTGCGGCCTCAAACCTTTCTACCGAGAAGAGTCTCGCAAGACCTAGCCAAAGGTTCCGCAGAGAGTACCTAATGAGAGTACCTTGGGTGCAAGAGGTCGCCATAGTACCTCAGCCAAATCAAAATCAGGCATAAGATAGTCCCCGGGTCAGTATATCCTCTCTCGTGCCAATTTTCAAGGCCGGCAGAGCGGCAGAAAAGGTGTACGCTGTCGTCGTGACGAGAGCCAGGATATCCACGACTGACGATCTACTAATCGGAACGCTGTTTTGTTCCCGGAGAGGAGCTCTCGAGTTATGAAAGCTGCGATTCCTCGTGGAGGTGAGAAAGGTTCGCGTGGACCCAGCTACAAATTATGAGAGGGCTTAATGGCGTTGCTATTGCAGCATCGCCAATGGAGCCAAACATTTCCTCATGGGTGCAAGCCTTTGCCGGACACGTCCAGAGGCGTCACACAGTCCCCGGCCCTGAGTCGGTTGCGAGGACTGGTGCGCTGCAGGAGCATATGCATGGGGATGAAGGACCAGCAGATGTCGTTTGCGATAGGCCTGAGACCCTCCACTCCAAGCGTGCTTTGGAATGCAACGCTACTAACGACCGTTCACTCCCACTGTCCCACAACATGTAGCGTAAGGCGGACATCAAGACAGGCGTCAGACCGTAAGGCGACGTAGGAACCGCTCGAGTGGGGATGGGCTGGCACTAGGAAACGCCACGATCAGAAGTAGCCGCACTTTGTTTCTGATGTCGATGTCTTCACCCACAAGCTGTGCTGGGCGACGACAACCCAAGATGCCCAATTGGTCGTGGAGATTGGTCGGGAAAATGCAAGGCTTTGCAGTCGGGCCTTCCAGGCTAAATCGCCGTCGTCGAGCGGGAGGAGGGGATCGCGGTGCCGGCCAAGCCCCCCCCGTTCCTTGCTCCGAATTATCGACAAGGGTTAGAAGGGGTATCTGAGTGCAGAAACAAGCAACGACCAGGGTTTGAGAAACAAAAGCTCCCTCGTGAAAAAACAATCTCATCTCGGGATTGTGCAAAAGAAGATAACGCGGGCGGGATAAAGGGGGGGCGGTCGATGGGTCGAGATGTTCGCGCTGCGGGGTACATATCTTGACAAGGACCTAAGAAACAATTTGTTTGTTTGTTTTCACAAGCATGTTGCATTTGCCGATGGGGTTCGGAGGATATCGACTTCTTTCTGCACAGCCGCTCGTCGTCCATACAATTTTGATATTAGTATTTTTCAATATTCCTCATCGGCCAATATCCGTCCCCTTCACCATCATCCGTTCATGCATGCAGAGACGGCAGCTCGGAGTGTATGTGTGGCCATTCAGAGCCACTTTCTTCGGCCCAAGTCGCGGATCCTTCTTTCTTCTGCAATGGCACGGAGATTGGGTAGTGCCCGGGGGGCCAGCCCAACATTCTCTGCAGTAATGGCAAAGCCTCATGAAACAAAACGGCCATTTCTTACTGGAAGAGTCCGATTGATGATAGGGCTGCACCGCCACATATCAACAGCGATGCAAATTGTTTCCGTTCCAAGTTGGGAAACGTGGGTATTGCGACCATCTTCGGTCGAGATCTCCATGTTGTGCCATTCGCCTCGCCGCTGTTATGTAGGTAATCTCGGGTGATACAGCAGCATTGATGGGAACCATTTCCCGCCGCCCACTATTATTACTCCCGGGCTTGTAAATGGTCACTGCGGCAGCATGGCGGACTTGCTTGATAAAAGCATCGCCAAGTCGGGTGCTTCGCGACACGCGGCGATGAATGTAGTTTGGACTGTTCAGAGCTTCAGTCGCTCCATGAGCCTCCAAAAGGCCTCGATCAGCATCGCCAACCGTAAATGAGGTCATGTTTGGGCGATCCGGTCTGGACTCAGTGGCAGGGTTCAACCCTTCCCCGGCAGACCTGGTGGAATCAAAACATGTTCAGGACAGCCAAGCGCGCCAGTCTACAGCCCCTGCGAGTGATGAAAGGTGTTCATCGGTGACGGCTCGTCCAGCTAAACGTCGACGCCTGCAGAAAAATGCTAGACCTGGACCTTATGTAGGTTGTTCGGGCTAGGTGCTTCTCTAGGCCCTAGAAGCCTTTCTGATCGCCATCATCATTTGTCAATCATCGTCGACACCCCAGCAGTAGTTCGGAACGTGAGGCCGATTTGGAAGGCTAATCGGCGCGGCAACTGCAAAAGCGCAACGCGCAATCGGTCGTTAACGACGGTATCTGTACTCCGTACGAACACTGCGCTCAGGCCCCGCCTCAAGCTCGCAAAGCATCGGCGTCGAGTCTGGGAGGCTAGCAGGATCATGCGCCGCCATAAGATCGCTTCCAACTGCTAGTTCTACTGCTCGCTTGTATCGCCTCGGTTCAGTCGCGTTTGAGTAGCTTGACAGCCGACGCTTTCCTGGCTGGCACCTTGCGAACCGTGTCGGCGCTTTTTGCACCATCGTTCCAGGATTTGGGGCCTGACGCGAACAGTGTGTCCTGGGCGGCAACACGCAGCAAGGACCACCATGCTGTGCTCTTCACAGGATGTCCCAATCGCGCTTGTCGAGTTCATCTCATGATATGTGTGCCGCCTCAGACTGTTCGGGTATTGCATGCAAATCTTTCGGCAAGCCTTTCCTTGGAAAAGGACGCAACCCAAGGGGTGGACGATTGACGATGAACTAAACTTTGGCAACGAGCCCACACGTGCGGCGGCTTGCGCCCGTCAGTGCGTCTGCAATGACCAAGCTGCCGCCTGCGAGTCAACGGCGCTGTCAACTCGAGGTAAGGGCCCATTAGCATTTGCCGGGGAGATCAGCGCCAGGGCCGTCACGGCCGTGCTGACTCAACACTGACAACCTGCGTCCATCGGACCATCTCTTGAAGATTGGGCAGTTAGGGCCCAGGGTGCACCGGGCATCGCCAGGGGGACTCAGTTCATCCAGAATCCGTCGACCAATCGAGCGAGGTGATGAACGGAGGGCGGCAGCCTCTTCGCGGGTCTCGCGAGGGTGTAAATTTCGGGAGATGGAAAAAAAGACGATGCGGTTCTCAATCGAGCAGCAGATTTCTTACGAGGACGGGGATCATCGTCCCAAAGGAGGCTGCTGTGCCGGAAACGTGCCTCGAAAGAGCTTAGACGCGAGTGGAGGCCAGATTAATTCGTCCATGGCCGGAGAAATGTGGATGACAATTGCATGGGGCGGCCCTCTTCGGTAAAGACGGTTTGCAACTGTGACAAGGTCCAGAGGAGATGCTTGGCAGAGAATCAGGGAGTCTTGCGCCATTCTCGTGTCCCCCCGTCCCCATCCCTCCCCCGAATGAGAGTGACCCCAGGCTTGTTTCTTGCTTGTCTTGTCGTCCTCGACGGATACACTACGTATCCGTGTGTGGGAACTCGGGGGGGATGGCGTGTATGTCGTCTAGCAGTGCCACAAAGAGCCGACTGCCGCGCGAGAGCGAGCAATGGCCCTTGGACGCTCTCATTTTGTCCCCGCCGCTGTGGCACTCTCAAGTTGCTCTCTGTCGATCCATCTTCATCCCATGGCTGGTTGGTACTTCACACTCAGTACCTGTCTCCAGCCTCCATGCTGTTGGAGCGGCCCAATTCGGAGATTTCAAGACCTGGGACTCTTGACGCGCTGGTTGCAACACGAAATCCATAAAGCGAGCAGAGCCGACTGTCTGGAGCCGATTTTTTGCGCCTCGTGGCTGCCGCAAATGTTTCAATCCCTGGTACGGACGGTCTAAGCACCTGCATCACCAGCTAGTCATGAACCAGAGTCTGCTCAGGTTCGTGCCTGGCGCAATGCCAAGTGCAAAGGCAAGAAATAATGAAAACGCTTCTCATTCAATGGGCAAATAGTGCATCGGCTCATCGATGGTGTTGTGCAGATGTGTGCTCGGAATAGGGGCCATTTCCATTGGGAGGGGTATATCGGATTGCAGATATAGGTCTTAGCCCGTCGGTTAATGGCCATGGGTGGAAAAGGGGATAATTTCGGTCGTGAATCCACAAACGAGACTTGGAACTTCTTGTTTCTCAAAAACTCCGAGCCATCAATCAGTACGAAGTGCTCCGTATGAGTGACAAAAGCATGCATTAGATGAGAAAGTGCCATACCACGATGGCGAGCCCCTTGCTGCAGGGAACGTACGGAGGTCGGCCATGGCCGAGTCGTGATTGTGGCTGTCAATGGTCTTGCTGTTTATCTGATGTAGATTCGTGTTTCCCAAGTCTACACAGCCCGGTCGAGCCCTGTCAAGTGTTTCGACGTCGAAACACAGACCACCGCCAGACCAAATCAGTCACTCGTCGAGAGTGTCGAAACAGTCCGCCATCGAGTGCCGTGCTCTTTTATCCAGATATACCTCTCCACCGTGAGCAAGATGACGAGAAATCTGGGCGACGGTCGGCAGAAGGTGGTCGTGTCCCTTAGAGAACCAATGAGATGTGCATCGAGCAGCAAAGAGGGCCAAGGCGTGACAGGGCCCGTGAGGGCCGTTAGGGGCTCTATGGTGGACCGACCAGGACGAGGGCTAGTCGGACAAGCAGGCGGCAAGCCATCTGCACACGGTACCCGCTTCAACGAGAGGCGTGACGGGTCCATGCCCGCACGATCTCGCTGGAAATTCGCCGTGAGCCCCCTTGAACACCCCCGGACCGTTACATCCAGCAAGGGATGCTTCCGCCGCGAACGTTGGTCTGTGACGAGGTCTGCGACTTGGACGGGGACGCTCTCTAGGTGAGGCGCGTCAAGAATAGCGCAGGAATCGTACCAGCTCTAGGCAAGGCCCGTGGATCGCGGATCGAGTTGTGAAAACCCGCAAAGTGTGAGAAAGAGATTGAATATTGGCAGGGAAATGTTTCTTGAACGAGAACCGGGAGAACTCGGCCTTGATAGCTAGCAGTACGAACTGTCGTGGTTTCTCAAATTGTGCCAGGCCCAGGGTAACTTCCGTGCCGTGGCTTTGGTGGCGTGCTTCTAAACGCTCCCGAAGTGGCGGTACAGCAGCAGATGCGATCGACCTTGTAGCCGCGCCGCCGGGGACTGCCAGTGAAGGCGGCTCTCAGGAGAGGATACTCGTACGACAATCATCTTGCGGGATCCCGATGGAGCGTTCCGTAGAGGTACTTGGAGTTGTGAGGTAGACGTCGTAATTGCAAGGGGGCCATATGACAGCTCCGGATAACGTGTGTTGAAGCGGTCGGTTAGAGGCGCATACACTTGTCTCTTGACTTTGATGCGAAAGCATGCCGCTTCCAGGTGCGGAACAGAGTAGGCGATAGCCCGTGTTAGGAGCGAATACATTCATATGCAAGCTTTCAAGGCTGAAAAGTTTTTGTAGATAGCACTGCTCGAACAGTGCATTGTTGGTCCTCACTTTCCTCTTCGTGCCTCGATAAACACTGTTTGGAAGGGGGAATAGTTATGCGTAGCAAGCACTATACAAGGTCTCCAGTTGTGAAAAAAGAACAGGCTCGAATGCAGTTGACGTGGTTCCCGCGTCGTACTAGTTGACTGTGCGTCTGTTAGCGCTGTCACTTGCAGGCGTAGCTTAACGGCTTGGATTGTCGGTGCAGAGAGCGTGGACCAGCGGTGTCCACAGTGGCTGACACCTGCTGTCAGGTACTGTCACTTGACGAAGCGCGCGTGAGAGGCGTCATCTAGGCGTTGCACCGGGGGCCCAGGTCAAGCGAGTCGAGGAAGCAGTCTGCATACGGGAGCTTGAATGGAGGCCGGCGAAGAGGTTGGAGACCAGGGTGACGGGACCAAGACTTAGAGCGGCGGCGGCGGCGGCGGCGGAGGAGGAGGAGAAGCCTAGAGGAGGGCGCGTTACCGCGGCAAATCCGAGTAGAGTTTGTGTCGGGCATGGGACCTAACAAGACGAGGCCGCGGGATGGCAAGGTATCGCAGTCCGGAAGTGTAAAGTGAGATGAGGTTCAAGCTTGGCTGGCAGCGTGCCTCACCCTCACTTTGGAAGGTGACAAGGTATACGAGGCTTCAGATATCGGCCAGTTCGCGCGGAGTTGGAGTCGACTCCAAAAAGCAGTAGGTATGGATATCTGTAGAGCAACTCAGAGAGAGACGAAAAGGGCAGAGCGGGGGGCGTTGAACAAGTGCCTTGCGGTGTGATACCTTGTGGCGTGAGTAAGGTATAGTAAGCTATGCGAACGGAGTACCCAAGGACCAAGGCAGTTTGCATACTGAGGCATGGTGGACGAGGTACGTAGGGAAACAGGAGCTAGGAAGAAGGAACCGAATGCAACGGCGCTGGCGAGAGTCGCGATAAACTTTGTTTTGGGTCGAGCCAAACAGAGAGAAGCAGGTGTCCGGCGTACCTGAGAAGGAAACACAAGCGTTTGTCCCCTCGATCCATAGTAGAGTGTGGGCTGTGTGGTACCCGTACGAATACACTATGGCCATAGTGGTGCTGCGTGGGTATGCGTAGCAAAACGAGTTGTGGGGGACGTGGAGAAGGTGACGGTGATGTGCCCTCGATGAGGTGACTTGCTTGAGAGCGGGTTCGAGCAGGACAGGACACCACCTAGGCTGTGGACGAGGGTGACGGACGACGGGGGTCCGCGTGCCGGTCCAGGGTCCTGATCATGATGTCGAAGTTCCCGGCCTCCAGGGGGGTTAATTGGAGGGGAGGCGGCGGGAGGAGAATGTGAGGAGTCGTTGTGCGTAGTGAGGAGGAGCCGTGATCCACAGAGCTTGCTGTCGATAGTCGATAGTGTGCTGCGACGGCAGGGAAGTACGTAGTTGCGCATATGTCCAAGGCAAAGTCGCAAAGAGGGAGGCCGAAATGATCATGTAAAGTACATTTTGGACTTGGATATTGAGCAACAACCGCGAGATGAAGCAGAAGAAGAAAAAGACGGAGGAGGAGGAGGTCCAGTAGGAAAAGTGGGCGGTTGAATGTCAAGGAGACTGGAGTCGAGTCGAGTCGAGCTATTTTTCTCCCTCATTAACAGATTTGGAGACTTTTGACAAAGGGAACGACGTGAAGTGGATGATGGATAACAAGTGGATTGAACCGCTGTGATAGTCCGGCCACAAGATATGCTACATAGTTATCTTGAAGCGCAACTACTTGCTTAACTCTACTTTGATGAGTGGCTGATAGAAAGAGGCGAGGGAATTATTGCAGCCGACGAGAGAGATATGTCTGGATGCGGAGTGCCTCATTCCTCCCATATTTCATTGGAAGGGAAAAAGAAGAAGCAATGTAGAGGGTTTGAGGAGGTATATGAACATATTCCATTCGTTTTAATATCGCTACTTGCCGACTTCGTACTTACCTTGACCTGAGTGCCTGACCTTGACATCGTTCTGTTTTCCACAAGGTAGGTAGCTACGGCAAGCAGGCGTAGCTGAAGTCCATTCAGGAAGGACAACATATGGCATCTCGAATATGGAGATTTTCAGGAGCTTTGGGGCGAGCGTGATGCAATGGATGGCAGGTGCAATTGCAGGTTGAAAATCTCAAAGAGTTAGACAGGCAGGAGCTGCACAATCAGCCCGAGCTTCTGCTTGCGATGCGGACTGAGGACTGTGGAAGGTGGACTCGATGAGAAGGTGGGGTTGGCAGGAGGACCCGTGGGAGTGGAGGTTGAGCATTGGATCTTGACCACACATCAAGAAGGTGAGGTACGTACTGAGCTGGGCAGAAATATGGAAGTGTGGATGGTGAGGCAGGCGTGGCAGGCACGACAGGGCAGCAAGAACAAGGAGAGAAAGTGGGCTGTGGAGCCGGCACAAAGAGGGAAAGGGCGACGATGATTGACCAAGGTGCTGACGGGATTGAATCAGTGCCCCGGCTCTTAAGGCACCTTTAGCCTGGGAAACCCTGCCAGGTATAATTTTGAGTTTTCTAGTCGGTGCGGGTTAATATCGGAACTACGCACTGTAACTGAGCACTGTATTTCTCCAGCGACTCTGCACAAACAATCCACTGAGATACGGGGACATGGCCCCGAAATTGGGGGGTCTTGATGCGCTGCTGGAGTCGCTGACTTGCTGGATTAGGCGCTGGAGAAACCAGTTGGAGACCTGGCGCGCATGGCAGCCTGGGTCCCTGGGGACCTGCCTAGGTAAGGGATCGGTGAAGAAGTTGAGAGCAGCGTGTCATGATGGTGCTGCGCCGGGGGGCCGGGGGGGCCGTGGCACTGGGGGTTCATCATGGTCGCGATGCTGGATGGAGAATGGCTAAGGTCGGGTGGGGGAGTGTGGTGAGTGGGAGCCTGGCACGCCGCAAGCCGCACGCCTCGGGCTGTCATATACGGATACATACCTTACCTTATGAGAGGAGGGGAGGGGAAAAGAGAGGTCGGGGGGTTGTTAGAGAGGGCACGAGGTTGGCACGAGGCATCAACGATGGAGAATGCCATGTCCGTTATTGTTATTGACAAGGCCTTTGAAATGGGAAAGCTGGGAAGGGAACCTCTCCCTCCGGCCGCCGGGGCGGTGCTTCCCTCCTTTCCCCGTCGCTTCCTCCGACCACCCGACCCGATCTTGGAGCAAAATAGAGCAATTACGACGGTAAGGGCCTGTCCTGCCTGCCTGGAGATTGGAGTCAAGAGTCGAGGTCGAGACGTGGATGTGCAACTTCCGAGAGCCAGACCTTACAAGTTACCTACCACAAGGGAGGGAAGGTAAGGTACGGACCATGCTATGCACCTGCCGCTGCAACTGCCACTACCACTGCCACTACCACTGCCACCACGTCCTCGCCGAGGGCAGGGACGACATCCGGGAAGGCGAGGTAGAGGGGCCGAAAGAGAGTTGGCAGGTGCAGATGCCAACCCAGTGTCATTCGACGGGATCCTTCCTTCCCATCAGGTCGCTTCCAAGGCTACCTACACCTCACGGTCAGCTGGGCAAATCTCTGTCAGGAGCGAACCGAAAGGCAAGCGCACCTTACTCGGTGTCTTGCCTACCTTACTTGACGGATACACCCACCTTCTCTACCAAATAAGGCACCTTAGATGGCTGCCTGATGAAAGGTTCTTGCTCTCGTTCCCGTCCCTCCTTCCTTCAAAGTTGAGATTCGAGTTCATCTCACCATTGAAGCTGCCCATTGCTCTTTCCTCAGTCACGACCGAGTTCTGAACTTCTGACTGCTGAAGTTTGGTTGTGTCCGTGCTTGGCTCCTGCTCTTTCCATTTTCGGCCTGGGCCTGCTCCGGATTCCGGACCCGTTCCGTATCTCTCTCCCTTGACCATGACCTGGCAAGATTGGCCTGCTCAAGCATTGAGCATAACCAAGGCCTTGATCGTGTCCTGGTCTGCCCGGAAATCCCCCCTCTCCCCCCGACTTTTTCTGGAGTTGCGCCTTTTCTTTGTTCATATTGCTCCGGGATACAAGCTGTGTCTCCGTAGATTAATCATCGGAGGCTTGACAATTCCAACTCGATTCGGCCACCAGGTCTCTTCCTTGTCGACTGAGTGCGGCAATTAGGCCCTCTTGCGCAAAGGCCCGACTCTGCACTGTGTTTCTCGGGGTTTCCTTGGAACAAGGAAATTTGTTATCGATAGTTGCCATCGCTTCAATATCCTTTGGCTGCCGCAATCAATACTTTGCCATACGTAGTAACCTCCTTTTCGCACACGGCATCGACATCGGATATTGAGTTACCTAACCCTGGATCAACAATATAGCTCGCTTCTCTCCAATATGTGAGTTGCATTCACTTGCTATTAGGAGAATGGCCAAAATAACAAGGTAAGCCACTCCCGCAAGTTGCAACATACCTTACCTTACTTGGGTACCTAACTTCGTACCTTACGCTGGGCCAAGTACGTAAGCAATTAACTCGATCCCAGACCTTCATCCGCTTCACCTCACCTCGGGGCGTGTGACTTCTACGGTCTACGGATACCCAGGCTCTGAACGTTACCTCCCGCCCTCGTGTCCGCTTCTGTCCTCCACTCTCCGACTTCACGTCGTCACCACCCCCGTGCCACCCCTCGACGTGACCGGACTACGCTCCGATCGCATCTGGCTCGGAGGACGGCGCGAGCGACTCTTCCCTTTCCGCCTCGACATGCAGGAAATCGCATCGGACGGCCTGCTTATCCCTCGGCATCCGTGTGCATCGCCATCTGATGATTGACCGCTTTGGTGCTTGGGTATCGCACCGCACCGCACCCGCACCGTACAGCACCGCATCTCACCTCACCTCGCACACAGTCGCAGTCGCACAGAGGCAGTCAGTTGCTTGGCCCATGTGGCCACCGCTCTGCCAGACCCCAGCCTACTAACGCTTCTTAACAGCCACATTCGTCCGCCGCTGCAGCCGTGGGTCGAAGCTTCTGGGGGCTACTGCAGCCACTGCATACTCTCTGCATGCACCCGGCCGTGATCCCTTCTTTTTTGCGCCCCCAGTATCTGTATGTACGAAGTACAGACGACAGCCTACGAATACAGAGTACTGGCCACCAAGATCAAGACCTGCACCTCGACCGAGACCATTCAGAAGACCAGTAGAGAGCATACATTGCAAGCTAGATGCACATCCACAGCCAGACCGAGCCAAGGTCGTTGTCGAGGCCCACATACCAAACCAGGCCGTTACTGGCGACTGCATGGCATTGTATCCGTACCTTGAATCCTCTGTACCTTGCCGCTCGATGAATGTGCAGTGAGGTCAGGAAGGCAGGCGGTCAGCCGCCCATCACCCGCCCTCGTCCTCATCCTCGTTCTAGTCCCTCCACCACACAACGGCGCCCGGATCCATGTCGGTACGTGGAAGTAGCAGCTCAGGTACCTTGCACAACCGGTCTAACGCCGACAAATGGGAAGCTAGAACGCCCTACCTGACCTTGACTGCTGATGCTTCTGCGTCGGCTGCCGCTGCTACTTGCTCTTCTGCTGCTACGCTACGGCTAAGCTACGCTGCGCTACCCTCGAAGCTCCTCGGGAGCCAGTGCTACTGTGCCGCGGGGCTAACAAGTAGGTAGTGTACCGTTCAAAGTATGTACTGCGTGCGTAAAAGAGTGTGAGGGGCAGGGAAAAGAGATAGGTACACTACTCTCGCGTCTGGTGGTCTCGTCCCGTCTTGTCAAAATAACCAGGACGATGCTGACTATCGCAATTCAGGCCGCCTTCTGATCGTCTCGCATCAACTCGCCTCGTGTCCAAGACCTCTTGCCGTTGATTACCTTGGAGCACGGGAGCCAAGATTACGCGTCTTTCCCGTCTTTTGCTTGATGAGACGGGCTGCCTCTTTTTCTCATATTTCCCAGGGACCCCTTTCTTCGTGTTTGTTTGGAAGAAGGGGGACGGGGTATCCGAGCGCCCCCAATTGTCAAGAGGCAGATATCCGCACCCAGGCTATTCGCGAGAGAAAAGACGCGAGGGGGATTGGCAACAAGTGCAAGAAGAATGCAGCTCTGCAGGTTACCTTGGCGAATAGGTAGTGGCCATTTCGGAAACGGAGATTCAAGCTACCTACCTTACCTTAGGTACGCACAGCTGTCCCAGGTACTTTGGCAGCAGCACGATGCCAATGATGCGATGCGACTGGTTCGTGGGATTCCGGACGCGGCACCTTGGAGCAGTGAATGGGTGGGTTGCGCACCTGCGCGGGCGGCGGGACTACGGGGACAAAAAGAAGAGGGTACGTATCCGTGCTATGTAAGGACAGTACGTACTGCCCCGTGGACAAGCCCGCGGCCGGGTTCTATCAACTGCCATGATGAGGACCGACCCTCAACCCTGCGCCTTTTTGCGGACCCCTGGTCCGGGTGCGGGCACAGACTGTTAGCTTCCCCTTTCAGGAACTTCTCCCACGAACATGCCTGGGCGCCTCCGCATTTGTGCCTCGCTCTATTTTTTGTGTGCTATTTTTTTTTCTCTCTCTCTCTCTCTCTTGCGTTTTTATGCTTCTTCGTTTCTGTTTCTCTCTGTGCGTTTGTACCTATCTTTGTCTCTTGCCTGGGCTCTCTCTCTCTTCACATCTTGCGGATACTCTTCCAAGTTGTGTGCTGTGGTTTTTTTTTTGGGCCCCCCCCTCTCACCCTCCCTCTCCCTCTCTCTCACTCTCACTTTCGCACTCTCACACCCCCTTCGCCTCTACACCTTTCCACTTCCTGACTTCGTCGGCGTCTCTGCCCAACAGTCTTCTAGAAAAATTGCGGGCCAGTAGCCTACAACAACCGTCGGAGGATTCTCTCTCTAGTCTTCTTATCGAGCGACACCCCCCTCTTCAACCCCTGGACATTTCGCCATGATGCTTCCATTGGTCAAGACGAGGGTCTTGGGGCATATCCAGCCTGCGATTTCTCCTCGAGAGATGCTCCCCCCCCGTGCCTCCGTACGATCCATGCCAGGTTCTTCTCCGTCCCTCCATCTCGACAGAGCTACGTACCGCATATGCCACCCTGCTCACCAGGGTCAGTAGTGCCAACCCTGAAGGCTTGCCGTCAACTCTCTTCCATGTCTTTTGCTCCTAGCGATACCAATTTGTGCAAGGGACTTGTCCACGCCTCCGGCAGAAGCGGGGGTGTGCTGGAGGGGAGGAGAGAAAAAGAGTGAGAGAGAGAGAGTGTGTGTGTGTGTGTGCGTGTGCGCGCGCGTGTCTTTGAGGGCGACCGAGTGAGAGGGGAGGAAGAGAAACAGAGAGTGAGTGAGTGTGTATGAACGGTACGGTACGGTACGGATAGAGAGAGAAAGTGGGTGTATGCCACTGTCCAACCGGGGCCATTCAACCCGTACGTATCCATGATAGCTACGTAGCTATGCATCTTTTTCCTCAGGTATCGTATGTATGTTTATGTGCGGGTGCGGGTAATGAAGACAAGACTGGTCTTGGATGTGCGAATATGCGTCGGCTGGTTCTACTTGTTCGTAAGTGCGTTTGGGCGAATAAGCGTTTTGTGATGTTTCTCCATCCCCCCGGAGCTCGCCCGTCATGTTCACTCTGTGGTCTTGCTCACACTAATAACTCACTAAAACTAAGGTAAGGTAAATATTGCGTACCTTTGCTTGGACGGGCCAGTAGTCCGTATGCAAATTCATAAACCAGAGCTACACTACTGCAACAGCAGCAAAAGGCCCTGGACCTGGTATCCTGAACTGTGCTCGTTTGCTCTTATCAAACCGTTTCAGTGCCGCCCCTCGTCCTGGGCCCTCGTCGACGACCTTGTCTTCTTTCTTCTCCTCCTCCTCCTCCTCCTCTGTTCCCAGTCTACCAGTCTGCAAGTCTGGGTCTACCACGGCCTGCGTACTGCTGCTTCTGCGTCCTGCGTCCTGCGTGCCCCCTTCCCTTCCCTTCCCTTCCCCATAGCGCCGCCTTCTAAGAAAGGTATTTCCCTAAACCTGGTCGCCGCTCTGCAGGGCGCATCCATACTCCATCGTCGTAGCTCCATAGCGTGCCTTGTTCTTCCGCTCACCAGATCGCCCGCTCCTCACCTTTCTCCTTCCCAGTATGGTTGCATGCACTGACCGTCCTGTCCAAGAACCCGCCATCACGTTGTACCGGTGACCTTGCCTTTGCCGCTGCCGCTGAAGAAGGCACAGGTCAACGGCCCAGCAGGAGGGACATCCCGTTGAGACATCAACTTGCTGCTCGACTCGACTCCGACTCGACTCGACGCAACCTTGACCTTGAACCTCGACCTTGCCTTGGCTGGCCTCCCCCAGCCCTGCCCCATCATTGTATCCACCCCAGAACAGTGCCGAAGATTTTCATCAGACACCCCCTCCAACATCTACCGTCCTCTTGCGACCCATTCACCCCATCAGATACAAGTATACATCTCTCCCTGCAACCTTAAACATGACCGTCGTCCGTTGATCCTCAACTTCATCTTTGCATCTTCTGCATCTCTCGAGTCTTCGCCATCACTCCTCGAGATCAAATAACACACTCGCTCATCCTCCCCTTCGCTTTACCAATCCCAACCTCTTTTGGTCAAGACGACTTACATCAACAACGTACATGCCCTTGTTGACTACCCAGCAAGGACCTCGACATATCCTTGTGTAAAGTACACACGGAGACCAGAGACAAAGAAAGAAGAAGAAGCAGAGTGACAGAAGCGCGCTTGGGTCTGGAACAGGACTACAGCGCATCAGAGAGGCATGCTCTAATGTCAACCACGGTCACTTACCCCGTCATGGCAGAGCTGAAAGAGCCGGCACATTCCAATCTTTGGTCGAACTATGGGAGTCCCGTCCAAATGTCGTCTCGATTCAACAACAGCCTGGATTCTGGCCTCGGAGGCCACGCCGCCAACTCACCACACGCGGGACGCCCTAGAAGCACCCACCCAAGTGTAGACCACGGATCTTATCCCTATGGTCGCTACCCTCAAGACGAGTCCGATGCGTACGATAGACATTCGCATCCCAGCTTGACATCCCACCACAGCTTCCCCAATCTCAAGAGACCCTACTCGCAAACCGAACAGCCCCCTTACCAGGAGATTGTCCAGGACCTGAGAGACGATGGCTCCAAACTTACCGTCAACCACGACCACAAGCTGTTGTCGTTCAAGAGGGTACAAGACAAGCACACTATTGTCGACCAGCATGGACGCATGCAGCAGCTGGAGCTTTCTGCTCAGCTGCACGGAATGTTCTTCCTTTCCGAAATGCCAGCCAACAGCACCGACGGTTCCATCCTCCAGCCCGAACTGACCTGTTACCGACGAAACCTCTTCCAGATTAGCGGCTCTCTCATCACCCCACGAGGCCAGCTCTCTGTCATATCCGAGACTGGCGAGACGGTCCCCGTCAGCAACACTGAAGTGACCATCTCTGCCATCGAGTCTGTCGACGGCCACCCCGTCCGACTTATCGTCATCCCCTGGAAGACGCCCCCACCCAACTCTCCCGAGATCACCCAAACCCCGGACCAGGAGCCAGCGTCGCTTCCCCTTATCCCCTTCCAAGAAGACGGTTCGGAATCCGATGGCGAGTATGCCGTTTATCCCATTGGCTGGCGCCGACTGCAGTTCAGAATGTGAGTATCAGCCCGAAACAGGCGCACTTGCGCGCAGACGTGACGAATCTCGGCTGATTTGACAAAGTGCCACCGCAAACAACGGGCGGCGAAAGGAACTCCAGCAACACTTTGTGCTCCACCTCAAGGTTGTCGGGACGTTGGCCAACGGAAGCAAGATTGTGCTTACTGAAGCGACTACCGCGCCTATTGTTGTCCGGGGCCGCAGCCCTCGCAACTTCCAGGCAAGAAAGGAGATTCCCTTGCTAGGATCGAGCGCTGGGTCCAGGGGCCAGGCCTTGGTTGAGACTGGACTGGGTATTGTGGCGGGACCGTTGGCTATCAAGCCGCAGGATGCCAAGGCAAGAGGGTTGGACATGCAGATGCCTCGTTCCGCCTTCACCTTTAACGCAGGAGGGCCCAAGATGCCCGGAGCACCCATGGGAGCCATGAGATCCAAGTAAGCTCAACAACGCCCCCTCCCCCCTTCCATCCAGCGTACATGTCTATCACTTGATCGACATTGTTGCGATACGAAGCCCGGTCACTGACCCATCGTAGCTCATACCCCAACTGGTCCTCCTCGAACTCTGTGCCCGGGATGCCACAACTACCACCAGCTGGCTCGGCAAGCTACCCCGCTACGACAATGGGAGAATCTTACCACAAGGTTGCTCTGCCGGGAAGTGCAAGCTTCGGTGGAGAGGCCCATGATATGCCTTTGCAAACGTCGATGCCTTCCGTTCAGCTTTCCCTGGTTGCCAACGAACAGCAACAGCCTCCGATCAGGACACAATACGCTTATGTGCAAAGCACAACTGCTCCGCCACCACTATCGGTATCGGCCACGGCAATGGCATCGAGCTCAGACAACGCGCTCAACGTGCCCAGATACGTCGATAACCCTCGACCTACCAAGAGCCCCAGGCATGCAAGCCAGCCTTCCATCGGGTCAATGTCTCATCACGAGGCATCCCCGGAGTACCGGTACGGCTCGTCGTACGGAGCAGTGGGCAACAACCCCAGCGATATTGCACCGCCGTCCTACAAGGCTGAAGCCCCCGCGTCACACTCCAACCCCTCTCGAGACTACTATCCGCCCTCGAGTTCATGGACGACAACAGCTGGAGAGCCTACCTCGACTGTTGCGTACAGCAGCAGTGAGGCAAGGCCGTACGGCTTCCCTGAACAGTACTCGAGCGGAGGCTCTGCGCCAACCACCAAGCAGGAGCATGCTCCCGCTCCTCCAGCCCCTGGGTCATACAGCAGCGCCCACCGGGGATCGTTTGATGGCATGAACCATTATTCCTGGAACACTAATTAGCTGCGAGAATTGCTGATTGGCGGCTGGGTCACGCCACTTGTCTCCAAACATGAGGGGCAATAATAGGTCGGGCCGAACGATGCTTGAGTTGAGTGAAGCAAGATTTGAGGGCCGAACTTGTTTCCGGGCCTGGCACAACAGCCCTGACTGTGTACCACTAAAACTTCAATTCGTGGCCAGAAGAGTGATTGCGGTTCCGATTCGACTTTTTATCTCCAAGTACCTAGGCGCGATATTTCGATTCTGGAGCGCTGTCGAGGCGGGGGATTCACACCGATTGAAATACGGCATACCCCGCGGTAAAGGAGGTTTCCCTCTGGCGGTTGCCATTTTTGGCTCTGCTCGGCATGGGCGTGGTTTGTTTACAAGGTCTCATGACAGACCGGACCCGAGCATAATTTGGGTAGGCGCAGCAACGACAAGGTCGAGATCGGCGTCAAGAGACGGGCATTGTCTGGGTGGCTGGGCATTTCGATACCACACGGAAGATAGCATTGACGTCGAATGCTCCGGCCGGACGCTTCTATCACCGGCTCCGGGCCGTGCTGCGACATTGTGTGGGCGGGGTACTTAACGATATGTATGGTATTTCTTGGTTTTTGTTAAGCGCCGGGTACCGGACGGGGAAAGCAATGAAAGGCATTGTGGTCTTTACTCGGCATCCTTGCTCCCGAATGCGCCAACGTTGGCAAATTGTGTTGCCTGTGAGAAGGAAAGGGTATTGGGGAAAGGAAAAAGGACAAAGCCACAAAGGGCTCAGCCTCGAGGATGGGACGACGTCCAAAGTGAGATGGTCCTGAGCTTGGTAGCCTTGTCCCAACCATGTGGTTGGGTCCCGCCACCCACACCTCGGAGAGAGTTCGTCTGATTTACCCGGGGCGGAACCAAAGGTTGGGTCCTGGCATGAGAAGGCACCGGCGGTGTGGGAAAGGATGGCGGTTGAGTGCTGGTTGGCTGGACGTCCGCCCGACGTGGTAGCGTTCCTTCTGTGCGTGGTTTCTCGGACTCTTGATGAAGATTTTTTGTGATTTTGATTTGCTGAAGAATGAGGAAAGAGATGGTTTCGTGGAGGAAGGGAGAGAGAAGAGAGAGAGAGAGAGAAGGAATAGCAAGAGAGAGTGCAAGAGGCGAGAAAATAGGCCAGAAAATGCGCAAGCAAGCAAATAGGCAATGAATAAGCATCCATTCCAGCCCCAAAACCCTAGGTTGACTCTCTTCTCATCCAGGTTCTGGTGTCTGATTGGGGATAACCTCCCCAGAGCTCGTATTCGAACTAAATTTGGTGGTTCACAATGAGCAGAGAGACGGATACGGGCACCGGGCACCGGGCACGCGGGTCATTTATGTGTTTGGTCCACCGAGTCAACCTGCCTCGACTGTTGGTGCACGACGGACGCATACACACATGGGAAAATCAGCCACCGACCTTGCTTGGGTTGGATTGGGGCCTTTGACCTCTCCACCCCCTTCTTCCCAGAAGTCACTTACTTGGTTGTATGAGGTGTCTGACCATCTCTTTTCATATTTTGCGGAGGGGAGATTACCACCACCACCACCACCACCGTCCGGCGGCGTTCTACGATCCCACGTCCCACACACACGGCGCGGTCACGATCACACCTTGGCCAGTAGCACTTTCACCGTTGGTCCGTTACGCACGAGTCCAAGGTAGAGGCGCGGGCGGGCCACTGCGGCAGGCCCGCTCAGCTGGGAATTTGCGATGCCAATAGTGTGATGGGGGGGGGGGGGGGGTCCTAGTGGTGCGTTGGCGCTGGTGCCCTGGGATAGGACGGAATGGGTGCGCTTTGGGCGGAAAGATACTGCTTTTGCTTGCCTTGTACTTTTGTTGTATTTGTTATGACTTTTGATTTGATCCGGTTTTTTTATGTCGTACAGCGCATGTGAGGGGGGAAAGAAGCTGTAGAATGCTGCCGGCTTGGCGAATGAAGAACAGAAATGGAGAGAGAGAGAGAGAGAGAAAGACAGAAAGATAGGGAGGGAGGGAGTCCAGAAGGAAGGAAGAGAATACGAATGGGTTTGGTTTCCTGTCACTTTGGTCCGAACACTCTAGCCCCGAATCCTTCGTGATGAGAATCCACAGAGACTTGACCGCTTTGAGAGAAGAGAGAGCAAGAAAAAGAGAGGTACTTTTGGTGGGATGTTTGTTGGATCCTTTTTGGTTTTCCATGGAGTCGTATTCTTTGATGTTGGCCCACCACCATTAAACCAATACTACATACCAAATGCTGTGATACGCTGGCATTGGGTAGGTACTGTGGCAGGTAAGGTATCTTGTCAATTTTCACTCACGCAACCCACGTAAACCCACGCAAACGCAAACGCAGGGCGAAGAACGCGGGTGACGCCCGGTTCGGGCCTCTTGCTGGGAGGGCTTGCGTTCAGCCTACCGCTGGGCCGCGTGGGATCCTCGTGAAGTGTGTGGGTGCGCGCGTGCCGTTTCATGCATGCATGTACGGACGCGACGCAAGTGTACGGATAGGCTGGGCAAGCTGGCAGTAGGATTGGGATGCGTCGCTGAGGAAGGAGGAGGAGGGCATGGAAATGGAACTGCAACTGCTGGGGCGGAGATGTACCGGATACTAGATATGACAGGCGGACGCAATGGAAGGAGCAGGAGGGGGGGATGGTTGGTAGCATGGTATGGGGACCCGAGCAGCTGGGTAGGAATGACGATGGTCCTCCCCCCTCTTTACCTGCCTAGCTTGCTAGCATAGGAACGGGGAATGATAAGTTGACTACGAGAGTGAGAGCGAGAACAACCTATGCGAATGGAAGTATCCGTAGGTACGTAGAGATAGAGGGAGGGGCAGAGGTGGAAGACTCCGCTGGCGCGTTTACACTACTTTCCCACGTTGTTTGAACCCAGGCCGGCCCGCCTTTTCATCCCCACCCCTTGCTTTGCCCACGTTATGTTTCCGACTGTCACTTTTTTTTCTTCCCTCTCCCACGGTGTGTTTGTACATCAAGACTCCACACCTCCTTGTTCGGTGGCTTGCTGGGGAGGGGGGTCTGGTTGACGAGCTGACGGCGGACACTGGGCAGGGAGTTTTGATACCCCCTCACCCGGGTTGAGAGGGCTGTCATGTTTTGTATTGAGGGGGTATTAATAGAGGTCAGACAGATGTCTGGGATGGAGGGGGGAGAGAAGGATAAGAAACGTAAGAACTTCAAGAAGAGATGTGTGGCTTTGACGTACTATGTGCTAAACGGGTGGGGTTTGCACGGCGAGATTGTTCGATAAGTACCTTTGTGGGGTGGAAGAGAGATTCATTGGAGTTGCTTGACAAATGACCCGAGGTGGCTGATGCATTTACGACTAACAGAGGAAAAGAAGATTGTGGTATCCGCATTTAGCTACCCAAATATCCAACTATCAACAAGTTCAAGAAGCTTCGTTGTAATGCGAAGAGACGACCGACGGCAGTGGCTTGACCCGGTAAAGATGCAGCGTCAATCATTGATCTTCAGCCGTAAAGCAAAGTGACCGTCCACTTGCATAGGTTACAACTCCATTCGATATCTGGCTTGTACTCCGTATTCGCACTTGTTTGCAAGTCTTTGAAAACATGTGTCTGGAGTGAAGCCCATTCCTCATGTTCACTTGTCGCACCCATTTGTATGAGTACATTGCATCTCTTCTACCTCAGGTAGGTAGGTAAGGTACCTTGAGGTAAGTGGTAGGACCTCACGACTCGCGATAAGATAAGGTTCGACGCTCCCACTTTAGCGAGCGAAAATCTCAATTGAACGGCTCCGCGGTCGGGCGAAATTCCACCGGTCAGCCCGCCCGCCGTCCATCACATTGCAACCTTCCGTCCCGTGCTCAGAACTCCACATAGCACCCGGTCTCACTGTGAAGTTGCTCTCTCGTCAGTTTTCTGACTTCAGCTTTGCACGGGGACTCGGCGATCGAAATTACGGCCGGGTGGGTTACAATTCACTCGCTCTCTTTCTCATCGTATTCACTCGTCTGGCGCCACAACGTCACAACGTCCCAGAGCACCTTTCCGGTGCCGTCTTATCTGACAACCTCCTCCACGACGAATACGCAGCCATGTTTGAGCTTCCTGACGCAAAGAGGTGAGGCGCAACCATCACCTCTCCTGTGACCCCCTTCCCCCCCTGCGCCTGCAGCAGCGCTGATCAGAACTTGGCACGAGACAGAGTCCGGCGAGAAGACCTCGGGGAGTCATCCGACGATGAAGGAGCGGACCACGACGAGCAGCAAAATGCGGACCTCCTGGCGAAGCTGCATGCCCGTATGGCGGGCATGCTCGACCTAGGCGACGACGCCGACGCCGACCAGACTTTGACAGAAACGACCGAGCAACCAGCAGCAGCGACGACGGACGGAGAAACGGGCAAAGATGGCGGCGGCGGAGACGATGAGCCCGAAGAGTTTGAGTTCCGGCTCTTCACCACGTCGAACCCGGCGACAAAGATTGCGCTGATCGACGAGGACGAGCGCGCGATGGCGGGCGACGGAGCCATGATTCGCAAGAGGCCGCTGTCGTACTACATCGCCGGGGAGCCGACGCACGAAGTGAAGGCGGAGCTCGCTTTCGCGGCGGTGTCGGGCGAGGAGGTTCTTGAGAGGGCGCAGAGGCGGTGGTGGGGGATGGAGCAGCCTTGGCGGGTGACGACGATTCCTGGTACCAGGGTATCGTCAAAGGGAACAGCAGGAACAGCAGCAGCAGCAGGAGGAGATGCTGGGAAGACCAAGGAGGAGGCAGACGCGGCGGCGGCGAGGAGGAGGCGGCCTGGGAAGAAGAAGCGTCTTGCGATACGGGTTAAGCAGCGGGAGAGGGTGAAGAAGGCCGAGGAGCTGGAGAAGTTCAAGGCCGGTAAGGAGGAGGCGCTGAAGGAGAAGAAGAAGAGGCTGAATCGGTTGAAGAAGCTAAGGAAGAGGGCCAAGGCGAAGGAGGGGAAGAATGGGGGCGGCGAGGGTGGTGGTGATGGTGGTGAGTCGGGATCTGGATCTGACGGTGATAAGTGATGTATCTACATGACTATCTGCGGTATGGAACTATTAGCCAGATCGACAAGAAAGTGCTCTGGTAGATGTTTCACCATTGCAGAGGGAATTAACAGAGTCTATCTGAGAGAGCACGCGAGAAAGGTATCCCACACGTGATATCTGTGGACGTTCTCTTCCTGTCATATCTACAAGATATCCATCACGGTTGGGTCTTGAGGCGGAAGAGCTCTTTGAATCATGGCATATAGCAGAAGTGCAATGCTTCAGAGCGCTAAAACTCCAATATGTGACCTACGAGGTTCACTAGCAGAAGCAAATTGTGGATGCCCATGGCGACACCATCGACTGCCAACAAACGTCAACTTAAGAAAGCAATTATCTAAATTGAGGCTCTTTGGTTCCCCAATACCTTCCGGCGAAATTCTTCAAAGGTCTATCAAGTCCACCCTCTGCATGACGTGCAAGACTTACTATGTGCCCCAGCCAGTCAAGACTCGCGCATTACCGGAGCAGCACTCAAGGGAGGCGACGCGACGTGAATGGCTCGCGAGGTGGGGCCGGGGAGAGCACTGACATACCGGCCCGCCAATGGATGCAGGAGCTCCAGCAGAGAGCTCCCCGTCTTTCCTGGTCGAAAAGGAATGTCCCGGCAGCAAAAAAATTTCGAGGACGCCGACTCCCATCAGACGATACCTCATCAACCTCCTTCCCCCCCTACCTCACCATCACAAAAGCCGTTGTCGACAACGAGCAATTCCATCGTCCATCTCCTCTCTGTTCCTTCTTCTCTCTTTCTACTGTACTATTTAATACCCACAGCCTGCCAAAATGTCCGCCTCTCTGAGATCCGTTGCGCCGTTCTTCCGGACGGCGCGCGCCTCGCTGCGCCAGGGCAACGTTAGCCCCCTTCAGGCCGCTCTGAAGAGACAGAACGTCTCCCCCATCCTCAACGTCTACCGCACATACGCCGTCTACGAGCGGACAAAGCCTCACGTCAACATTGGTATGGGCACCTGGACGATCAATGCGTGGGAGATGTAGCTAATCTGGGGGAACCTCTACAGGTACTATTGGCCACGTCGATCACGGAAAGGTACATATCAAGCAAGACCCGAGAGGATTGTGCCAATGCGCGATAAATACTGACCAAACTCCCAATAGACCACTCTGTCCGCCGCCATCACCAAGAGACAGGCCGAGAAGGGCCTTGCCAACTTCCTCGAGTATGGTGCCATCGACAAGGCTCCTGAGGAGCGCAAGCGTGGTATCACCATCTCTACTGCCCACATCGAGTACTCGACCGACAACCGCCACTACTCCCACGTCGACTGCCCTGGTCACGCCGATTACATCAAGAACATGATTACTGGTGCCGCCAACATGGACGGTGCCATCATCGTCGTTGCCGCCTCCGACGGTCAGATGCCCCAGACCCGTGAGCACTTGCTGCTTGCCCGACAGGTCGGTGTCCAGAAGATTGTCGTCTTCGTCAACAAGGTCGACGCCATCGACGACCCCGAGATGTTGGAGCTCGTCGAGATGGAGATGCGTGAGCTGCTCAGCACCTACGGCTTCGAGGGTGACGAGACCCCCGTCATCATGGGTTCTGCCCTCATGGCCATGCAGAACCAGAGACCCGAGATTGGTCAGGAGAAGATTGATGAGCTGCTCAAGGCCGTCGACGAGTGGATCCCTACCCCTACCCGTGACCTCGAGAAGCCCTTCCTCATGTCCGTTGAGGATGTCTTCTCCATCTCTGGCCGTGGTACCGTCGTTTCCGGCCGTGTCGAGCGTGGTCTCCTGAAGAAGGATACCGAAGTCGAGATTGTCGGCAAGGGTGACCAGATCATCAAGTCCAAGGTCACCGATATCGAGACCTTCAAGAAGTCTTGCGAAGAGTCCCGTGCTGGTGACAACTCCGGTCTTCTTCTCCGTGGTATCAAGCGCGAGGATATCAGCCGTGGTATGGTCGTCTGCAAGCCTGGCACCGTCAAGGCCCACTCCAGCTTCCTCGTCTCCCTCTACGTCCTGTCCAAGGATGAGGGTGGCCGCCACACCGGTTTCCACGAGAACTACAAGCCCCAGATGTACCTCCGTACTGCCGACGAGTCCGTCACCCTCACCTTCCCCGAGGGAACCGAGGACGCCAAGAACAAGATGGTCATGCCCGGTGACAATGTCGAGATGGTTGCTCAGCTGCACCACCCCTCTGCTGTCGAGGTTGGCCAGCGCTTCAACGTCCGTGAGGGTGGACGCACCGTCGCCACTGGTCTCATCACCCGTATCCTGAAATAAGGGATACTCGCCGAAAAATATCTCAAAACTACGTGAAACGGCACCCAGAAACACAACTTCCCCGACATGAAATGGGAACCCGGATGGTGAAAAAATTGGGATTGTACAAAAAAGGAGTTGGATTGCTTCACGATTTCATGTACAACCGACCCAGAGTTTTCCTCTTTGAGCCCTCGAGCTCGTGTATATTGTCGGGTCTTGGGCTCAAAGATCTCCGCTCTACTTCACCCTCTTGTCTTTGAATCATGTACTTTTAGAAGACGATGGACAATAGAACAATCTGTGCTTTGTGCCACACGACAACATTATTACTCCTAGCTCATGTCAACGCGTATATGCTCGCTTGATATGTCATCGTGTTACTTGATAAACCTCGAGTCATCAATTACATCCCCAGAACTTGGAGGACCAGACTAGCTAGCTGCTTGGTACCCAGGCGTCGCGCGGTTTCACAAGCTACAGGTGAGTCGTGCCGTCTTCACGCGCAGCTCAGCTCAGTCTTTCTTTGCTTGATATTGAGGGCCCCAAAATTTTGGATGGTGGTAAAAGGTTCAATGTCGTGGTATTCGTCTATCCTCAGTTGGACGTCCGACGGATTTTTGCACTTTCCGTTAAGCCAGCCATAAGAACTCCAATTGCCCTTGGAAGCCTTCCCTCTTGTCTGAATGCATTTTTCCACGGGCCACTCATGCCCAACCACCTTCACCAAGTTCCCATCCTTTGCCGTCTCGGAGTTTTGGACAATTTAACGGTACTGTAGAATGGCAGACTCGGGTTAGCGGTTTGCGCTTTCTGAAGGTCATGGCCGAACGAGGGGTAAAAGGCGCAGGCCAAAGTCGATCGTAGGTCCCCAGGGTTATCTGTGTTTCGCATACCTTGTTGAAGCCGATGTCCTTGGCCTTCTCACGGAAGCACTGACGGCACAGGTTGAGGTCGTACTTGCGGATGAGACCGGCGGTGTGCTTGCAGACACGGCTATGAAAAGTGAAAATGTCAGCATTTCTGCTTCCTTTCTATGCGCATGTGTGCGCGCGCGTGCGTGCGTTCCAATATTCCCGATTCCATTTCCTTGCATCCAAAATCTTCGCTGAGAGAGGGGGAATTTTATTCGTACCAAGAGCGGGAGCCCTTGCCGTAGTTGCGGGGGCGGGAGTTCCAGACAGACTCGTGAGACATGATGGCGGTTGTCGAGCGGGTGGGCGGTGTCGTCGAGAGGGTGGTCGGCGAAAACTCGAGATGGTTTGGCTGTGGTTGGATTGAGGACGTCTGGCGGAAATTTTTGTGCGCCTGTATTTTGCTGGGGCTTGGGTCAGGGTGGGTTGGAGCCCCCTTCGCTTCTGGGGGAAGTCCGTGCTTTGCTGATGCACGTGATATAGATAAGATAGGTGATAAGCTTTGCTGATAAGATTTTGCCCCCCCTGCTTTCTAGTGGGCCCCTCCTAGGAACGCCGCTTGTTGGAGAAGGAACAAGGGACTGAGCTCTTCTGTGACGTTGGGGGACGACCTGCAAAGTGGCTTCTTTCCTAATTCCTTCACCAGCTGATTTCAAAGCATCGGTCTGCACCACCATTATTCCTAACTGCTGATATCTTCTTCAGCAGCTTGCTATTCTTTTTCTTCGTCGAGATACCATATAGCCTTTTTCATTCCTCCTCGTCCGATCCAATCAAGCAACAATGGTCGTCCTCAAGAGCTTCGTGCTCGGCGCTCTGGCAGCTACCGTTGCCGCCAAGTCTGCCGTGCTTGACCTCATTCCCTCCAACTTTGACGATGTCGTCCTCAAGTCTGGCAAGCCCACTCTCGTCGAGTTCTTTGCTCCCTGGTGCGGCCACTGCAAGAACCTTGCTCCCATCTACGAGGAGCTCGCCACCGCCTTCGAGTCCTCCAAGGATGTTCAGATTGCCAAGGTGGACGCCGACGCCGAGAGAGACCTAGGCAAGAGGTTCGGGATTCAGGGATTCCCTACTCTCAAGTGGTTCGACGGCAAGAGCGACCAGCCTACCGACTATAAGGGAGGTCGTGATCTTGAGGCCCTGAGCACCTTCATCACGGAGAAGACCAGTGTCAAGCCCAAGAAGAAGTACACCCCGCCCAGCGCCGTTAACATGCTCACCGACGAGTCCTTCAAGACCACCATTGGCGGCGACAAGGACGTCCTCATTGCCTTCACTGCTCCTTGGTGCGGACGTAAGTCTCAAGTTTATCATTCCCTTTGTTCTAAGCCAACAATGCTGACCTGATCCTCCTCGACAGACTGCAAGACCCTCGCCCCCATCTGGGAGACTGTCGCCCAGGACTTCGTTCTCGACGAGGGCGTCGTGATCGCCAAGGTTGATGCTGAGGCCGAGAACAGCAAGGGAACTGCCGCTGCCCAGGGTGTTTCTTCCTACCCCACCATCAAGTTCTTCCCCAAGGGCTCCAAGGAGGGCGAGCTCTACACTGGCGGCCGCAGCGAGGAGGACTTTGTCAACTTCATCAACGAGAAGGCCGGCACCAACCGCAGCCCCGGTGGCGCTCTTAACGCCATCGCCGGTACCATTGCTTCTCTCGACGAGATCGTCGCCAAGTACACTGGTGGCACCAGCCTGGCCGACGCTGCCGCTGAGGCCAAGAAGCAGGCCGAGACTCTCAAGGAGAAGGCCCAGTACAAGTACGCCGAGTACTACGTCCGCGTCTTTGACAAGCTCAGCAAGAGCGACGGCTACGCCCAGAAGGAGCTTAAGCGCCTCGACGGCATCCTCTCCAAGGGTGGACTCGCCCCTGCCAAGCGTGACGAGATCACCAGCAAGACCAACATTCTCCGCAAGTTCCTGGAGAAGGTCACCGGTGAGAAGGAGGAGTTGTAGTGAACTCTATCAGCGATTTTCAGACGCATCTTGAACTCTGGGCTTGGGGAGGTTCTGGGAGGTTGAAAAGCAAGCAACATGCAACTGGGTGTGTTTAGCTCCAGTTGGGATTGGTAGTCTAGGATACCGATGATGATGAATAACAATAACAAGTATAACTCAAGTCTGCCTCGTGGAACCCGAACATCATATGTAGCTCCTGTGAGCTTGTCCCATGAACGATAACGCCATCGGCATGCGAACCACTTGCCTCGTGAAGTATGCCATCAAGATTCTGATTCAAGACGACTTGGACGGGCCGGCGTCCTTCTCCTTGTTAGCTAGAAGAGCCGCCTCAAGGTTGTCAAGGCGGCGAGACATTTCGTCCACTGTGTAGCTTTAGTACGTAGTATAGGAACATGAGCTAGATTTCATTTTCTCGGGGACTTCCTAGACTTACTCTTTGCAAATATCTCACTTGAGACGCCCGCGAACTTATTAGAGATTGTGTTGAGAAGTTCCTCAACGGCTGCGTTGACGTCTGTCTTGGGATCCTCAGAGATCTGTGAGGTTCTTCGGGTTAGTTTATGGAAAGCCATGCTCATGACTTTATTTGCCGCCCTGGGTCTACAGCAGGACAGGCGACGTGCCAGAGGCCAAGTGAAAGGTGAAGTAACTGACCGCAGACTGGTTTGCGCTTGAGTCGGGGTTGTTGGAGGCCATTGTTTATCTGCGAGAGAGCCTTTCAATAGTCAGAGGTAGAAACAGAATGTGAAAATCCCGACGCTGTTGTCTAAGTTGTTTTGTTTGTTTTTGAGATAACGTCGGCGGGGTTGTGAGCCTTGATGTTTGGCTGGCTGGGAGTTATGAGAGATGAAGCGGTCCAGGTTTGGTGGGGTTCAATGTGTTTGCGCTGTTGGTTCCAGCAAACATGTAATGCGGAGGGGCCAAGATGCGCACGCGGAGGCCAGCTCTGGAAGGTGTCTGCTACGGCGTGCAGCGCTAGCACCAGGGGATGGGTACCTATCCGCCCTCCAGTGGGGCCTGCCTAAGGCGATAAGACGACTGAAGCATTCCCGGGCTCCGGTATCCGTTGCGCCGTCAAACGGTCCGCTTTCAGCAACTTGGCTGATGCCGTCATCCGTCTTCAAAGTTACTTTTGGTCTACAGTGTACAGTTCATCCGTACATCGTCACCCATTCCCGATTGCTACGCTGCAGACACTCTTTAATTGTGTCCCCCTTTTTTTCGACCAACGAGGCTTCCTGCAACAACCGACACCCGCCAGCCAGAGCAGCAGAGCAATGGCCCCGAGTTGAGCGGCACAAGGCACGCCGCACACCATGCCCAGTCCATACCGAGACCCGCGCCTCGTCTTCCTCGCCCTCGCCTTCGTCGGCGTCTTCTGGATCCTCCTCTCCCCCGGCAATGGCGGCGCGTCTCTCTTCTCCGCCTCGGACCTGGCGATCCAGCGCCTGCGGCGACACCAGCACGCTCTCGACCTCCTAAACACCTCGACGTACGGCGACTTTTCACCGCGCGAGAACGGCACATCCGAGGACCTGCTCCCTAGGTCGCTCAACCTGACGGGTTTCCGTCCCGAAGACGGTTTCGCCTGGGACGATCTCGAACGCTTTCGGGAACGCTGCTTGGAATGGAGCCACAACGCGATACCGCCCGTCGGCGGGGTGAACCTGTGGGACATTGGAGAGGGAGAGCCGGTGTGGCAGAACGCCACGGGCGCGGTCAAGGGGACCTGGATCCGGAGGGAAGCGACGTCGAGGAGAGAATGGACGAACTACAACCTGAGCGCCATCACGCCGAGCCTGCATTGGAGCGGCACGCAGTCGGAGTGGGCCAGGAATATCACTGGAGACGAGGGCAAGATCTTGATGGACCTCGTCGACACTGGTAAGCACGGGAGGGAGCTGGATTACCGCAGCGACGTTGAGGACGACGAGGGCCCCTCGTCCGGCGGCAAGGTGCGCAGCGCAAAGGCTTCCATTACCATTGAGGATGTCAAGGGCAGCGGCGTCAACTGGGAAATGAGGCTACATGGTGTCCAGTGGCCTCGTCAGGGGACCATCCTGTTGACGACGACCAGCGAGAAGTTTGACGGCATTTTCGGTTTGCCGCATCTAGCACCCAGCCTAGACTTCTTCCAGTCGAGCCAACGGTTGCTCAACCTGACCCTCGCTGAAGTACTCCGTAGGAAGGAGAAGGAGGTGTTCAACGATGGCGTGATGCCGTGGACTTCGGACCTGTCGAACCCACCGGATACGCTGAACCCGACGCCGCACTGCGAGTACATCATGTATGCCCAAGTACATCCACCGGACAGGAACTTTCTAGACATGAAGGGCTTTCACCCAACCAGGGAGGGCATGGCAAGGATCATAAGCGATATTGAGCAGGAATTACGATTCCCGGAAGGCGCACCCATTCGCGGCGTCCCAGAGCTCCAGCTCTCAGCCGTCATTTGGTCCCCAGACTGCGCCTTCTTTCTCGAGACCAAGGGGCCGCCGGATTTCGCTCCCGTTGATGGACAACATCTTCAAGGCATGAAGACGGAGATTATCTACCACAAGATCCGTGTATGGATCCTCCTCTTCGCGATGGTGATCCTCACGCAGGCCCTCCTCCTCAAACAGCAGATGAAGGAGTCAGCTACACCTTCGACGATGGGTCGCATTAGCTACTCGACCATTAGTATGATGGTCATGGTAGACGGTGGCATCTTCGCCGCTGCGTCAATGTGGGCTTTGGATGCCAGCATCACGTACCTGGAGTCACTTTCGCTCCTCTTTTCAGCATTCCTGTCCATGTCCCTCGGCGGGTTCTTTTTGGCGGAAATTCACAAAGTGCAGGAGCCTGAGAACAGAAGGCGCGCCGAGAGGGAGCAGCAAAACGCAAACAATGACTCGCCGCGCACGCCGGCAACGCCTGCGCAAGGTCTCGAGGCGGACTCCCTCCCGCGGCCCGTCACCGCGGGGCCTCGCAGGAGAGCACCCTCGCCTCCGATCATCATTCCCTCGGATCAGGATATCGACGCGGAGATTGCAGACGCCGCGAGCGGTGCGGCAGCCGTACCGACAGCGGGCACCGGCGCGGGGGGCGGCCATCGCATCGGGCCCGAGGTCACGTTCCAGTCCGTCATATTCCGCTTCGCCATGACCGTGTCCCTCATCCTCCTCGTCTCCATCGCCTCCACGTCCTGGTACCCGCGCGTGCGCAACTTCTTCGTCAACAGCGTGGCCCTCGTCTACTTTTCCTTCTGGGTGCCGCAGATCCACCGCAACATCATCCGCAACTGCCGCCGCGCGCTGACCTGGCAGTTTGTCATTGGCCAGTCCGTCCTGCGGCTGCTCCCCTTTGCCTACTTCTACGTCTACGAGAACAATTTCCTCTTTGCCGAGACGGACCGGCGCGCGTTCCTCGTTTTTTGCGCGTGGTTGTGGATCCAGCTCTGGGTGCTCGCCTTCCAGTACGTGCTCGGCCCGCGGTTCGGTATACCAAAGAGCTGGACGCCCGACGCGTGGGATTACCACCCGATCCTGCGCGAGGATGGCGTCGAGGCCGGCGGGCTGCCGATCGGGCTGCTCTCGGAGCCGGGATCGCCGTCTCTGGAGAGGGTGAGGTCGGGCAGCGGCGGCGAGGACGTGAGGGATAAGAAGGGCGGCGGTGGTGGGAGTAACCTACGCGCCATCGACTGCGCTATTTGTCGTGAGGTGCTTGAGGTGCCCGTCATGCGGGCGGGCGAGGAGGATCCGACGGCCGGAGGGGTCGTCGGCGTGTTTACGAGGAGGAATTACATGGTGACGCCGTGCCGGCACATCTTCCACAGCGCGTGTCTGGAGGGTTGGATGCGTTTTAGATTACAATGTCCTATATGTCGAGAGGAGCTGCCTCCCTTGTAGGAGTAGCGAAAGGAGCGGTTGCATGTCCGCTTTGGTTGTAGGCTTGGAGCGCGTGCCATAGCGGGAAGATTTGATCGTGTGCTTTGTTAGAAAATGATACCAGAATGAGAGTGGATTTAGTATACGGCATCACGTTGCATTCCGTTTGCCCTTGCGGTCTATGGAGTCGTTTGAGATCTGTCGAGTGAATGGTGCCGTGACTGTTTACTTATGCCCTATATGACTTGGAAATCGACCATCGATGTGGACGGTATTGGCTCTCGAAACACAAGCCGGCTCTTAGTTAAGGAACGAAGACTTCCGAGACTAGAGGTTCGAGGTCTCTACAGGGATACCAAAGAGAATTTCACGCATCGCTCGCAATGGTGTATTTGTTCCCTGCCCGAGGGACAGCCCCCGGAGCCACGCTTCAAGTGAAATACGAGTTGCTTCGTGATACGGGACATTTCCTGGTTGCCAGAAAGGACCAGAGCACAAAGAGAGAAGAAAGGTTCCTGAAAAGGGGGGGAAATCGGTGTTCTGTATCCTCAGCGAGACAAAAACGCCTGGCCCCCTCTCCAGTGCTCTGGAATATCGTGGGACTTGCGTCAAGTAGAGGAAAAAAAGCCTGCTATACTCCATCTTTGTCTTTCGGCCAAGGTGTAATTAGTTCTTCTTCTATTTTTGCTAATATTATGGGGTCATAAAAGAACGAATGCATCAACGTAGATGATGTATTCATGGGACCGTAAGAAAGACGAACTTGTATGACTATGGAAGGTCACCAGCCATTGAGGGCGAGTCATCACCTGTATGATGATGAGAAGGGGGAAGGGGAGTTCATCATGACCCTCGAGTCTGTGTTTATTCGCTACACAGGGTGTGGGCAGGTGAGTAGAAATGTGAACTTTGTGATGACATGGGTAGGCTTTCGATATCAAATCTTTGGTCTTCAGCGGTGATAGAGGTCTTCTTTTGTAGAGAATATCAGCTACTACATCTTGGTATAAGTCGATAGGCAAAAACATCTGGTTCAGGTCAATATTGTTACGTGATTACCCAAGGTTTCGCTTATTCCTTCTACCCACTGGCTTCGTCATCGTATATACTACGACGAAGTGGCTGGCCATACAATCACGAAAACCAAACGAGCACATGAAAGCAGTCTCAACATGACGTGGGAGACGGGAAGAGAAGTCTGGGGGACGAGGCCGCGGCTAGCATTTTGCCATCGCACGTAGCCTAGCATAAAAGAACATGCTGCACCGTATACACCACGCGGAAAGAAGTACTACCGATGGAAACAAGCCCGCAAGCCGCCAAAAGTGTTTTCCTCAAAACACAATTCGCAGGCTTCCACCACTGGAAAAAGCATAGAAGCGGCAAAGGCTACAAGATCTCCCGGGGACCCGTAGAGATTGAGGGGAAACACCCGCCGCGCTTCCGCTCCGCGCCGCCGCCATCGCATGGTGTTTGTCCCATTGATCAAGGTATCTTACCTACATTGGACCAGTCGAATGGCCAAACCGGTCCCTCCCGTTCAGATTTGAAAGTGGCCGACCAGCTGGTGTCTCAATCAGTGGACCAATGATCATAGGTAGATGACCCATCTCTTAGTCGCCGCTTTCCATTTCCCTGGGGCGCACATTGCATTGTTTGAAAAGGGGCAACTAACCCAAGGCACAGAATGGCTGCAGCCAAGCTCGCTGGCGTGCCATTCAGGGGTGTGTCAGGTCGGCGGAACGACTCGAGTGCATCCACACCATCTCCGTGGCGTTGGGGACTAGAAGGTATCAACTGCTGGATCTGGCTTGGGCCTGCCTCGATTCGAGTATCCCCAAAAGCCACCTTGGATGATAAACTTAGCATTGTGATATCGATAGTGGCGGTTCAGTTGCCCATATCGTGATGAAAGCAAGGTACGACTGCTGGCGATGCTCGTAAGAAGAGTCGGGTGGGTGTCTCCCGAGGAGTAGGAAGAAGGCAACGAGATGATCACCCCTGCCCCGGCTCTGCGGTCATGCGGCACAGCAACGTCCCTAACCCATCTGTCATACCTTATCCTCCTGCCTACCAAGATGTCAGCATCATTTCCGTTACAAAAAGAAAAGAATGGGTCAATCGTATCAGTGAACCTGATCGTCGGTAGCCCACCAAATCGGACCAGGGGCTCGTTCTGGATGTTAATTTTACAGGTGATGCGGACCTCTTGTACGTGCAAACAGCAAAGGAAATCTCGTTTAGCGATCAATGAATGAGCGCCACAAGTGTGAGAGCGTTTATATCCATCGGTCCTGGGACAGTCAGAAAGATTTGTCTTTCATGTTGTGTCGTGTGAGGGAAGCGGTACAAGGGCGGCCGGATGCCAGCGGCCGAGAGCGCCGGTGTGACGAACGTGGTCGTCACGGGCCCTTAGGAGGCGACACCAGTGACACCGTGACCGGTGTGGAGATCAGAACGTTTAGCTCCCGTACCCGGAAGCCTGGGACGTATCTCGGGCGAGTCCGAGAAGAATGACGCAGCGGAAACGGCGTGCCGAGGCCTGGAGCCATCCGGGACAGGGTGGGTTCCATGAGCGACTGATCCTCAACTAGTCTTCCCAGGGATCTTTGATTTGTTCTCAGGGCAGCCCCGTAAGGCGGAGGGAGGCAAGGAGTAGGCGATACTGGCAAAGCCGAAGTTCGGATAACCTGAGGTTTCTGACTGTCTGCTTGTGATGTACAGATACGGGTGCCCGAATTTGGACAGCTTCGGCCAGTGTGTGTAGGCGATCGACCGCGTGGGGTACTCCACGATGGACACGCCTATCAGTCAGACTGTTTCGGACTACCCAGATACTTGGGTATCGTGCCGTCGTATGAAATCATAGCCAACGCACCGAGGCTCAGGAAAAGGCCCGAGGGAGGTTTGCACGGCCAGCTCAGTGGTCAGTAGAACCAAGCTTGCAAGCACAAGCGTGGCAGACCCTGGTGGCTGGCTGTAAGCACAGCCTGCCATCGAGTGGAACTTTTGGGGCCATGATGGAATCCGTACCAGCGAAGCTCTCGCTTCCATTCTGACATGCAGCTTAGCTGCATTGGCCTGTCCGATAGGATTGGCCCAACGGGTGCCCGAAATTTGCAGTGAAGGCAGGTCGGACAAGGCATCTCGCGAGGCATTATGCCATGGTGCTTGAACCACCCTCTGGCATCGGAGCTCGCGATGGTAGATTGGTACCTGACAGACCGAATGTGCCATCAAAGTAGCCGCGGGTCGTCGTGCATAAAACCACGATGCACGTGTGAGGGAATGGGGGTCCCATACCGAGACGTCCCCTACCCCGCGGTCATGGGAATCGCCAGCGGACATGTCCGAGAGACATTGATGCTTGGTGACGGGCAGAAATGGTGCTCCCAAAGGCTGCCGCGGAAAACGCTTCCCAATCGATCTGGCTGAAATCATCTTAGGGAGATTCTGCAATGTTCCTGCGTCGAGCTGGCTATCGTAAATTCCACTTGCAAAGTACCGTCATATCAGCCGCTCTCTTGGGTCCTTGGCATACGACGCCTTTCATTCGTAGTCGATTTGAAATAACACAAAGACATCCAAATCACTACCGAGGCCCGCTGGCTGGCTGCCCTTCGCAGCCATGGGAGAGTCTCACTCCCGAACACCACCGGTTCGCAGAGGTCTCAGTTCCCAATGTCGAGGGCTTTGGGTCGAACCATATCTCCGGAACCGGTTGCTAGTCCGTGGGATTCGGGTCCGTGGTCGCAGTTGACACATCGGCATCCCGCCCCATGCCACAGCAAAGGGCGAAATCTTCCGGAGAGACGCCGCCAGGCGACGAGGAAGCCGGAACACCAATCGGTTGTTCCTCCAGGGGGAAGAGAGATGATCAGACGGACCCTCACGTCTCAGACTCTAGACACCTGAATGTGTTGAGTGGCTGATGTTCGTCGAAGTCGGTGGCTACCCTGCAGAAGCGAGAACCTAGAAACGGGCGTGGAGTAGGCCACGGCTTCTAGTCAGCCCGTGATCGCATTTACACGGTAAGCGATCATGGTTGGTAGGGCTGAAGAAGACGCAGAGAAGGTGCGTAGATGCAGCGAACGTCATTGTGGGAAGACATTGGTGCCGTCAATCGTGGGTCGGTGTGGCTTCCTTCTGCAGTCTCTCAAGAAGCAGAGGGTGGCTTTTTGAAGGACGATGGCTGAGCAGCGGCGCTAAGGCAGGCGATATGTAGGCAGTCTTGAGGCAGATTCTCAAGATGCAGTGGGATACATGGGGGCTCCTGGCTCGAGAGGAGGCCGCCCTGATCAAGCCCTTGGGCCAGTAAGTCCAGGGAAGGCCAGTGGAGGCTTTCCTGGTCACCCAGGGCCATGCTTCGAGGTCTATGGCGCATAGGGCTGAGATGGAGGGTCAAGGAGTGGGTGAGAGTTTGTCTCGACTTTGGAAATGGGATGGTCCCCATGGTCCCCGTGGTCCCTTGTTTCCCCCCCTCCTCTGCTGCTGACAACGACCTGTAGACGAATGCATCCAAGCCCCTCAGACAGCGGAAGCGGGCCGGTAGGATGGATATTGCATGTGGCGCAGCTGACATGGCCGAAGCGGTGAATCAAGCCGAGACATGGGCTTTTGTTTGCCAGACAAGATGCAAGCCGTGTCTGTCCAGAAACTCGGCGAGAAATGAATGGATTGGGCAAAGTGTGAGGTGGTTGAAGTTGTCAGGTTTCTAGTGGAATTGTGTGTGTTTCCATCCGTGGGAACAGCGCCGGGAAAGGCAACAAAACGTTTCGATACCTTGGTCTGAACATCTGGTCAGTGCTGAGGTACAACCATGGGTACTCCTGTATGTACCTCACTCGAGGTATCGAAGTACAGACACCACAAATTACAGATCACCAGTGACCAAAGGGCAATGGCTTACATGCTTGCCTACCTTACAGGCTACAGCCCTTCCCGCGAGACAAGACCCTCTGCTCCTGCCATGCTCGCCTGGCAGTGACACAACGCCGTCGAGACGGGCCGCGTGCGTCTGGTCATCATGCCGTCTCATGCTTCTCCGGTCTTGTTTCCTGCAACTTGAACTGACAAATGCCCGGGCTACTGCTTCTGCTCCTGCTCGACTGGTGCTGCTGCCCGTTGGCGATACGAGGAACGGTGACAGAAACATGCAGCTGCAGCGCGCTCTTGCATGCCAAGAGAGACTACCTCCTGCTCCCGTGATTGTCTTGTCTCTCTCTCTCTCATCCTCAGAGTTCACCTCCGGGGAAGAGCAGGTAGAAGCGATTTCTATTCCGGTCCGTATCAATCCGGGGTGTCACAGATGCGATAAACTTGTAGAACCTCACCTCAAGAGTGCTGGACCGTCGGCGATGCCAATGCTTCCAGATCCTCCACGAGAAGAGCGAAAACGTTCACCCGGGCATCGCAATTGCATCGGGTCATGGCGAGCCCAGCTACAACATACCTCATTGGGATAAATGCCCGCCTCATATGCCCTGCTCATGCCTTGCTCGCGCATCTACGAGGTACTGGCGATGTTGCATCGCCGTCTTGACCTTCAGTTTTGAGAAGCTCAAAGTCAGATAACCCCACAGGCGCTCGTCTTGGCTCTTCTGCGTATACGATGATGGAATCTGTAGAATCAATGCCATGATTGCATTCACTTTGAAGTATAAGTAGTAGATGAAATATTGAAGAACATGCAGATATCGATGTAATTGCCAGTATCGCTCGACAGTGAACAATGCCCGTCATCAGCGTAACCGCAGTCCTCCTAACTCTAGGCCTCTGGGCCCTAGCCGCTCCCGCACCGGTTCCCGCCCCGGCCTTCGTCGCCGCGGACGGCATTATCCCGGGCGAGTACATTATCTCCCTGAAACCGGGCCTCGCCCGCTCCCAAATCGAGTCCCACCTCTCCCGCGCCGCCTCCGTGCACGCCCGCCGCCGGCGCGACACCACTCCCACAGGCGGCATCAGCAAGACCTTTTCCATCGGCGCCTTCAACGCCTACGCGGGCTCTTTTGACGAGGCCACGCTCGCCGAGATCCTTAGCGGCGACGTCGAGGGCGCCGTGGCTTCTGTCGAGCCGAATCGCCTCGTGGAGATCGACGCCCTCGTCACGCAGGATGCCGCGCCGTGGGGTTTGGCGAGTTTATCGTCACTGAATCAACTGTCGAGCTCGTCTGACGGTCAACCTTATACCTACGATGACTCTGCGGGCGAGGGCTCGTTTGCGTATATCGTCGACACGGGCGTGCAGGTGTACCACCCTGACTTCGCAGGCCACGCCGTGAAGGGATACAGTTCGCAGCCTGACGAAGATTTTGATGACTTTGGCGGGCACGGCACGCACGTTGCTGGGACGGTTGGGTCCCAGACGTACGGGGTCGCGAAGAAGGCCACGGTTGTGGATGTTAAAGTCCTTGCTGGTTTTGTAAGTCGCCTCTGTCTCTTTCTCCGGTTGCTACCACGGAGGATGTCGCTCTTACAGTGTGACTGGTGGTCAAATCTACCTGTCAAGTCTAACAAGTCTAACTTTCGGGGACAGGGCACCGGCAGCGTCGCAACGGTCCTCGACGGCTACAACTGGGCCGTCAACAACATCACAGACACCCCCGGTCGCCTCGCCAAGTCCGTCATCAGCATGAGTCTCGGTAAGAACCCCCGAAATTCAACCGCAAGCCAATATTGCGCCCGCCGGCCATAGATGGGTACTCCCCCTCCCCCCTTGGAGTTTCGACTAACACGCAACCTTCCTTCGGTTTCCTGCTGCAGGGTTCCCCGTAAGCACAACAGCCTCCGCCCTCGACGAGGCGGTCAACGCAGCCTACGACCTGGGTGTCCCGACCGTCGTGTCGGCCGGAAACCTGAACCAGGACGCCAGCCGGCGCTCGCCCGCGCGCGCGGCGCGCGCCTTCACGGTGGCGGCCGCGGACTGGAACCGGACCCGGGCGTCCTTTTCCAACTTTGGCAGCCTGGTCGAGGTGTTTGCGCCGGGCGTTGAGGTGCGCTCGCTCGGACTCGACAACGGCACGACGGTGTACTCGGGTACCTCGCAGGCTGTCCCGCACGTAACGGGTCTGATTGCGTACCTGAGGGGCAAAGAGGAGGATTTGTCTACCCCGGATGAGGTGTTTACGAGGGTGAGGGAGCTTTCTGTCGAAGGTGTGGTTCGGGATCCTCAGGGTACTGCCAATCTGCTTGCTTTCAACGGTGTTGTTTCCTCCTAAGGGTCCGGGGCGTGTAAGTGCGTGCTGTTGACTCGCAGGGCCAAAGAGGAAAGAGGCGCAGGCGTGGAGGTATTTTGCCAATGTTGGGTCGCCGGACCTGATACAGACACATGCATTACTTACATGTGAGATACATGGAAGCAGCAGCAATCATCCATCCTGGGTGAAGAGTCTCTGAGACTGTGTCACTTGGCTCTCATTGTCTGGTCTCCCGGTCTTGCGTCTGTTTCGTAGCAATTCTCAACTTGGAACTTGTATTTGTTTGCTCGAATTGGCGGTACATGGGGGGTTCGTACTCCCTCAATCTTCGAGCACTTTGTAGAAAGTCTTTGGCATATCTATCCTGTGGTTCTGGATGCCTGGGCCTGGTTGAGACGCAATGTCATTGGTATCACTCTGTCCGGATACACTCCTCAGCCAGCAGATTGCTTCCATAACACAGGGTATTTTAAGAGCCCGCTTGGTAAGCTCGCCGGTCCGGCCTCGGTGTAGTCGCAGATGCCGAAACGGCAACCCTCAGGGCCCAGTAATCCTTTGCCTAGCGGAGCCGCCGTTTCTATTGGCAGCGGCGGGCGCCGACAACACACCAACCGCTTTCGATGCTGGGCCGGGGAAGGGGAAAAGCGTGGTGACTGCATCGAGACGTGGGCGGGCCGGCTAGTGTAGTCTCTAGACTGTAGTACTCCGTAGTCTGTAGAGCAATGGAACGAGAACTGCGGTCTTTCGAGCTACACCAAGGTAAGGTAGCCGTAATGGTCTAGGGAGAAAGGGGTGCCTTGTCCAACAAATCCACAGGTGAGCACGTGTTGTCGCGGGGAACCCACTGTCATCCATGTCCTCTTGCTGCTCCACTTGCTGTTCTCTCTTTTCAATCATGTGTTTATGGATTCTGGAGGGTGACTGGCCCAGTAGGTGGGAGCAAATCTGCGAATTGGCGATGATGAGCTACCTGTTCGCCTGCAGGGCTTAGCCGCCCACCACCAGGGGGGCCAACAGAACCGAAACAAACAGCACAGCCACAAAGAAACGACAACTTTGTATCCGTAATGCAGGTGAACTAACAAGTCGTTGGTGTCATCATCCAAGGGGTATGGAAGCATGGTGGAAGGCTTCGCCGAGACTAAAGCGGCCTGGTAGTGATGATAAATCCCGTCGGTGTTTGGAGAGGGTGAGAGGTTGGGATGAGATGGCAACATGGGAATAAGGAACGAAATGAAGGACGTGGAGGGGACGTCCAACATCCGAGAGAGGTCGGAAGAGGGAAGGAGTGGGGATGAGAAGATGGAGATCTGGAGAGAAGGAGGTTACTGCGTACCTAGAGAAGGAGGTTACTGCGTACCTACTGTTACTTGCTCTTGTGCGATGAACAGACGTCGACAGGTGTATCCGTACCCAAGCATATTGAGGATACAACCACCATTGTTCACTTTGACTATTTCCTCGCTTCTCCTTGCTCTATGAGCGAGTATCTCTCATGAATATCTGCCGACTACTCACCCATTTCTATCCATTTATCAGATAACCATCGTTGCTTATCCATCTCCGCTCCCACTTTTCGTTTCGCTTCGTTGAAAGGGCTCAAAATCGAGACTCTGGCGCTCATTGCAGGGTACCTCGAACGTTTCTTCAGACCATCGCACACAAAGGCAGGGTACAAGGACGAGAGCGGAAAGACCCAATTACCAATTGGGGCAAGTTCCTCGACGAGCCGGGGACTAACATGGACGGGCCAGGTACTCGACCCCTGTCTTGCATGTACTTCGCCGACGCCAACAGGTACCGCGGTACGTATTCAGATACACAAAAGTTGCTCTTTTTCTTCCCATCTCTCTGATCTGAAGGAGAGCGAAGGAGATGGCACAACGGGCCAAAAGGGTGGACAGAGGAAGGCAAGGTCTCTCGTGTTGCACCGAGAACGTAGGTATTCCTAATTTCATACCGTGTACGGAGTACGACAGGCAAGAAGAGCCATGCTTGTGAGACGTTGAGTTCTTTTCCTTGTGCGCATTTCCTGTCCAGTAAAACAGAATTCCTGCGCTGTCAGTCAGATTACCTTTCCTACCTGTCACTCAAGTACCCAGGAGTAAATGCCCTGCCCTCTCTTCTGCTCTTCTGCTCATCTACTTCATTTTCACCTTCAGAACGAAGTACGAATAGCAGATATTCAGAAACGTCTGATTCATCACGGCGAGCCTCACTGACTCTGGTTTGGGAGAACGCGCGGTACAAGTCTAAGGTAGCGTACACAGGCAACAGGTGCGGCGACCCAGACCAGACGCCTTGTCTCGCCTGCCCTGGAGGGGTTCAATGTTTCTTGTATAATGAATGTTTGCTTCGTGCTGGTATTCGTACTCCCTCCCCCTTGTCTCTTTCTCTCCAAGTCTCTCTGGCTCGCATACCTTACTTACTTGACCGAGTACTTTGTCCAATACTTCGTACGGATACACACAATTGAAATGGAAAGCAGTAACGATTTCAAGGCCGTGGATGGCTCAAGCCTCTCTTCGTCGTCGTCGTCTTCTTCTTCTTCTTTTTCTCCTCCTCCTCCTTCTTCTACTACTGCTACTACTTCTTCTTCCTCTTCCTCCTCCACCCTCTCTCTCAACCCTCACCTCTCTCCTCCACCACCCCACCATCTGCGGATACCTTTTCTTTTCTCTTCCGCAGCTTGAGCTAGGGGACTAGCCAACTCCGATCCCCCACTCCCAGCCCCGTTAGCCCAACCTCATTCGTTCATCTCTCGCCTTCCTCTTCCCCCCCAGTAAAGAGCCCCCCCAGAGCTCAGAGCCCAGAGCCCAGACTTATCCTCATCCTCCCTTCTTCTGCTTCTGCTCTTGGCCAAGTCTGGCTTTTGGTCGCTTCCATTTGCTTTGGTCTCAACTGATTGTTCTTCGGCACCTGGGTCTTCCTGATCTCTCTGCTGCATCTGCTGCACAATTGCTTTCTTCTCATCCCAGCCCACCCGCCTAGGCCTGGTCTGGACCTGATCCTCGCTCTCCTCCAACCGAGTGTTCACTGGGCATTTCTCTGACCATCTTGCCGACCTTCGATATTCATCCCTGCTTCTTTTGGTTCTGTCCGTCATCAGACTCGAAGCCTGACATCTACATCGACATCACTAGCCTACCTACACCATCATCTTCTTTTCCAGTATCGCAAGTATCGCCAGATTCTCACCTACTTTCCACTGTTGGCTCGCCCTCAGCAACCCGGATTCTGATAACCGTCTCCCCACGTCAGCCCTCCCTCCCTCCGGTACATGCCAAATCGACGTCGGAGGTCCTGCATGCAGTACAGCATAGCGCAGCAACGTATCCCTCCACCAGTGCCTACCTAAAAGACTGTCAGCGTCTCCTCTCTGCCCATCACCACGGCTCGACACCACACCACCATCGAACAAGATCCCGGTCCGGGTCTGCGTCTACTGTTCGTTGCAAGCCACCTCTAGCTTCACAGGCCTCCACATCGCGACTTGTCTCATTGCTTGGCTTTTCCTCTTCCTCTCACCCTCTACGGAGTAGTCTACCTATCCCTCCAGGCCCTCTCCAGGTCCCTCCCCCCTCCCACCGTGGATCTCGGTCTCCCCTACTCGGATCCCCCTCTCCCCTGGTCCCTGTGGTCCAAGCTACTGATCTGTTGCTCCATTCACATCCAGTGGCTTGTAGCGTCACAACACTAGCTACGGATGCCCAGGTCCGCGCCCACACGCCATCGGCCAGCCCTATATTACTCTATCCTCCGTCACCCGTGACTCGCGGCCCCCAAACTCCTTCCCGCTGTGAAGGCTGCTGAGAGCTGCCCAAACACCCTGTCATTGCACATCTGATCCGCAAGCCGAGAAAGCAAACTATTATATCACCCCAGTCAAGACACAACTACTCGTCATTGCCCTTCTTTGCTTTTGATCGACATTCAAAGAGAGGTCTAAGCAACAACCGTTGTGCCTCTCCTCCTGAATCTTCTCACCTTATCTTTGCTTTTCCCACCTCACCCTCCTCTACCTACCTACTCCTACAAAGTACTGAAGCCTGCCCCCCTTCAACCTGGACTCTTTTCTTCTTGGCGCCTTTTTACAACTCCTTTAGTCATGTAAGTGCGAGAGCCTAGAGCTCGAACCGAGGGATATACCCCGTCCCTCAGCAGATCGCCCCTCCGCCGGACCCGTTCCCCGTCCTGGTCGATTCTACACTAGGCTTACCCTGTCTAACCGCCGAGTTCACAGACCACCCGTCATCGCGCCGACCCTTAGCTTGCCTTAGTTACTATCTCCGCGCCCCGGTCCCCCCTTCTACCCTAAAGAGCTCCCGAATCCCCTGCATTCCGGCCAGACACTTTTTTTTTTTGTGGTGGTTCAGCTTCTCAACTTCGCCGTCTTCAGTAACACTTTTGTTGGGATCAAGGGTCAGACAGACATCTTCGTGCGCGACAAAGAGTCCAAGGCGATGAATGCATATGCGACAAAGCCTCGGCCATAGATTCCACCTCAACTCTACACAGCGACGATGTCGTCCTACAACGGCGCCGACGCGAACTCGGTCACATCGACCAGTCCCGCCTCCGAAGACTCCCAAGCAAAGCCCAAGAGGGCCAGAACCAGTAAACCGAAAGTTAAGACAGGATGCAACAACTGCAAGTACGTGACGCACCCCTGCTGTACTCGTGTTCGTGGGCAAGAGCCTAACATGCTCACCGTAGACAACGGCGCATCAAGTGCGACGAAAGACGACCCTCCTGCTCGCAGTGTGTACGCTCCAAGAAGATTTGCACCGGATATCCACCTCCGAGCCGCAGCGCGAGACCTCACGAGGTTCTCGCCATTGCTCCAAAGCCTCTCCTGGCCGCCGCTCCAACCAACGCCGCTCCCGCGCGAGCCCCCATCGAGTTACCTCCCAGACGAGTTCAGAAGATTCAGCGCCGATTGACTCCTCCGCAAACCCCGAATGACGCTCCTTCAGCCATCACCATGTACCGCCCAGCGGGCAACTTACAGCTGTCACCTC